TTGAAGTATCGATTCTTGGATTAAGATTGAAGACTTTTTTTGAGGGGAAAGCAAGGAAGCAGGTGTTATGTACATGTATGTAATACCTGGGCTATGAAAATTGATTTAACAATCTGGATGGCAACATTTCACTCATTGTTAAGTAAAATGAAATATATATTTTTGGCTGATGTCAGTCTGTTTGGAATTTTTAGCCCAAACAATTGGAATTTTTGCCAAAAGAAATCTTATTATTGTATTTAGATATCTAAGTAAACTGAAGCTGGTGTGTTACGTTGAAGGGCGGTTATACTAGCTATATATACAGATACAGATTGTATTTTATTCAATGATTGAAATATATAATATTGAACAAGACAAGAAAGCTTTTCAGAATTTGACTGTACATGATTACAGTGTACTGAGGAACAGTCTAAGGGACTGGAAAAAATTATTCTTTTAAATGTTTTAACAAAGTTTAAGTCTTTTACATAAGGCCACAGTCCAAGTTAATTCTCGGTTGTCAGATTCAGGATCCCCGAACCTATTTTTTTGCACCTGCTTCCTTGATTTCCTGCAAAAATATATAAACCAGCATATCAAATTGGTATGGCCTAAAGATTCTAGTGTAGTGGGCTCAGATTTTAAAACGGGCCACTGCCGGTTAGGTACAGGTCAATATCACTCTGAGATACCTTCACTAACCTGCATATATGTATGCAGGTAGGCCTGACAAGGAGCGTCATTTACTGAATGTATGAGCAATCAAGCTGCGGTTCACTAATTACGTTTTCCCAGAGATACACGAGGCTGGAGATAATCTGTGCACTGATTACAGATCTGTTTCAAGATCAGGCAAAGGGCAGATAAACATAGGAGTTGAATGCTAATTAGTTACTCCGAGCTGTGGCAGCACGTTGGAAGAACTTACTGCAACTGAGCTGTAATGTATTGTGGATAGCAATTCTTGTTAAAGTTCTTTTTTTGCATATTTAAGGATTATGTCCTGTCTATAGTTTTCAAGTGTTGTATTGGAAAAGATATCGTTTGGAACAGACAAAATTCTGGTGCAATGTTGAGCAAATATCTAACAAAAAATTTTGATGAATCCAGGTTTCCTGCAAGCGCAGTACGCTCTGCCAAAATGCTGGCTATGGCATAGCCTGCAAGATGATCATGTGGAAACAATATCTGTGATACAGTGTGGGAGTTTACATCTAAAGAATGTAGAACTTTACCTGTTTGGGAAATGGGTTTCAAAGAATTTTGTTAGCAAGTTGGAAAATATTCTGCATAACAAAATCTTCATGTTACTGACATTTATACTAAATCATAGACAAATTTCAACACATTTGCAACATCATTTCCCTGCATTTCCATTCATGCAAAAACATCCCATGCCCTGGTACCCTTATTTTTAGGTGGTACCAATAAATAAATGCTAGATGTAAACAAATTGGTAGCCTTTCTCCAAATTTGTATGGTGCAAAAAAGCTGCTATAATGTCAATCTCTGAATATTGTTTATTATGCAATGCAATATTAAGAAATAACCCAAAAATTCACTCAGGGTATGGTTGCAATCACACTGAGGACCTTTAAGAAGATTACCTTTTTTTCCTGGGCAATATCAAAGTGCCAAAAGATGACACTTGCAGATTTAGGGCTACACCTTGCTGATGATAGACTTTTATTACATTTCAACATGAGAATGATGTTTTTATGCAATGCAAAACCAAAAATTCACTCAGGGTATGGTTGCAACTTGCAATCACACTGAGCTCTATTATTTTACCCTTTTTTCCTGGGCAACATCAATGTGCCAAAAGATGACACTTGCAGATTTAGGGCTACACCTTGCTGATGATAGAGTTTTACTACACTTCAACATGAGAATGATGGCAGCCCAGGGTACCTTATTTCCTGCACAGGATGGAACCCATCACATCTGTCACATCAAAATGGCTGCCGGGTGAAAAGGGACAAGATATCAATGAATATTTGATCAGGGCGGCATAGAAATCTCAGCCCACGCAGTGTGGGGTTGGGGACCGATGCAAAGGTTCTGAATCTACTAAAGGTGAGGTTGTTGGTTTTTTAATATCTGGAATATCGCCCAAATCTTGAATATCTGAGAGACTAAATACTTTCAAAATGCTAATGTTTCATCACCATTTGGTCGATATTTTATAGAAGAATTTTTGTGGGAGTTCCAAATCTAGAGGGGTTGTTTCAAAGGTTCTACATATCATATCATCTGTAGGTAGACTAATGTTAATCTATGCAAATCTAAGCAGAGCAATACACTAACACTTACAGTCAATGTTCTGATGCTTTTAAATTCAGTACTTAGAGATTGTCCAGAGTCTAAAAAAATTAGAACTTCCATCAGTCAACAATTTTTCACTCTGTAGTTTAAGAATATACTCTGTAATTTAAATATATATAAAGTTAACTCTAGTTACTCTCCTCTTTTCTGAATTAGACACTAATGTGCAGATAAATGTGAGTCTGACTACATTTAGTTTTGAAAGTTTATTGAATACTTTATTGAGTATCTCCGAAGCCAAATGATCTAGCCTTGGCAACCTGTGCTTGATCCCCACTGGAGTCTGATTGAATTTGTCCTAAGCTGACTCTATTGGAGAGAGCAGATTTTGTTACTGTAATCTGATTACCTTTGCCAGATTCTGATTTAGTGTCTGAAGCATGCCAGGCTGACACAGCAATGGTCACTGTGTGACGTCAATAAAAATTACATGCATCAACTTTAGCTTAGCTTACTGAAAAGCTAATCTTCCCTGCATGTATCTGTGTTCTATAGCCAGTGTAGGAGGGTAAAATACACCCCTGGCAAGAATATTCCTGCATATATTCTGGGTAGGGCTCACTGGATTTGGCCTGCCACACCCACATGAAGTTTGGCATGAATGTAGGGGTGGATGGATATGAACTGCTCCATGTAACCTGTGCACATTTAACTCCTGGCATTATGCAAAGCTTCAAGTCAAATAGTAAGAAAAGTCAGGATTCAATCTCTTAACATTCTTGGTTAGGCCACAGCAAGTAATTTTTATGGATGACATCAGCGCGTGCATTGATTTTTGTCTGGTTTGGAATAATAAATGGAATTTTGTTGCCCTCTCACAGTGGTCAACATGCCGAAAATGGGCAAAGATGTCTGTGACAATGGATGTTGTAATAGTTGACAGTAAAACTAGCACAATATTAATACAGATATCATTTCTTGTTTAACAAGGTTTATGATGTCCAAAATTGAAAATGAAGGAATCTTGGGGTTTTTTTTTGGCCTGCTTTGTTTTGTTTTCGCTCTATCGCATTAGATTTGGAGTCTCTAGAGGATGCCATTCATAAAATTTACTTGCTGTGGCCTTAGAATTAGAAGTAGGGTCTCTAAACATTGACCCATGAATTTCAAAGTTGAAGGTATACGGGTCAGTCCGGAAGCCTTTTTGAGCTTGTAGTGGCAATCTGTATCTAGGACATGTAGCATTGGAGGGTAGAGCCCATCCCTCTCCTTCCACCACCTTCTACTTCCCGAACAGAAGTCAAATACCAATTCACATCTGAGTGAAGTAAAGAAAATGCCTTTCCATCTAGAAATGCCAGGAATCAAACCCGTGACCGCTTGATCCTCTCTAGCCATACCGCGAGGCAATTTGACCGTACACGCTACTAAAACTCGTGACAAGTTGCCACAGAAAATTTGCCAGTTATTCTGTGGGGGGATAATAAGTCTGTCAATATCAGCGGAAATCTAATCATGCCCAAGGACACCCTGCCCAGGCGTGTAGCTCCAATTAGGCCAGAACAACTTAAACCTGGGGTCAGTGTGTGGTTTACTCAATGGTTATAGAGGCTTCTCATTGACGTCGTCATGATTATCATAATGATAGGAATCCTGGCTACCAGGTGTTGGCAAGTACATTGAGTACAGCAGCATGTTTGTGTGTTTAACAGACATGATATACATAAACAGATATTCACATCAGAATTTAAGCGCAAAAACAAGAATAAGTACAGGGTGTAGATGAAGGAATTTCATGGCCTTGCAGGACCGACGAATGCCTACAACTACTCTAACCCAACATGAGGTACATGTATGTGAAAAGCATGTATTCCTATACAGGCTTTTCAAAATGTGAGCATGATTGAGTTGATTCAGAACCAGAATCTTTTCTTTTTTTGAAAATTAGAAAAATTAAATTGGTGTGGCCCAAGGTTCATCAAGTCAAAATCTCCCAGCATATCGACCTGAAACATCACTGGCAGAAATATATTCTTCAAGTCTGAAATCTCCTTCACAACATGAAAAAAATACAAATGTTTCGATGGAATTTCCATTGAATAGAATGGCAATCATGATATTTCCTGTCTTGTCAATGGAAAATCAGTTGAAATGCAAACACTACAGTAAGAGAATAACAACACCATAGGTTCAGCACCAAGGACAGGCACAACAGTATCAACATGCAAGCTTTTTTTGATACCATAGAACACTGTTTCCAGCCCAAAATACATGCTGTTAATATATTTCTTACTTTCCTACATTAGGCCATGTTGATTTGATTATATGGATGACATCCGCGCGCGCATGAATTTTCGGCCGTTTCCAAAAAAAAAAGTTTTCAACCATACTGTAAATCGTACAAAACAGTTGCAAAATGAGCAAAAATATACCGTAAGTTACAAAAAAGTAAGTAAAAACTACACCAATGTCGTAGAATGCCAAAATCAAACGAAAAAAGACGAAATTGTAAAGAAATGAATTTGAAGAGTAGATTATTCGCCACACCATACTTCTGTGTCATTTGTTCAGCCTTCATGACCACGTAGATTTCATAATGAAGGCAACTTTTTTTTTTTGCAACACTTTTTTTTTATTCGCACGCTCGCATCAGTTTTGGAGTTCCCATAGGATGTCATCCATATAATAAAATCAACATGGCCTTAGTAAAATAATAACAACGGAATTATCAAGCAAATAAAAGCAATGCTTACCTTGTATTCAGATGCTTGTAGATGAGATGGTAGGGGGAGGAGACTTGCACAAGATGTCCTATGGGGGGAGTCAAATTGAGGTATTTAACATCATTCTACATGTGTTTGTATATGTGTGTTTGTGTCACTGTGTGTGTGCATGTGTGTGCAAGCCTGTTTGAGTATGTATTTGGGAGGAAGATTTCATTAACCATTATAAACAGTTTTCAACGACAAATAGCAACAAAATGCCATCTTTTACCACAAATGTTGATGGATGGCCTTTTACAATGCACCATGGGATAGTGTGGGTGGAAACTCTGACCCTGACCCAGGTCTGAACCCTGGTCCTGATGTCCCACATGTGGTGACATGAGGAACATTTAGGACTGTCAGCCAATTTCACAGCACCATGGATGAATGCCATTTGCACACTCATGAATTATAATTATAAAGAGCTGTTTATGAAATATGTTTTTCTTAAAAGTTTTAAAAAACTGAGACTAGCATAAGAAACAAGATTTTCTTTAAAAAGTTTCAGATGATGACAATCTTTAGAATTGAACTTTATTCAAAACCCCCATCCAGACCCTCTAGGGCTACACATGGGGGAAAGACTGAGATGAGAACCAATCAAGGGAAAACTGAAGCTGACAACCCTGCAAATTTCCTCCTCTACCCTAAGGCTTAGAGAAGTCATGCTGCTGATGCCTAAATCCTGTACTGACAGAATTCATCAGGGTTTGAAATGGTTTCTGTCATGTAGTGGTGCATACCTAAACCCACATTTAGGTTCAGGTCCGGATTCAAGTCCAGAGGTTTAGGTTCACTTCCAGACTTGTGAGTCCGGACCTAAACCCATGGCATATACAAAATTGCATGTTGGCAACCTTGCAATGTTGTCTGGGTGAAACTTTGGCCACATAACATGGAGGCCGGTACTTGACGATGCCCGATGGCAATGTTTTCTTCATTTTGCAGCAAAGATTTTGCAATCTACGGAAGGTTTTAGGTGGTTTGGAAAGAAAAGGGGTATGTGAAATGATCTTTTATGGTAATAAGTCCGGACTTGGTTTTTTACTTTTAGGTTTTTTTTTACTTAAACCTAAAAATTCTTTCAAGTCCGGATCCAAGTCTAGTGAACCGGTATGGACCACTACTGTCATGGAATATATTTACTGAAAAATCGTTATTAGCGGTGGCTTTATTTTGACATTTTTTGTGGTAATCTCTCCAACATACATGTAAATTTCTGTGAATATGTCTTCCTTGTATGATTTTTTTCAATCACAATTCTAAAACACTGTAAAAGATGTAAAATAAAACTGTTGCAAAAGTTTCATAATTCACAGTAGGTTTCTCAGTATAACACGTGACTCTCACTTGCCATCATCCAATATATTCAAACAATCGATATCACTTCACCCAATATACATTCTCTCCTATTTTGTCATAAACCATTATGTATGCCAGAATGTGAGATGACATATGTAGGTCAAAAGAAGTATGACATTCTTGCCTCACGTGTACCATTTATTTCAACATCCCGTAGTTTAGGGTTGGACCTGGAGAATTTTGATTTTGCTAATGCTTCCCAGAACAGACAAGAGGAGTGCATCAGACAGCAATTACAGCTGCTCTGCCTTCCAGCTCGTCATCAATCTTTGAGATGCTGAAAATGTGTCGCAAATTAGTCTTCTGGTGTGGAAATCCTGTGGCACTTCCATGTGGGTGGATAGCTTGAGTTAATGGTACTGTGTTGTGAAGGGGGGTTGTTAAAGATGTGTGGTTTTTGATTGAAGGGGCTAGTCTCAACTTCTCTAACGATCAGAGATGGCAGACTTCACCCCCTTGATGTTGTTAAGAAACATACAAATGGACTTGGTAAAAAAAACTTTCTTGTGTGGTAAACTTGGACTTAATGCTTCAACGCAAGACAGATGCAAACTTGAGAAACATTTATAAGTCTCTGTCATAGAATTGTAAGAATTGTACATATTAACAGTATTAAAGACCAGCAAATTTCATTTATGAAGTATTATGTAATTTTTATTATTAAAAATTATTATTATATACTTACATTACATTTGCTTGTATATTACTTAGTAACATTTTGCTATTACCTAAAGGAAATGTATCTCCATTGAATAAATGTTTTGTTTTCCATTCTGTAAGTCCTACTGGGGATACACACTGCTCTTGTGGGTTTTTAAAACGACATGTTTGTCATTCTATTGCCAGTCATTATGTCATTGAAGGGTCAAGGTTCAGCACATTTCACAGTCTGACAGTTGATTTAAGACATCACTTCATGCCATTCTAAATCCTTAAGTCAGACAGAAGGGTGTAGTTAAGGCTAAACTGTCTCTGGTGTGCAGTTTGCAGCTTGCTAAATAGCATTTTATATACACGTGGGGAAAATATTTGTGAAAGCACATGAGATGAAATATAGAGACATTAATACACACACAAAAGCTGATGGAAACATGTTCTCTTTTCAACGCAATCACAGGAGCCTTGTTAAAGACTTTCCAAAGGCATTTGAAGGGTGAAAGGTCAGCATATTTTACAGTTTGGGACAGTCCATTTGAGATGCTGCCCTGTAGAGACTCATTCTTTAAGTTTGACAGCAAAGACAAACTGTCTCTTCTGTGCGTTTGACATCCAGTCTGTAAATTACGTCTATAATTTTTGTGAACATAAAGATGTTGGCATACACACCATACCAAGTCGTGCTGATTTTCATGGTACATGTCAGTACACATGAATTGACAAATTTCATGGACTTGAAATTCATGACTTATATAAGTTGAGAACGTCAATACTGTCAAGGGATTTTATCATCTTAAAACCAGAGTTCTCGGCCCTGAAAGTTGTCACTTTTAGTGGTAAGGATTCCAGTACAGCTGCAAACATTTTATATAATTATTAATATAATTAGCCTGGTAATAGATTCTGCTATTTAAAATGAGGGCATTTAAAACCAGAGTCAAAACCCCCGTAAATAATTTCATCAGGTTGGAAGATACTTAGGATATAGAATTTTCTTCTTACACAACCATAGAGTTTTATCACCTGCTTACGTTTCGATGTCTATCAGACACCTTCCTCAGAGCTTCTGACTGGAGTTCTGCAACTCGCCACTATTTAACGCCAATGTAGGTGGCGCTTTTGCGGCGAGAATGCAATCCCAAACGTGGCTGAGCTTGTAAAGAAGCAGTCTGGATAAGGAAGTCAACCCCAGTGATGAACCGGGACGAGGGGGGATACAAGCTCAGCCACGTTTGGGATTGCATTCTCGCCGCAAAAGTGCCACCTACATTGGCGTTAAATAGCGGCGAGTTGCAGAACTCCAGTCAGAAGCTCTGAGGAAGGTGTCTGATAGACATCGAAACGTAAGCAGGTGAGAAACTCTATGGTTGTGTAAGAAGAAAATTCTATATCCAGAGTCAAAACCCCTTCACGCTATAGTGAAATAGAAGTGGTGAATTCCATGGTCGTGGAAATCATCAATCCATGGCGTCTGAAAATAACATGATTTCCACCATGAAACACAGTCCCTCAGTCTTTATTACTAGAAGCTTTTCCAACTCCCATGGACCTTGCTAGGTAATATTTCACCAGCGAAGATCATGATATTTTCTCTACCATAAACACTACTTTATCCAATAATGGCATCGCAGAGCTCTTGAGGCAATGAAACATTGTGTTCAGGGAAAACTTTGTCGTCATCTGGCATTTTACTGCAGCACAGGTGGCATTTAGAGGCTCAGAGTTCAACATATTCATAGTCATAAAAGGGTAACAGTTGAGAATTGCTTCTATCGGAAATTTTGTCGCTCTAAATGATGTCATTGTAGAATCTGATGTTTGAAGAGACTCATCATGACAGAATCTTATTAGCGCTTGACATCTATATCAGGTAATAGAATTTAGCAAAATAGGAAAATTAACTTTATTTCATAATAGGTTCTAAAAAGGTTATTTTCCTCCAACAACGCAACAATCCGTCGCTTAATATATTCCGATGCCTTTTACAGGAATTCATTCTTTCGGAAGACCTACCATTTATGCTTTTAGGTTTCTTCCTGTTTTATTTGTATGTCTGTAGAGTTTTTGTATTATTTCAATGATGTACTGTACATGTGTTATATGGGTTTTTACCTGAAATAAAGAATGAATGAAATAGCTATCTTCAAGTTAAAGCTGATATACATGTATTTGTACAGGAAAAATTCCTCAATATTTGAAGTAAAAGTCAACACTGAAGAATGAAAATTTCTAAACATCTGTACTAAAAATTAATACATACTATGTATATCTATAATTTGATTTCTGTAATTTGTACATGATGTCATTATAACTGAATGTTTCTGTAAGGTTTTTAATCCTCAGTGAATTTCAATATTGTATTGTAAATTAGCGATAATTCAGATTTTCGCGGTCGCGGTCTGTCAATGCTAATAAAGTTTTCATGAAATGGCTGGATGAAATACAAGGAAAATTTCTCGATATCTGTAGTAGATGTTAACACTGTAGGATGAAAGTTTGAAGAAAATTCTGGATATTTTTAGAGGTTTTTAACAATGGGTTCTGGATGCAGTGCAGCCATTGTCTAAGTCATGAAATGGCTGGATGAAACATAAAAGAAAATTTCTCAATATCTGTAAAAGTTGACAATGTAGAATTAGAGTTTGGGCTATTTTTCGAGGCTTTACACAATAGGGTGGTTTTTAACAACCAGGTTGTGTCTGCAGCACAGCCTCTGTCCATTTACTCATGAAATGGCTGGATGAAACAGGAAACAAGAAGCAGCAGTTGGCTGTACAAATTCATGACCATCACCGTTCACAATTTCATTATCAGACCTGCGCCTCGGCCAGATATTTAGAACACGTACAAACCCCGGGATGATCAATGCATTATGGCGTTTTTTCCTCCAAGTCTCGTCCAGAGTCTTAGCAAGAAATATTGAAGCCAGAGTCCGTGACATTATTCTCTACCCTTGCTTCAGTTTATTTGAAGTGCAAAGAGCTTTTGGACTGAAATATTCATAGGAACGCTGTTATTAAATTCGGGGCAGAACATTACGCCGGTGCTCCGAGATCAAAGAGGGCTCGTCCCCGCCCACGCTTGCCGGACGCATCGATTTCCGATCTGCGCTTCATCCGCGGCGAGCTTCCATTATGGCAGCTTTTGATCAATAACTACTTAAGGCCAACGCTAAATCATGTTGGCTCATTGGGTTTTTGGGATCCCTTATGTTTCCCAGGTTTCTACAAGGACAGGAAAAAAAAGGAAGAAATCTTGTCTGCTTTTTTGGTTCTTAAAGCATGATACAACCATTTAGGTATCAAAATTGTTAACAAATGAAATTATTTTTTTTGTCATAATAAACGAAATATAGTGTGTGATGTTGGTGCCTGAATGTATTACGTGAATAGGGAAAAGGCAATGTTAACTGTAACTAAAAGGTATTAAGTTAAAACCTACTCTGACAAAATACATGTACATGTAACTTTGTGATGTTGTCTTTAAGCATTTTATAACTAAGATGTACATGTAGTATAGATGTTGTACTTCAGTGTTTGGTACCTCATTTATCAAACCAAACAAAATGGCCACTCAGACATTTAATTACTCTTACTTAATCACTTAGACATTTAAGAACACAAGAGAAGTTTGACCTTGTCTAAATGTGTTATCTGACCTTCAAACTGAAGAAAAGCCATGTAATATTCCAGGGGTATGCATATTCCAAGGTCACTGAATCTGTCCAAGTGTATCTAGGATCAAACCCGTGATCTCTCCATTCTGTCACAAAATGTATAATGCTGGAAACTCCATCAGTCTCAGGCCATATCAGTTGGTAACTGCTACTCTGGAAGCCATCTTGACAGTTGTAATGTTTGACAGCGGTATGATACCATCAGAACAGCGGTGTGATACCATCGCAGCCATCAGTTCAGCCTACACAGCCTGACATTTTCCAGCACAAATTTTCCACCGAGTACTTTGGCCTCAACAATTGGCCTAGTCGTTTCTAAAGAAAACTGAGATGGTGCCAAAGCGGAAAGCTTTTGATTAAACACTTTGGCAGACAGCCTGGCTGGGGTATAACAATTACCTTCTTCAACTTGATCGTGAAATAAATTAGAGGCACAAGTCTGCCAAGTAATGTGGTGTCAAAATATAAAAGCAAAGAGGAAGTGCAAATATTAGTTATTGTATACAAATGGCAAGCAATTAGTATACATATATCATGACTTTTAATCTATTGATACATGTGTAGATGGAACTAGACAAGGAATTTTTTAAAATCCTGGTATCAAAACATCAGCATTTGGGGCCGGTTTACTTATTATCCTAAATGGCACACTGGCAGTGAATTTTACATCAGAAAATATGAAGCTGCAAGAACCATGAAATTGCATTAGTGGTGCCTAGAATTCAGACAAAAGAAATGTTTGGAGTGCTCCAGCCTCTTCTGTAAGGTGGCCAGTGTCATACAGACGTAAATAGCTGAATGGACATTCTTCATATCAATTATTCAAACCACAGGCTAGGTCAGATTAAACAGCTCAATTTTCCTGCAGTCTGCCATTTTTGCTGTAAGTTGTTTTTGAAACCAATTCAAGAACCATCAAATTAAACTGGTATGTCCTAAGAGAAGGACTTGTACCAACATTTTTAGCCGAAGAGATAAGAGCACTCCAAACAGTCAGATAGTGGCTCTGCCTCTGGGCCCATTTGGACAGACATGAAACATGTAATCAGTAAACCGTGCCAGCTACACTTGACAGATCACTTATAGAAGTGCAGCGGACCAACTCCAGGCACACCTGCCACCAGTGCTAAAAATTCACACAGCATCATTTCCTTTCAATTTGCTTCACTCACATTACCAAAGGATTACCACCAAATTTCCATACCATTCATTAAGCTAGGAGGGAGAGAGGGGAATGGAGGATGTACCTGTGCGTGTTGCGGGGAGCTGGGAGGATGCTCAGCTGACTTGCGGAGACCGTCGCTCGCCCAGCTGTGGTCGGGAGGCAAGGAGAGACGGCATCAGGTCATGTGATCAGGTCACGTGACCAGGGAAGGACCTGTCATGTTCGGAAATGAGATGATTATGGCGGAACGTACCAATTAGAAATTTAGCAGGGGAGATTGGGTTGCAAACGTAAATGAAATTAACTCCATGCGAGGAGCATACCATCTGCAGGCTTGGTGTGGGGGTTGTTTTTAATGATGAATGGTAATGGTAATGAAACAATCTATCATTGGACAATTTACTGAGTGAGGGGACTGTACTTAACGTTACATTACTAACGTTAAAGCAGCTACTATTTGTCGTGAGTCATATTTTTGACCTTGACTGCACCATGGAAATTACAAAGCAGTGATACCTTGCCATAATATACTTTTACTAGACCAATCAACTGCAGCTAAATCTTAGCACTCAATCACAATTAAAGGAGTTCAAAACACGACGTCCTAAATGTTATACTAGCTGTTACTTAGCTGCTGATTATAACATCATAAAAGGCTTGCTTACCTTGTTGGCATTTCGGTAACTCCTCAGCCACCGTTCCCAGAGCCAGTGAATTTAAACGTTCTATCCACGTGCTGCACACGTAAAAACATGAGAACTCAACTGCGTTGTTTTGTTTTCTTTGTGTGAACAACGAAAGCTCTTCATAGTGTGAACTCTGGATTTTCGTCATCTTTTGCGGTTTCAAGTGACGCCAAAAGTTGCTGTTTAAACGTAAAAACAACACCCAGTTCCTCCCATTTTATTTTACTCGCGCCACACGAGGATATCTAACGCCGAGTGAAATGTTTACATTAATGTCGAGAAAAAAAGGATAAGGTCAAAGGTCATTATTACCAGGAAACGTACAATAGTGCCTCTAGCGGAATATATGAGAAGTGCAGGTTGCTCAGCTGAGTGTGGCAGTTTTCACCATGCCGCTTGTAGTTTTATGCGGCATCCCTTGTAGCGGAAAAAGTAGGCGAGTTGAAGAGCTAAGAAAGCACGTCGAAAGTACGACCGATCGGCCCGTGCACGTCGTAAGCGACGAAAGTGTTGGAATCGACAAAAACGCCGTGTATGCAGGTATGGTACTCGTGGCGGTGGGGAGGGGGGCACTAGTGCAAAAGTACCTAAGTAACGGGTTCCTCCCTCAGTACTCGGTGTTCAGTACTGAAGGTGCCTTCCGAACTGAACTTCCAGTTCGGAAGTTCTGTCAGAACTGGGCGTCCAGATCTGAGGCGACTTCAGAACTGGAAAACTCTGAATCAGTTCTGGAAACCGAGAACTGAACGTTCCTTCCGTACTGGAAAACGCGGAGCGGCTTTGGCGTGAGTATAGCCCGGCTTACAACATGGGCGATAGGCCACCGAGTTTTTGTTGAGATCGCTGTTGCTTTGTTTTATGAACACTCGCATACTGTGCACTCCGTACAAGCTTAAGATTCCCGATAATCATACACTGAACACAAACACTATGAACACGGTCCGTTGAAAGGATCCGAAGAGTCATGAACTCAACACATAACACCGTGAACACTGTCCGTCGAAAGATTCCCGAGAGTCATACACTCATCGCATAACACCGTGAACACGGTCCGTTGAAAAATTTCCCTAGAATTCTCTGTACAATGAACCATACATATATAATACATACTGCTGGGTACTTGGTCCGCTGAATCATACAATAAAAAGCACACTCATTACTCAGCTGTTACATTGGCGTTCAGGGTAGCGCAAAGGCCGACGGGAATAGAACAGGTTTCGCAAACTCGAATGCGTTCGCAAAACCGCTGCTCGACTCGATAGAACCCCAAGCCGGGGCTAGCGCTAGCGGTGATAACTTCAAAAAGATGACTAGTAACTAAGTACCTAACCAAGATGAAGCGTTCGGAAGTCGCTGTTCGGCTCTCGGCAATCTTCGGGAGACTTCGGTATCTGTTCGTATGGTTCTTTGGAATCCTCATCAGTTTGTGACCGTGTTCAGTGTACGTATGATTCTAGGGAACCTTTCAACGGGCCGTGTTCACGGTGTTATGTGTTATGTGACTGTATGATTTTTGGGAATATTTCAACGGACCACTGTATTGTGATGGCAACGGGCTGAATGAGTAGACACAGTGTATGTTCTAACATGCGCGAAACAATAATAAGGATTTTATTTAATGGTTTACAAAACAATGTAACGTTACATGTATTGTTAGATCTCAACAAAAACTCGGTGGCCTAGCGCCTGTGCTTACAAGCGCTGCCGGGCGGTAGTAAAGCCGGGCAAGCTGCCGGACGGCCGCCGCAACATAAGGCGAACACGGCTGCCGGAGGACAACGAGAATACCTACAGGAAGCGTCTACGGGAGACGAGAGAAACTGAGGCGGCTAACAACGAAGAGCGGGCTGTTGAAGATCGGCACATCGACCAGTTATAGACCAATACTAGTTTATACGTTGGTGATGTCAGCAAGGCTACTTCTACTACTGTAATGAGACATATCGTATTCAGTACTGGAACATCCCAGTACAATTAGAACGTGAGAACAGGAAGCCCAGTTCGGAAATAATTTGAAAACTCGGCTTCCAGTACTGTAGAGTCACTTTTTACTGGTCAATCCAGTACGGAACCCGTTACTTAGGTACATCGACACTCGGCTTTCCAGTACTGAATGACCTCCGAACTGGGTAACCAGTACTGAATGACCAGTTGAACCAGCCTTCCTGTAGCCGGGACGCAACACAGTACTGGGGTCCGAGTACCGACGGGCGTTCAGGTCTGGAAAACGAGTTCCGAAACAAGATTCAGTTCTGAACTTCCAGTTCTGACGAAGCTTCAGTACTGGAATAACGCCGTTCCGAACTGGAATTCCAGTTTAGAGCTTTCTTCAGAACTGGGCCCCGAGTATCGACGCTGTTTTCTCCACGGTTTCCGTACTGGGCGCCCAGTAAGGAACACGTTACTTTCGTACCTTTGCGGCACTAGTACTGCATTTCACTATGAGTATGATAATGTCTGAAGTATGATACTAACGTTTTTGCGATTTTATTTTTAGATTCCAGACAAGAAAAAGATGCCAGGGCTAAGCTTAAGTCTGCCACAGAGAAGTAAGTATCGAGGGATTTGAACCCAGGACCTTTTGGTTCTCAGTGGGTCACACACACTAACCACTGGGCCACAAGTCATCACTCTGACTATTATATAAAAAGCAGACTTTCTGTACATGTATATTATTTTAGTAAAAAAAAATGTGTGTAAACTACATGATCTTATTGACTAACAGTTACAGAGGTTTTGTTTTGTTATTATCATTAGTTAAACGTGTTTTCTCATTTGCAGGAAACTTACCAAGGAAACAGTTGTGATTTTAGATTCCTTAAACTACATAAAAGGTGAGTCAACATATCTTCATACTGACATGACTGTAGACATTTCATTTCAGGCTCTATTTTTGCTATGTTCCAGATGGCGAGTCGGATTTACTCTCATTTTGTGACCATCCCTTTCTGCAGGTTACAGATATGAGCTGTTCTGTCTGATCAAACTTCTTCAGACACCACACTGTGTGGTAAGCCAAGAATTTCCCTTTTTCTAAAGATCCCTGCATTATAACCTCTTGCCTATTTTGAAGCCTTTTGTTTTCTGTTACCCTGTATTTTTTCATAGTACAATAATTGTGTGACACCTTGGGTTCGGAGCCAAGTATACTGTCTTATTTACCTTCCTGTTGTTTTCAGATCCACTGTGACACCAACCCGCCTGTAGCCTCACAATGGAACCAGGAGAGAGAGCCATCAGAACAGTACACACAGGAAATGTCAGTTTTAATTTGCGATCTTACTAGTAGTTCAGAGACTTATACTGTACTACTGAACTGTACCAAGTAAAATAATCGTCTCAATCATGATACATAAATACATGTATATGCAAATGAAAATACTTTACGGTATTGAAATTTAGTTTTTATGCCAAGGAGCAAGCTGTTACTACATGTATCTAAGTTTCTTATATTTACCTTCTAACTTTTCAATAATGTTTTTGTTCAGATTTGACGGTCTCGTGATGAGATTCGAACCCCCTGAATCCAGGAACCGTTGGGACTCACCGCTCTTCACCATACAGACAGGAGATGAGCTGCCCTGTCAGGATATCTGTGATGCCATCTTCCACAGGAAAGCCCCTCCTCCTAACCTCTCCACACAAACTGTAAGTATTGTATTGTCTATAATACAATATAACGTTAGTACCTAGTATGAAGTCTAAATGAAATTGTAACACTGGATCTTTAAACCTCTATGAAATATATAATTCTCTCTCTTCCACCATGACTGATCATGAGAGCATGAATGAAAGAGTTGGAATATCTTAGCCTCTACCAGGCTTTGGGAAGCGACTGGAAAGAGTAGAAATTGGCCAAATAGACAGATGATATGCCAGGAGAGTTTGTCCTTGCTAAGAGAACAGTTTGCCACTCAGGAATATTTGGATCCTTGCAGTATGTTTTGTACGTTTCAACTGTTGTAAAATGATGTTATACCTTATATTTGTCTACAGCAACCTCTGTCATCTACCAACTTCCTACATGAGCTGGACAAGATCACACAGGAGGTTGTTAATGTAAGGATGTTGTCACTTGTTCTTGTATAGACTAGTCCTACTTTGACGCTAATGTTATGTTTATTCAAAACTTGAAAAAGAAATCACTAAATTATTTTTAAGTATATCTACACATACACATATACATACACAATATATACATGTACACACACACACACACACATGTACTTGCTTACTTTGTACACATACATTGTACACACAAAGTCCAACTCTGCTCTGTTTCAGACCTTACTAGATGCCCAGAAGACTGCTGTACCAGGAGACTACATCCACATACCAGGAGCTGCAGACAAAATATCCTTCCTCTACTTCTATTCCTAAAATGAGTTTTTAGCCCTGGAATGTAAAACCATAAGCTGTTATGTTTTTGCTGTTTCTTGTTCCTCTTCTTCTCCAAACAAATAAGTTCAATGAACTGAACCAGATGTCTGTCACCATAGTAACTGGTGTTGGGTCACATCATGTTGCAATTTTATAGCAGGAGGGATTTAGACTCCTGTCACCATATATAAATGTGTTTGAGTAAGAATATTAACAGAGCAGATCATATGCGTAGGTAAACATTATGCATTTGCTTTGCAAATGTTACCTCTCTAGTGTAGTAATTTTTTTCCTTAACAAAAGTGTACATCTACCTGAGCCACGTTGTGAGTGCCCCAGAACTGAGGAGACATCGCAGACAGTTTATAACCTACACCAAGATGCACCCTGTAGACGACACCTCCAAACTAGCCAACATCTTTGTGCAATATCTCAACAACAGCATCAAGTAGATAACCTTCCACCTGCTAATGTAGCCTTTTGGCACCACATTTGCATAAGTTATTGGGTTAGGCAGCAGGGAGAAAGTTAACTGTATTTTGGCAAGTCCTCAGAAGTGGAGCCAATAGTAGGTCGACATATGATGAAATCACAAATATTAGTATTTTTTTTAGAGCATTGCGATTCATACAGCAACAAGACATGCTATGTGCTACATATGTAAGTAAAGATGTGAAAGTCTCCTTTGCAATATTTAATTCACTGATTTTCCCTGCAGAGTAATATCAAGTCGGACGCAAAGTTTCTTGTTTTGATACTTCTGTCTGAAATCTTAATTTTGAGTTAGTTTTGTGTTATTTCTAGTCATCTTACTGATTTGGTATGTTTAGATAACTTTTAACTGGTTTCAGATTAGTTTGTATTTCAAAACTGTTACTTTTTAACAACCAATAAACAATTGTTCTTACAAGGAAATGGTAATCTATTTGTCCTTTTCTCTAGATTTGTCTTTATGTAAAATGTATTATGAAACATTGTTCACCTTAAATCGGGGTATCTTACTATGTAGCACTTCAGACTTTGAAACATACCTTTCCACCAAAGTGTCTATAATAGTATAAAGTTAAGTCTTAGCATGACATAAAGACTTTACAGAGTAAGGCAATATCTGCTTCTTGAAGATCTTGATTTCAACTGCTCCTTCCTGAGAATGCTGGGAGATGCAAAGCATGCTGGGGAAAGTCACTATCATTCAGGGTAACGAACTGTCCACTGGTGACCAGGGTAAATTTGAGGACGGAAACATTGCTTCTGAACTGGAAACCTGGAAAAGAAAAAGTTTCAGGTAAATTAGAAAGATTATCTACTTGCAAATATACGAACACCATAAGTAAATATGGCACATCAGAGAATACAGTAGGTTTGAACACTAAGCACACTGCTATTTTTAGAGATGACACCATCTGGACATTGCTATACACTATTGTATACACATTGCTTCTTCATGACAGAATACTATCAAATGAAATATATTAAAATACAGTACTTACTCTAGATCCTCTTGGTGCCAGTCCCAATGGAATTTTTCAAGTTTGGTAATATTTAAGTTTTGCATTCAAAACAAATGAAATGATACAATGGTCGTCATAACAGCACACAAAAGCGAGACTTGAAACTGGAATTTTTCCCATGTGGACTTCTTTCTGCAGTTTTCTTCCTGTCCTGTTTGGTAGATTTAACATAAGGAGATTCAGGACCTTGAACAGTTTCTTCCCTTGGCACCGAATTGTCAAAGCCCTGTCCATGTTCATCAGACTGTAAGATTCTTGCTTCTTCTTTAGTATCGTCCATATCCTCTGACATAGCCGCTCCGTCAGGTAAGTCATGTCCAAATGCCATCTGAACTTTGGTCGCACTGTCCTGGCTCGCTACTTCAGCTGGTTCCGTACTTTCCATACTTGTTTCCACTTGTCTTCTTTTTGTTGCAGATTCTTCCAGTGCCATTTGAGGTGACAATGTTTCTCACAGTTTCTGCTTCACTAGTACTGTACTTTTCAACCTCAAAATCTGTCACTTGTACCTATGACTTTTCCTCGCCACCAAAATATCGACCGCAGTTTGCTCCTCAGCTATGTTTGTCAACTTTGGATTAGAGTCAGTAGTAAGTAAACAAGTCCTTTGTACAAAGGTAAATAAAGAAGAAGGCTTGGTCAAACAAAAGTGCTGCGTCATTCTATTTTAAGAATCTGTTCAAAGGTATTTTCCCACCTAAAAGTGGGATGTGAGAAAAGTGGTTTGAACAACAAAAATAAAAGAACATGGATCAAAAATATGCAGTAATAAGACTTTATTCATAGATTTGTTAAATCTGTCATGGTAGAAAAATACAAGAACTGTATATGTGGCACTCTGGGAGTCAGCATTGAGTGGAGAAATGGTGTTCAAACAATGAGTTTTACATCTATTACTACAGAGTACATACTTGTAGTCAAACACCTATGATGAAAGACCTCGGACATTTACACAATGTGTCTTTCTGGCTTATGTAGTATAGAGTACAGTTTTAAAATGTTAGGCTTAAAAATATGCCAAAAGACTCAAATGAGACAGAAAGTCTTTCCGGATGCAAAAAATAAGGAAACATTTTCTTCATAATCTAATTACTTTGTGGGACCTTCTGTTTACATTGTAAAAATACAATCCACAACTTTTTCACGGCTCAAATGCAAAATGATTAAAACATCAGTCTTTAAGACAAAGTGCATTTTGAAAGTGTGTTATATACATGTATTGCTTTTACGATGTTTATCTTTAATGTTGTTTTGACTATTCAGTCTGGCTATAGAATTAGTATATCCTATATTTATCTTATGTCAATTTTACCTGGATATCCAATTATTAGTATTCTGGACTGTGTAGTATATAAGCTATAGGATAATAATGGCATCTTTGTTGAGTTCATGATGAAAAAAAAAGTATTACAATTACCTTAGATAAAATGTTAACTATGAGAAGTTAATGATAAATACAAATGAGTAACTGTTACAAAAATAAAACCTTTATAGAAAGACATCGGTTAGCAACACTTCTTCCACCGGAAAGTTTCATATTAATTTTTCCTTGTACTACAAATGATGCCACAATTGTAGCTACAAATACATTTGCATGATTAGTACAAGACTCAAATCCAGCTGATATGGCATTGAAAGTAAGCGAATCTTAGCCACTATTATTTGTTATCTTTGCATCGTTTGGAAAATCCAAACTATCAGGCAGCATTTAGCAAGAGGCAACATAAACATCCATAAAACAACACATTCACGATTGGCAGTTAAGCAATTAATTAAATCAAGTGGAACAGATTGGAACAGAGCAAGCTTGAACAGCAATGGTTTAGTTGTTGAAGACTTTTTATATGCGACAACAAAATCATTTGCTGTTTCTTGATTTTTTTAAAGGGGAATAAAATGAGGAGAGAAAAAAGGAAAATGTTTGACAAAAAGCATGGACACTAGACCTCTCAAATCTTTACATGTTACATGTACGCTGAAGCGAGATTTAATACCAGCTATACAGATACAGATTCAAAGTTGGTTACACCAAAGGTAGGTTATATATATTGGCTATACAGATACAGAAGCTGGTGTGTTATGCCGAAGGGCGGTTATACCAGCTATACAGATACAGAAGCTGGTGTGTTACACAGAAGGGAGGTTATATGGACTATACAGATATGGATACAGAAACAGCTATGACATCAGGAGTGTCCCAAAGACAGAAGATATTGTAGAAGATGGACAGGACAGACAACACAGTGTACTGTCCCTGATGCAGTCATCTCAGTTCTCTTTGACGGACACTTTTGAGCTGAGCTTGGTCATCAGGTTACAAATCACAGCATCATCCAGGGAAATGGCTGAAAATGTAAAAAAAATGAATATAAATTTCTAAAAATGCATTCAAAAAAAGCTAGTCCATGTAAAAATTGAAGTAAAGCAATCAATTCATTGTACTGTAAAGTTTGACATATTCAGTGTTTTTCACTTGCAAGCCCAAAGATACAACAAACAGTTGAAACACTTTCCATGAATTAAAGTTTCACTCAAAATTACAGTGCTTCGTAGCCTGAAATCCAGACACGTTCAGCATCAGTTTGCTCGAACCTTTGATGCCCTTGCTATAAGCAGTTTGACTGTTTGACAGGAGCTCAACATAACTGGATCCCGGGCTACAAGTCCCTATATACTAGCATCTAAACCTCCATGGAGTTTACTAAACTCACCTTTGGGGTCGTCTGGTCTGCTGAGCTCCGTGGAGACGTTAGAGATAGTCCTGTTGAAGGTGAGGTCCAGGTCCTTCCCGGGGCTGTCAAACTTGATGTAACACGCCCTGTTGGACAGCGCCTCCTGCTGGATCATCCTGGTATTGCACATCATAAAATATGCATTGGTCAACAATCTCTCAACATGTAATCTTGCATTTTGCACTATTGTTTCAAAAATCATATCCAGTTGCTTGTGTAACTGTTTTCTTGGCATCGATTGTATGTTACTGTTGATAAACAAAATAATGAACAAACAAACAAACCTCATTGGTGTTAGAGGTCCATCAGGAGTGGCCAATAGAGATGCAGGACTGCCCGAGGCTGACAAGCGTGACCGGTTGCGAGCGCGCTGGCGTGCTGATCGTCGCTGGGCCGTACTACTTTGCCGGACGGGGGTGAAGGGAGAGGGGTTCCTTATGGTCCTGGTTAGGGGTTGAGTTAGGAGACTGGGGTCAGGAGGTCAGTGGGGGGTCAGGAAACAGTAAGATTCGAGGAAAAACAACGTCATTTTGGGAAGAACACGGTTTTCTGACAACTCACCGCCACCGTGCCTGTCTCTTCCACCATCTCCAAATTACGTTTCCACCATCATACATTTATATACATATAACATGACATTTTCAACCATGCACAAACTTGCTGACACACTGTAACAGTGTAAAATATACCTGTACATACAGTCTAAGTCTAGAAAGGGAGCAAACCTCAAAAAGTTTAAACTAAAATGTTGTTTAATACCCTGTAAAGTAACAAGAGTTAATCTTGTAATGAAATTCAGTTGGCTTGGTGGAAGCCTGGCCTTCAAAAACTCCTCTAGACTAAAACTAACTGAACTTCAGCACAAATATTATATAAATAATGATGAGTTTGTCCCACTCACCTGTAACGATAACCGACTTCTGTGTCCGGCGAGGAAACATCACACGTGTCGACTAACCGCTGACGCTTCTGGTTACTAGTTATGTTGAATTTCTGGGAGAAACAATAAAATCCAATTATCTTCAGAAATACAATTTATTTACATGGTTGAAGTCCTAGCAAATACATAAATATATAGAGAGTTGTTTACTACTATGTGTACACAAACATGACTACTTAGTAAATTCTCATTTCCAGTACTTAGATACTGCACAATTAATAATTTTTGTGAGGAATTTTTGTCTCTCTTAAACTTGTCGCACTGAGAGTTTACAATGAGTATACAGTATGATACATACATTTGGCAGAGCTCCGAGTGAGTTGGTGGCTGCTCGTACAACGCTACTCGCTTTCCGTTTCAGCCCTGACAGCTCCCTTCCGACACCGCGCTCTGCGAGCTGGTTACGGATCATCTTGAAGGACGGCCTTCTGCGGACTTTGGCTGAGGCCGCGACCACGGGACTGGCCTTCTCGTCCACGGCTTCCACCAGGCTGGGCTGGCGGCGCAGCTGGCGCAGGTTGTAGGGTAGACTGGCTTTCAGGCTTCTCAGGGACGGCCGACGCACAAACCTCGGTCTGATACTGGAACATGAGATGTATTATGGAAAATATCAAAGCAATATCATAGTATCTCTTGATATGAGGGCAAATAATACTAATTAGTTTTAATGTTACATGTACCACTAATCTCCAAGCAGATATGGATTCAAAGCAATGAAAAAAATCTGCTTCACTTCGCCATGATATCAGGGCTGTGAAATATATTAGACTGAAAGCTAGAGAATCCCTGACTGTTATATCATATTCCACCCTACATCTGCTTGAATATTTACCCAACATTAGGGCGTGGTTTTTTGGTACATGTATAAAGAAAAACATGTTGTTCCAAAGAGACTAATCTATCGGACTGTAATTAATTTATCGGAAGAACACAACAAACCAGAATTAATTATGTAAGATTCAGAAAATAAATCCTGGGCATCGCAAAACATGTAACGTTATATGGGGGGAGGGGGGGTACTACATGTGTATAAACATGTTCCGATCGCCTACCCCGTGGTGTTCTGGTCCTGTGGAGACTCTGGTATGTCCTCATCGCTGCCGATTTCCACCAGGCTTCTGTGTCTTCTCTTGTGATCGTCCAGCTTGACCCGGACGCTCTGCCGAAGCTCCTTCAGCGAGGCGAGGGAGGGACGCCGGCGGAGGGAAGCCTTCCTCACCACCGCCGGGCTGGCCTGCTCGTCCGCTTCGGCCACCAGGCTTCTCCGCCGCCTGAAGGAGGACTTTATACTCTCCGATCGCGATATCATCACGTAGTCTTGCCTATTTTCACGATCTAGAGGCTAAAATTACGCTAAAACTGCTGCTAACTACCGCAGTCTGGTCGCAGGAACAAAGAAACCGAGTCGCCCGTTTCAAAATTTCCCTCCACCAATCAGGCCGTGACTTGCGCAGAGACGCCGCAGTGTCTAGTGCAGTACCGCCCTCTAGCGGCTAATATGAAAAATGCAGATAAAGGGTCTAACCAACAAAAATTCCACCTTACAACTTTATCCGGTACATCTTTCATTCTGTTGATAACCATTAAATATATTTAGAATATTTAACCTTACAAAACTGATTGACTTTTTGTAGAAAAAAGACCACACAAAAAAAAACAAACTGGACAACAGAAATAACCATTGAAAAACAAGCAACGAGTTTGGTGAGTTTTTATAACCAAGTGCAAAACATACTACATTTGGCAGCATATGTACAATGTAGGTACATATCCACCTTATTGATCATGAAATGTACTGTAACTTTCTGGTTCCTACACTGAATAATAACTGTTTCAAATACAAACATACAGGGCCATACAGCACTTAAATTATAATGCCCCTAAAGGAAAGCAAAACCGTTCATTCTTTAATGTATGCAGACAAAATAAAGTTACAAAGCAGCATCCAAGTGTTTCTACCGTATAAAAAGTACTATGCACGTTAGCAGCATATTTGTGTAATTCTACTCTTTGTAATGTGCTTTTACAGAGTGTCTTTTCCACAAATACAGATTTTTCTGTTGAGACATTTAAACAGCTTTACTTTTTCAAGTATTGCACACTCTATATTCAAAACATACAGTTTCCTTGAAAAATATGTTAGCAGAATTTTTTAACGTGTTCTGCAACTTTTCTTCACAAATTCAAACAACCCCACATCAATATATCATGTTGGTGCTCTTAAGGAGAGATAGAAAAATAGAGTGAATAGATACAAAAGGAACTGAGAATTTATTTCTCTAAAAGGTATTAAAAGTTAAAAGTTGTTCTTTTTCATATAAATACACACATAGTCATAGAGAGATATACAATGTGAAAGGTAAAATCACTTTACAAGACAAACAATACATGTCAGCTTTATGTACAAATGTAATAGATGCAGTATACTGGTGTAACAGGCCAAAATGTACCCCGGTACATTTTGGCCGGGTGTAACAGGCTGGAATGTACCTGGCCAAAATGTACCCTGGTATATTTTAGCCGGGTACATTCTGGCCTGTTACACCTGCATCGGTGTCAGTATGTATTATTTTAAAATCTCATTTAAGCCTTGTTCCACAGCCTTTCTTGCAGCCCAAACAGTATTCTACACCCCAGTAGTCTGTGAAATGGAGTCCTCATCAGGAGACTTGGCAGGAGGCTTGTACAGTGGATCTCTGGTCACCATCAACTCCTGAATCTTGGTATACAGCTCGTGGTCAGGTGGAAATCCATTTTTCTGAGGAAAGATGGTTTCATAAAACTTTATTTTCAATTAAGAACTGCCATTGAAATTATGATAGACACATCCTTGAATATGCAAATAAGACCTAATATGAGAGATTCTGCCAAAGTGCACAATAAGTTACAGATTTTTGCAGAGGCACAGTAGGGTACATCTTACTGACATGCTAATCTGCAAAGTCATGATGAATTACTGTGTCAGCAAAAGATAATCACAAGTTTGCATCCTCAGATTGCCTTTTCTAATTGTTTGTTGTCAGTGTAAACAACATAAACAAACAATGAGGGACATAGGTAAAATGGGCTGCCATCACAACTTAAGACCAGAGAAATCAGGACACGACATAAGCACTAAGCAATTCTCTAGGAAAAAAGAAAGAAAAAGGTCGAACCTGTAGAGACAGCCTCATGAGCCCCGTGCCACCCGATCGTGATCCCAGTGTGGTGAGAGTGATCTGGTACTGGATCCCCTTCAGTAGGGCCTTCAGTCCTGCCTCTCCTATCTTATTCCCTGCAGATTAGGACAAAAAAGGATCAGGACTCAAGACATTAAAGTTCTGTGACAGCCTCAAAGCCCTCCAGGGTGATACAAATAATTAAAACATGCCACCTTAAGATATATGCATTTTTTTAGTTAAACCTGATCGTAATGCATCCCTATGTTCAGAACATATGACTGTTCTCTTTGTTGTTAATCTTTTGGAGCCAAAAGACTATTTTTCAAGTTTGTTCCAGTCAACTTCGTCTGTGAGTATATCATTTTTGGCAATGACTCACAGAGTTGAATAGAACCTACTGAGTGTTCTTCTTAGTGATGAATTAGTCAGTACGTACTTGAGACATTAAGGTTGATGAGAACTCTGTTCCCAGGGATGAACAGTTCTCCATTCAAACTCTCTGCTTCCTCCAACAGAGGGTTGATGATCTCTTGGACCTCAGGAGTCTGGATGGAGAAATACAGCTGTCATTATCAGCAATCTTCATCATATCTTGTCACTGCAACTACATGTAGTTCAGGCTTTCTGTTTCATGTAGGTGATTGGTGAAATACAAAATCATTATATGATATAATCCAACTTAAGAACTAGAATATTCTGTGAATTCTACACAATTACACCTTCCATGTATTTCAACACCCCTTGCATACAGGAAAATCACTTGATGTCTGTAACTTTTGCAACAATGCCTGTAGCCTAGCAACAATGTCTGTAGCTTAGCAACAATGTCTGTAGCTTAGCAACAATGTCTGTAGCTTAGCAACTACGTCTGTAGCTTAGCGACAATGTCTGTAGCTTAGCAACAACAGAGTTGTCCTGGGCCCACCTCAGGTTCAGTAGTGATGGTCCCCGCTGCCGGGCCCTTCTTTCCTCCAGACTGACGACCTTTGCCCTTGGTTGTCTTGGCAACACTTTCTGTGGGGAAAACCAATCAGAGGGCTGGTATCTATCTGGAAATGGTTTATGACCAATCAAAAGTGTTGTCTCAAATGCATTTAGGTGACAAAGTGTAAAGAGAAAGATACAATTAGCCCTATAAAATCATCATACAACAAGGATGAACTGAACTAAACTAAACTGAAATCCTCCATTGATAGTTTTTTTTTCCAAATAATCTTTATTGTAATTTCAAAGAATAAAGACAAAGGACATGTCCTCCATTGATAGTTAGGGGGTACAACCTTTCACTGCAGAAAATTGGATTAGAATTGAACCTAGGCTACAAAAAACACCCTCACAAAACCATGTCAAATCAACTGATTGGATTGGATTATATCAAATTTCACACTTCTTTAGACTATTGCTAAATTGATCAACTGATTTTAATGTCTGACAACTTGACCACAAGAAGAGATTGGTTGATGTTAGTTAGCAAGTGATAGCCCGGAATCCATCCGTGAACGCTGTGTCTCTGCTCCGTTCTGCCTGAACAGAGCGGAGACACAGCATTCACGGATGGATTCCAGGCTAAGCAAGTGTTAACAAGTAAATGACAAAAAGAGGAAGTCAGGATAGGACAACCAACACCAAGAGTCAGGAATTTAACCTTTTGAGGCACCACGTGCATCTATGGTCGTGCAGGTATCCGTAGGATGAACAGAGTGGGGGATTTGGAGAGAAGGATAGAAGGATGATAAAAAGAAGGACATCAGTTAAAGTACTTACATAAACATGCATTAGCAATCCATGATTGCACAGGACATAATTGTATGATGACACAGTTTTTGGTAAAAGCACCATGCGCAAAGACCAAACAGGCTGAAAACATTTAGCCTAACATAACCCTTTGATAATACACTTCATTCCTTATAAATAAATACTATCACTTATTATTATCACTAACTTTTTACAGACTATCTTTAATGTCCACAATTTTACAAAAAAATTCCACAGTGTCAAATCTTACCTTTTTTCTTGTCATCTTTCCCTTTGCCCTTATCATCCTTCTGTAGAATGGAATTTTAAAAAAAACTTTAGCTTAAAGGTAAGGCAGCCTTTTGACATCAAGCAACAGGTTATAAAATTCATCTCAAAATCAAAAATTGTGAACTATTTTGTAGTACTGCCATGATTTATTGAAAACATTCTATTGTTTATTCTCCTTTAAAGCTATCAAAACAATTAACAGACAATCTAATCATGTGTAACAGGCCAAAGTATATCCCCTTGCCAGAGTACACCTGGCGGGTCTATTTTGGCTGGGGGTATGTTCTGGCCTGCTACACTGGTGAACAGCTGACCTTTTTCGCCTTGGAGGAGGAGCGTCCAGACTTGGCCACGGACTTGTCCAGCTGTGACCGGCTGCTCTGACTCATCGGACGGTCTCGGGACTCTGATCGCTTCGGGATGGGCTGGAGGTACGCAAAAAAGTGGTTATCAACTTGATAATTCAACATCTAAGGGATGGACTAATAAGGATCTGAAGCTAACTTTACCATGCATATCTGGTACAATGGTAATCACTGCATAACTGGGATAACATTATTAAGCTCACAGATAGCTACAGTACATGTTTTTTGTCTGGAAACAGTTTTCTATGGTAAGGAAAAAAAGCTTGCATGTAGATACTGTTGTGCCTGTCCTCGGTGCTGAACCTATGGTGTTGTTATTCTCTCACTGTAGTGTTTGCATTTAAACTGGTTTTCCATTGACAGGTCAGGAAATATCATGATTGCCATTCTATTCAATGTACATTGTACTGAAATATACAGTACATGTAGTTTTGAAAGAGTTGTAAAGTTTATTATTTAATACAAGCTAAGCTAAGTTTTCCGAAATCTGTCATGATCATACGTAAAGTTTCAAGAGGATGTCAATCATTTGTGTGGCCTAAATTCAACTCTGCCTTAAATGAGTCATTTGAAATATAATAATCGAAAGAAGTAATAAAAATAAAGAAATTTGGAACCAGCCATACCGATATCCTGATGTCAGGTGTTCCCTTTTCGGAGATGAGCTTCCTTCTTTCCACAACCTCTTCATGAGTCAGCGCAAATCTGGACAGCACCTGGGACAAACAGTTACAAACAACCTCATTGGTCAGGAATGTGCTGGTAAAATGATATAAAAAGTGTGATTGGCCAGAAGACAAATACAACCTCATTGGTCAGGAATGTGCTGGTAAAATGTTATAAAAAGTGTGATTGGCCAGAAGACAGTCACAACCAAGTTGATTGGTCATTACTAGAATCATTCATCAAATTTCACAAACAAGGTAATAAGGAATTTTATTGGTAAGGAAAATTGATGATGACTTATGATGACTAAAAAAATATGGTGGGTGACATAAACTGCAATCTAAAGTCGTATGTAGAGCTTACCTCCCCTAACTGTTTGGCCCCTTCATCCCCAATTGCATTGTTGGCAACTGACAGAATCAGCAATGTTCTGTTCATCCTCAAACCCTGCAAGAAAGAAAGATGCATTACTGTTAAAGACTCTAAAACATCTGAAATGTGGAAAAAAACTTTTGTTCAAATCGTTGAAGAGAGCTCAGGGAATTTCACTGGTACTGTGAGACTTTAATTCGAATATCCCCAGGGCACACCACTAGTCTCCAAACAAATAAGGTGACCTGAACCAGACGTCTGTTACCATGGTAACATGGTTACATCATGTTGCAACTTTATAGCAGGAGGGATTTAAACTCCTGTCACCATATATATATGAATGTGTTTGACTTTCAGAATTAACAAAGCAGATCATAAGCGAAGGTAAACATTATGCATTTGCTTTGCAAATGTTTCCTTAAGTTTCTTGTTTAATTTTTTTAAATAAGAATTTACAACAATGAAGAACAAGAAGAGTTCTGCAACTCACATTAGAGAGGTGGCAGGCGCCCACATCTGTGATGAGGTTACTGTTGAGGTTCAGCACACACAGACTCTGGTTCCGTGTCTTAACCGTGGACAGGGCCTTCCCGATCAGCAACGCACCCTTGTCAGATATCTTACAACTCCTCAAGGACATACTCACTATCCTGGAGAAACAACAAGATGTTGTAATATCATATCATTTCATAGTCAACCTGCTGTACAGAAAGAGTATCATTATATAATAAAATACATGTATCAAGTCAAATAAGTTATAACACACAAGTCTTATAAGTTAAAATCAAAATGATAGAAGTGCATGTAGCTCTGAGAATCATACACTTTTGAATAACATACTTACTAGTACTATTAGATCATGGTGAAACTATACTGTACATGGAGCTAGAATATTGGAAAAATATATTTCCAAATTTACAAGCACCAGAATATCTTACAACATACAAGAATGAGGAGTGTTTTTGGCGACACCTCAGGAGTGGAGCCAACAGTACCTTATCATACTTACATGCTGTCCTCCCCGATAAGTTGATGGAAGCCTTCTCCAGGCACAGGGTTCCCATCCAGCTTTACAGTTCTGGGGTCACAACACAGGTACAGAAGAAATCATTAAAAAACTACAGATTATATAATTTTTGTGATCTCAAAAGAACAACAAGATGTGGTAATTGGTAATTTTTGTTGTACTAAAGCAGATTTAGATGTGGAGGAATTTTTCAAGACATTCCTTATATAACATTATGGTAAAAACTATTTTTATCATGACCTGTGCTTATAATATTCTATTTTTAGACAACATCCCATAATACTCACCTGAGGTTGAGACACTGTGATGCAACTGCTGAGAACTGGGCCAGAGTGTTGTCTGTTAGACCAACATTCCACAAACTGAAAGAAAGGAAACAAACTTTAATTAATTTATCAATCACTTTAAACACATTACAAAAGAAAGGCAAAGTTGTAAAGGTACACTTGTTTTGTGCCTCGCCTAACTCTATTGTAAATATAACATAAATGTAAAACGTTTTTTTTACTCGATAGTGTGCAACTTGTCGGCTGCAGGAAGACACAGTCTGAACACATCCATGTACCGCTGGTCAACTTTCCACCCTGGAGTAAAGATAGCAGATTATTGGTCAAGGAAAATTTCTACAGCTCAGAAATTCTGTTTCTTTTAGTCTCGAGCGCACTAAAATAGGCACTTAAAAATTTTCAATTGGTTACAGGTTTAGGCAGCAAGGAGAAGGTGAACTTTTCAAAGTATAATACAAATATTAAAGTCATTTATCAATGATATTAACTTTTTCTGATAAGCATACAGGACTGACTGAAGGAATTATCAAACTTCGTAGCAAAATTGTTTAAATTTCTGGCAGGTTTTGAAATTGGAGGAATATTATTCTAGCTTTGCAATGAAGTTGTGAATTTCTAGGAAGAGTATCGGAGTGTAATTGTCACCTCTGATGTAGATTTCAGTCATGCTCTTCTTGTCCTCAGGTTTCTCCAGTTCCACTTGTACTTTAGGTCGGAAGAAGTCAAACTTGTTGCTGGTTGTGTAGGTGGTGGGCAGCGGCTCCTCCGGCTCACCTGGGGTGGGCGTGGTCGGCTCCTCGACCTTCTCCTGAAAACAGAACACCTCAAGGTCACAGATGATCCACTTATGTTTACTGTCATTTCATTGGTTAAGCTGCATAGCATAATGTTTAATTATACAATGAAAGTGAAAGTTACAATGAAAGTGAAGATAAAATATATTTTGGTACTAAGATCTTTAGAAGATTTACTACCAAATCATCTTTTTTTTCCTAGAAAAGGAACTTGTGTGCCTATAAAGTGAGCGCTATGTTAACAAAGTAAGCCGCTGCCCTATACACTATTTCCATCTAAATCTAATGTAAAAGTTCTCCAAGTTAGCCTAAAACCCTGGTAAGGGACAAGCTAACTGACGCAAAACTAAAACTACTACCTGCAGCTACACTAGCAACTCCGACACTAGCGCCCCCTACTGTGGGACCAGGCAACTGCAGAACTTACCACACGAGAGCTATGGGAACTTTTACAGGGGGTCTCTTTCCGTGACAGGGGGGTGGCACACTTGTACGCAGGGGGAACACCACAAGGAGACGTTAGTAAATTATTATCACAAAAACTCACAACAAAACTCCTTCACAAAGTCAGTGTGTGAGTCTAGGAAACTGCAGCAATGATATTAGTTTTGTTATGTTCAGAGTAAGGAGGCTTTTGTCAATGTACAGAATTAGATTACCATGTTGTAGAGTATTAACTGCTACTTGGTACTCAATAAGGACAAGCCAGTAACAAGTTCTTTCATAAGCAATTAGATTATCCATAATCATATCAAAATCTAAGCCAGTCTGTAACATGAACCTTTCATTCAAAATACTCTCTAGACTACAGTTCAGCCATTGTTACATTGTGCTTCGTGGAAAAGGATGTGTAAAACTTGTCCGCATAGACCAGATATTATTTGGTCCCGAGTGGTCTTCTTGGGCAGTTTTATCGCGAGACCCGTGATGCATAGTGCATACAGTATACCACTTCGACAGGTTTCATATAAGGTCATATTTGCATAAAACTATACAAGGTTAACATCCTGTCTGTAGTTTCCAAATGGTATGTTGGAAAAGATGCAACGTTGACTAAAATCCAAAGAAAACCATGAAAAATGGGGGGTTTGCACAGGCACAGTGCATTCTACCAATGTGCTATAATTGTGGTATAACTATCGCTTTATTTGCAAATATAAACATTTCTATTCAACAAGGAAACGTGCTACAAATGTCAGCAAAACGAGTCAACTCCCCTGCAAATGGTTTGCTCCGGGCCATGCTTTATTGTGCAACAAAGCACACTTGTGAGAATAAAACACACCTGGCAATACTTGTATCATGCTAACTGTGACATTATGGCGTCATAATCAATAAGGAATGTGGGCTTCTGATTGGTCAATGCCACCTGGCTATATGATAATTGTGGTATAACTATCACTTTATTTGCCTCAGGAACATTCAAATCAGTCGATGAAGAAGAGTCAGCAGACATGATCTGTATTCTGTACCTTAGGATCAGGGGGAGGGGGAGGTTCAGGTCGGTGGGGTCTGGGTGCCACCTGGGGGATCTCTGTCAGTCCTGCACGGGTACACAGCTCCAGGTAGTCTGCCTCAAAATCACCGATACAGTTATACGGCTCTGAAACAACACATTAAGATATTTCATATACATAACTAAATGTATATGGTAGCACAACAACTCAAAATGGAACTGTTTTGCTGATTCAATAACTGAGACATTGCATACATTTGTTGATTAAGTCTACAACGTTTTATTACTTTCATCAACATGTTTATAATAATATAATATTGATAACTTCTTTTAGGGAATATTTCAAAATTCCAATTACTGCATATATATATAACTCCAGATGGCAGTTTTCTTACTTTCGTTAACTGTTATGGAACGCTCTCCCAACTACCTAACCCCATTACCAATAGAAATTGTACTTCAGTGTGTCAAATGTTATTAAGATTGTTTTAAAAAACCTGACCATAATTTGATTTTGATGTATTCTTAACATTCACACCCTTATGTGTTAAATCCATTGTGTATTTTGTACCAGGAGTTTTGTTGTCCAGATCTGTGGTGTCCTGTGACGTAGCGGAGGTGGTCCCGCCCCGGTCTCCCTTCATCACACGCTCCAGCTTCTTCCCCATCTTCACTTTCCGGGCGATACTGAACAAAATACAGCAAAATGTATTATTATTGTTTTACATACAAATAGACTATTTCCACCAACTCTGCTGACATATTTGCCAGCAAATGCAGGGTTTGTCCCTTTCCATGGTTTTTAAAGCAATCTTTGGAATACACTTTAAACTGTCACCTGACAGAGAGGGCCAAATTAGGCAGCAGGCTTGTGGGCTAAAGTGCATGATAAGTGTTCATTGCATAGCAGTAGTAGTTAATGTTATGGGGCACCTCTTTCATATACTATAGATTGTCAAAGCTTGTGGACACACAGACACACACACACTAACAAAGTTTACAAACTTTTGAAACAATGTCTTATAACCTTAGAAGTGAGGCAAGAGTCCGGAGTCCTCAATAACTAGAAACCGGTTGCACACACTAACAAACCGGTTGCACACCCTTACCCCCCATCCCCTCCACCCGGTACCCCGTCCAAAATAACGGTACAATAACTTGAAACATGACCTACTTCTGATCAACTAAGTAGACATCATCACTCACTAATCTAATTATAACCTACCCGACTTTAGAAGGAAGTACTCGTCTCTGTTTGCCAGGAATTAGGGTTAAATTTGCTTAAAATGGACGACTTCACACAACAACAAAAGAAACGTGAAAACTTTGTTTACATTAGACCGCTGCACACACTGACCTGACAGGTCAACGTACTATTGCACAACAAAGTAGTTCCAACAAAACATCAAACCAACTTTAAAACTATGCAAACAGGAAAATAACACATGAGAAGCAATTTTCATAATAAGATATGGAATATTAGAATGAAAAACAAACGATCACTGTTTGTAAAATGAAATAATAGGTACTTGGAGACAGTTTGGTGTGTATTAATGCGCAAATGTTGTCATTAGCAACGGCGCTTGCGTAGAAAGTACTTGTAACAGGTGGAATGGAGCCTCGTTCTGGTACAAAACTTTCTATCCTGCAAAAAGTTGTTGCTCGCAAGTCAAACCTTATTTTTCCCGATGGAATTTTTGGACACCTAGCAGCTTTCTTGAAACCTACAAACTGCAAGCGTTTCAATCACATTCATAAAGGCTCTACCTTGTGTTTTTTCGGTAAAAAAACCCCGCAAAGTTAGAATCCCTAACTAGAATCAATTGCATCTTTCAAAGTTTAAAAACCGTCCATTTTGAAGGCAAAACGCAGCTAAAATGACACTCTTTTGCATTATGTTATCAAATCAAATCAAATATTACCACCTCGACATGGTTACTATGTGAATAAGATCAACAACTTTAACTAAACAACATGTCATGTAGAGTCACATACCAGTCAACATTTGCTGTATCCAAACGCTCAGTAAAGTCTGCATACTGTTCCAGTCGACTTACGGGCCTCGGCGACTCACTCAAAAAGTAATTAAACCAAACAACCAATCAACAGTCGTCTGACAAGCATTGTGCAGATCAGTCTATATTTAGTTCATATACTTCAACCATGTTTAAATAAGTCTATTAGACCCTTAGGTTAAAATGTCAAGGAGTTTTCGCTGTTTGTCGAATCTTTCAAGGCAGTCTTTGTAGCTAGGGAGGAATTAGTGGACTGTTTTAGAACGAATCCAAAACTGTAGAAAATCTACAGTGACATGTAAGACGTTTTGCGATCATTTGAAAGATAAAATGGTCAACATATACTCATGGTAACATACATTTGTAAACAAAAACTCATGAAATAAAACTATTTACTCGTTACCATGGACACGTATTCAATAGCTTCAATAAGTCTTTTTTTTTACCCCTTTTGAAATTTAATGGATGCTAATATGGCTAAAGTATGAAATAGACAGACTAAAAACGCCTGGGTCAGACACAACCCCTAGATATGCACAATTATCTATGAAACAAACCCTACAATTGTTTGTCGCCGAAAAGATCGTAAATATACCAAGTTGTTGGACTTCAAAATGCCTGAACGAGAAAAAGTATAACGGGACAACAAAACAATTATTAAAAACTTATTTTAAAAAAATGACCAAAAAATAACGTCCAAGCCTACCTCCGAAACCTCGACTTTCCTTTCAGTTCTGTTCCTAGTCGATCGGCCATCTTGCTACAGTATCTCCACTGTATCAGCACGCGTACAAATTCACTCGAACAAGCTAGATCTAGGGTTTCAACCCTACCGAACGGTTGGCACACAACTAATGATCTGTACCACAGCTATACAATCACTCCGCACTTATTACTTGTCAAGTTCCAACTGGTGACTAGCTCAGAAAAAGGAGAACTTTTCAACCACTTTTTAACCTAGTCCACAGACTGCCTCCTTCTGTAGCATTCAACTGCGTAATAATGACCAAGTCTTGAGCCAGGTCGTAACTATATACCCGTCACTGGGAAACATTGATAGAACATTCATAACGTGGTTTTATGCGGGGCAAACAAAGGTCTTTTGAGAATAATGTTTGCCAGCAAAACTGTACGACGTTAGGGCAACAATAGGACTCTCTAACGGGGTTGGAGAAATAACCTGAGGCTGAGTGTTTGACAAGGTGTGAAAGTACCCGTGACATGGAAGCAGAACAAATATTGTCTCTTTAACAGGTGCTCTTGTGTTTATTCGTTTCAAGTCCGACAGTCTAATTGCTAGACGATAAGTCAGATTAGTGTGAAGTGTTTGGTTAAGCTGAGGAAAGACAGATCCTTCAGCGGAAATCCTCGTCCTTAACGAACTGAATTGGAAGCCAAGTCTTAAACGTACACAGAGGCAAACATGTAATGCTGGTACACGTTGTAAAGTCACATATTGTACAATGCATTGCATATGAGGTAGTTTTTGGTCAAAATCTGCTTGTACACTGTACTGATAGCCCCCTACTCTTTATTGTACAATGTATATGAATATATGGACCGGTTGTGCACGAGAAAGCTTAGTTATCACAAAAAATACTGATTGGGATAAAGATGTCAATGTATATCAGTCAACAAAAAAAGTATAAACAAACAAAAAAAACGCAGCGCCCATATATGTACAACATACTAGTATACATAAGGCAGCTGAATCTTGTACGATATAAGCACTAATCTTCAAAGAATCCAGTCATCAGTTTGCGATCGTATAGCGATCGTGTAACGAAATCATGTAACCCCAGTGCCAAAAAAGAAAGAAGCTCACCAAACAATTTTTGCCGCCGTCCTGAATCGGTTTCGTCTAAAATCTGCAGGTTTCCCATTTGCTGGAGGACAGGGCTCTGGACACTCCAATATTCTGTCCATGCTGTGTGGCTTTCTCGTGGCGAACTAAACTAAAGTAATTGTCTGTGCGGTCTCCTAAGGTGGCATCAAACTGAACTTCCCGCAACCCCTTGTAGTTGTCTGACGTCGTATTATATATATTGTTAGAGAACAATAAGGTAGAGCATATATGAGAGTCTTTCATTGTTTCCTGTACACAACTTTTTCACAATAAATTTGATAATGAAAAACCATTAACCTGACTAGAAATGGATGAAATAAAGAGTTGAACAGAATGCTTGCTCCATTAAAACCTTTTAACTACGAAGAGAGATGCCGAACAACGCTATAGCTTCTATACCTTCAAAGCATTGTAAACAAAAGTTACTCCATGCTTACCTGCGGAATTTCTCCGCTCCACGTTTTTGATCCATGCTTAATCCAAAGGTTTTAAAAACCGACTCTGTAGAGTGCAGTGTTTTAAAGGTTTCTTGCAATGTTAGCTTCGAAAATGACAGAACGGGTAAACTGCTGTCACTGAATTGGGTAGTTTCTCCCCTTCTAAAAGAGAGTTTACTTTCAATGTAATCCCGTCTACTTACGCGTGAAGAACACACTCAAGTAATTCTATCCCAGTCCTTGTAAACGCAGCAAGGGATAAATTTCCGCTCAGGCGTAAATTTTGCCCTAACTTGGCCTGAGGGGACGACCCCCTACCGCGGGTATGGTTCAGTGGTTAACGACCCTGACGCTGGCCCGGAAGGTCTAGCCTCTACCAGGCTTCGGGAGGCGGCAAAATGTGCTCTAGCGGACCAACTCCCCTGGCATGTTATCTCTCTATTTGGCCAATTTCTACTCTTTCCAGTAGCCTCCCGAAGCCTGGTAGAGGCTACAGAAGGTCGGGAGTTCGACTATTGCCTAACTTACATGTTTGTGGAAAGGTCCTTAGCGCAAGAAGTTGCAAGTTAAACGTATTGTCGAAAACATATCTGGAATTTTCCTGGTATATTTGACCTATATATACTGTAAATACATGTACTGTACCTCTGTTGATCTTGTATTAATTGGTATATACTAACTACTAGTTTACTGAAACTGGAATGATACACCTGAATGAAACTGGAGTGTTTTACCACAACAAATCGAACGTGAGCCTATACACATCGGTGAATGCACGAAGCAGTCAAATTTGTTCGTGTTTGTTGATCATTTGACGCTTGACTACGCCTACACTTGGCGCAGACACATCAGTGAGCTTTTGTACGTGCGTTGGCAACCTCCTACCACGCTGCCCATGTTCAAAGTTGTGACACACCAGCGCACAAATGTACACACGTACATGTAAAATAGACCCAATTTGATTCGCATATTTTAATCAAGAAGTGTAGCTTTGTAACCTGCAGTTCACAAGGAAGATGCTAGATGGCCCAAGTTCTTATCACCAACGAAAATTCATTCCTTCTTCACCACAAACCAAAATCCCCTCATAAGTACTTGAAAAAGTGCAGAACCAAGCAGCATCTAAATGGTTCAAGCATTGATTGTTCGCACTTACGTGGCTGTAAGCTGAGTATTGTCCGCCATATTGGATGTTTAAACCTGGAAGTTTGCCAGGTAAATTCGACTTCTTCCAGCGTGGCTGTTGTTACGTCACACAGTGAAGGCACAAACCCTTACAAAAATCCTTAGATCCCGATTTTTCAGATTAAACAACTTTTAGGCCACCCACTAAGACCGCGCCAACTCTGGAGTAAACGTTTCAACACATTCAGAGTATTTATCAACGTTGGAAAGGCATCAGACGCGAATGTACAAAGCCATTTCGTCTGGGTGTCGTCGATTTATCGCGATCAAAATAAGTTGCCACAGGGCGTCCGTTGTCGGGAGGAAACTTTTCAACACCTTCAGAATATTTATCAACATTGGAAAGCCATCAGACGCGAAGGTGCAATGCCGTTTCGTTAATTGATGTCTGGGTGAAGTCGGTTTATTAAAAAAAGTTGCCACACGGTGCCGGTTGCCCGAAAAACACCTTTTTACTTCAGGTCCATTTATACTAACGCAGAAGAAAGGGAATGTCACGTTAGCGTTGGGGCACAGTTCTGAGGGCCGGAGGAAAGAGGCAGACGATTTTGCATAGGTACACGTCCACCCGTGCTGGTTATCTGAAATATCTCGGCTCCAAAATGGTCGTTAAAGAGATGGTGTGTCTTCTCATGGTGTCTCTCGTGACGTCAGAGGTTCCCGAGGACTCGTGTTCCCGCCAGTTGAACAACAGTCAGAACATCACCGTGTTGGCTCCGGCTGGCGCTAAGGGTGAACCGGGGGCAGCGGGCCCGCAAGGTAGCCTGCCTACTCACTATATGACGTGCTTTAGGTGTGCAAGCGCTTTGGCCAAGATGCTCGCAGACGCATATGTACCAATGTTCTTATGTGGGTTTAACTCAATATTTAAGTCGTGTTTAGGTCGTAGTAAGTCGTTTCCAAAGCCATTCTTTTTTAAGTCCTTGCAAGTCGAAGTTCACGGTACGTAGATCTAACTCGTCTAAAATGTTAGAATACGCCTTGTTCATGATTTTGGTCTAACGATATTTCATTTTTCCCTAAAGGGCTAAAAGGAGATCTTGGTGATGCCGGACCGAGGGGCGCTCCTGGCAAACTTGGGCCGGCCGGACCGAAAGGGGAGAGGGGGCACAGGGGTGAGCCGGGACCGGTCGGCGAGAGGGGGCCCTCCGGTGTCAGCCCGCCCGCTCCACCTGTCGTGGCGTTCTCAGTGGCGCGAACGACAGGCGTGCGTAAAACGTCGTCTGACACACTTGTCACTTACGACACCGTCATCACTAACGTGGGCGGGGGGTTCAACAAGGAAACGGGCAAGTTTGTGGCCGGTATCGGCGGGGTTTACTTCTTCACATTCACTGGCAAGACCGAGTATTTGGCTAAGGTTAGTTATAAGGCCCATCTGATGAAAAACGGACAAATCGTGGTGAGCCTGCACGAGAATAACGGAGATCTCATCCAGCACAACTCCGGCAGCAACAGCGCCGTCCTGCAGCTCAGTCCGGGGGACCAGGTGTGGGTCCGGCTGGGCGGAGACGGGCGCAGCTTCCCTGGGACAGGAGGGCATCCCGGCAATAGGTTCCTCACCTTCTCAGGATTCCTCATTCACGCCGACTGAGGGAAGCTAGAAGCTCTGTTCAGTTGTGTAAACTAGGCAGGCAAGCAAGCAAGCAAGCAACCAACTAAACAAACAAACAACCAAACAAACAACCAAACAAACAACCTAGCTGTCGATTGGTCAATCAGATTATTATTTGTATCTCCATGCCTGCAATACCATTCCTTTCCTTTGGACACTCGAGTTTAAAACGTTGCAATGCTGTTTCATTCCGCTGAGTGGCGCTAATTTTACACCGTGAAATCCCTGTCAACAAGGTGGACGAAGTCGACCTGAGTCGTTTCCTGACTGAGGTTCTTTTATAACCCCAAGACAGCCTAATTTGACAAAACTCTATTGCCCGCAGATTTTCGACTTTTGGGCAATGTGGAAAGGCGAAAGGCTCCTAAGGGGGTTGCGCGGTTTCGAAGCAGGAGATTCTTGTCTTGTTTTCGTTGCTAAGATACCTTTATCAATGCACATTGATGTGTCTGAATTTCTCTGAAATGGATGTTTTTATGTTATTTTAAAGCTTCTTATATCAAGATGATCCCAACAATTATTGGTTGAACACGAAGCACGTCATATTGTCGCACACCACTAATTTTGTCCATACAAAAGTATAAAACCAACTTCTGTCATTCAGTATGTCATACCGCTCAGTAAGCATGGATGAATGCGTTTGCTCGATTGTACTTCGGAGTGCTTCAAGTTCAATTTCAACATGATGAGAACACAGGAGTGACTTTTTCTCTCTCTAAGTCCATTGTTGTTGTTCAGCTTGCTGTGTCGCCTATGAGTTATGTGTGTGCTAGAAGTATTGTGTTCTAACTCAGACCTTGGGTTTTTGACGAACTCAACATCAATACAGAGAAAGTGAAGTAACTCTTGGTTTCACTATTGATTCTTGAAAAGCCAAATCATCTTAAGTCAATCGTGAACCTTTAAGTGTTGCGTATACAAAGTATTAATTTTATTTTTACATTGTAGATTTAAAAAAAATGAAACATTTTATTTTAGAGAGGATGCCCATCATCATATCAAGCTATAGTTCTCGTCAGCACTCATTGCACTGTACATGCCCAGTATACGTACAGGTCGGTATGAATTAAGGAAAAGGCCTGTAGAGGAAACGAATGAGACCGCAATATTTCACACAATAAGTCGTACCTAGCCTGTCCTAGTCTTCCTGCAATGTTTGGCTGAATATGGTATATATATCAAAAGTCCGCGCATATGGATCTTGAGGGAAAGCCGTGATAGTTAACGTTAAAGCAATGGAAGAGTTGGTGTCAGTTGTACTCACTTCTGAAACCCAGCCGACGCGCCTCCAGCCGAGTTTGGGACGTTAGACCGACCGCTCATATTCCTCACAGACTCCTGGAGCAGGGCACACTGGTTCTAATCCCCTCAGGCTGGATCAGTGTACACTGGTTCTAATCCCCTCAGTCTGGAGCAGGGTACACTGGTTCTAATCCCCTCAGTCTGGAGCAGGGTACACTGGTTCTAATCCCCTCAGTCTGGATCAGGATACACTGGTTCTAATCCCCTCAGTCTGGAGCAGGGTACACTGGTTCTAATCCCCTCAGTCTGGAGCAGGGTACACTGGTTCTAATCCCCTCAGTCTGGAGCAGGGTACTCTGGTTCTAATCCCCTCAGTCTGGAGCAGGGCACACTGGTTCTAATCCCCTCAGTCTGGAGCAGGATACACTGGTTCTAATCCCGTGGTGTCACCAGGTAGATTTGGAGGTACAGGCGACCGGTGAAGAGTTGTTGTCGCTACGCACACGACGCGACTGTTCACTATTTGAATACCCTGTAGGATAAAATCATTCATGTGCGGTGAACCGAAACATGGAAGCCAACAAGAAAGTGTGCTTAAAAAGTTCCAACGCGTTCAGATCCAACACGGCGATTGTTTACTACTTTTTTGTCACATAATTCCAAATTTGTAATTATTTTTTGTTAGTTAACGGTAATACTTGTGTTCTTTAGTTCGTGACAATTAAGGCTGCAGTTCAAATCAATCCCGCTAGACGTAACAAACTGTTTATGTAAACAAATCTATTATCTCTATGTTTAGTTCCGCTATTCCACGGCATTCAGTAGTGAAAGCTAAGACAGAATTCTGGAATTGTAAACAGATTCTTCCCTACAAGTCTACATAGTCGTTTAATCTTTTCAGTCACAGGATATTAAAGGAGGCGGTGAGGTGACTGGAAAACACATCATGAGAGTACACAAAAAAGGCCACAGCCGACGCATCTGTTTGAACATTACACAGCTGTGGTTGTTTTCTGTTACCCATGGCCCAGTATTCTCAATGTAACACAGTGTATTGTAAACTTAGGGTTCCTCGGCAGCCTTCAAAGCGGTCACCAGAATAAATAGTCCGTTGCTAGGCTTGACTTCGATTCCGTTGAAAATTTTGAGCGGAACAATGTGCCTTGAATACGGGACTAGAAAGGAGATTTAGCATTTAGTTAGAACTACGTATGCTTGCACAGGGGAAGAGAAAAATGTTACTTCTAAAAGACCACCTGTTAGAGCTCTGTGATGTACCGTTGATAGATGTTTAACAACAGGGGATAGTGTGAAAAGGTCACATTCTGGTAGTGGAATTAGTAGAAGGCAAGAAATAAATGTGTACTAGTTTCTTGGATTCTTCCAGTAGACAGAAACATACGATTATCTACAGTTGTTTTCTACCTAAGTCACACACCTAGTCTTTTATAGCAGCCATGCTGCAAAAAAATCAGTAAAACTTACCAGTTTGGTTGCCCCCTCCGTAACACAGCAGTACATACCAGTGACCTAAAGACAGCCTCTTGAAAGATGTCGTTGTTCTTTTTGACACCGGATAGTAGTGAAGAGGGGACTCTGTTGCCGGGTTTTTATTTACTTGCACGCGCCACAACAGAAACAATGAAACCGCGACCCAGTTTAGAGTAGAAAAAACACACTTGTGAAACTATGGCTGACATCTAAAACGACATGCCCTATACCCGTTACTGTCCGGACTCTATAGGGTCGAATATTAAGACATCACGTGCAAACGCAGTTACTGAAAGCGCATTTCTATAGCAGGCCACCAGGGGGCAGTTTTGACATGTTTGGGTCGAGGAGGTACTTCGAGTAGCGCTTCAAGCTGCGATCTGCATATTCATTGATTTAAGTACAGGGCATGTCCGGCAATGTTTTCTGCACCTTTAGTTAACCTTTAGCCTCCTAAGGGTGTCGTTCTACACCTCAACAGTAATAGAGTGAAACCATTGACTTTCAAGATGGAAAGATGCCTACTACCACTACTACTACTACTACTACATGTACTGCTATCAGCATTATTACTATAATTACTACTACATGTACTACTAGCATTACTAATGATACGTAACTATTGTTTTGCAATTACAATACTACTACTACATGCACTACTAGCATTACTAATACACGTATCTTACTATCACTACTACATGTACTTCAATACAACTACTATCACAATAGTCGTAGAACCAAAGACTGAAATAGTTACAAAACACAAACTTCTGTACTTCTCCAATGTGTATTAATCTATCTCATGATTGACTGCATCACACATATTTGCCATGGTAACATATACAAATCAACAGCATCTACTGCAAGTTTTCATCACAAAAAACTCAAAGATCAACTCTCTACATTCATATTCATAAATATCAGGATATTATTCACCTGTTTCCCCGATAAATATAGGAATCAATCCACAAGAACAGCACCCGTTACCCAATATACACAAGAGGATTCCCGGCTCAAACATATACTGCATTGTATAAATAGCACAGTACGTAATTATGGATCACTTTGGTTATATAGTCACAGACTCAATGTGCTTATTTTTGGGGCAGAAAACAAGTTCTAGATGTTTCTATTAAATACTTTTTATATCTAACAATGTAGTGTCCTATTTTTTCAAGCTGGGCAATGAAATGGCATATTATATGGCTGCAACAAACCGTTATCTATTGTTGATATACACCATTCTGTAATGTATGGTGATAAACCGTCAGTTATGGTGCTGTGTTTTGATTGGATGATGACCATGGAGGTCAAGGTTCAAATATTTTGAATGGTGTTAGGAGCGGGAAATGCCACATTTCAATTAACATAAACCTCCCGGGTTTTGTACAAAAAAACATAGATAGCAAAATAATTTTCTTAGCACAATACAAACTGAAGACAAACCCAAACCATTTTGTATGTAAATCATACTTACGATCAATGCTACTGCCCACAGAAGGACTACTTGCATATTAAACCCATCCCACATTTGCAGCAATGTTTTTACATCAAGTAAAACCCACAAGAACACATTTATAAATCTGCAAGAGAGTGTCAGTTAGCATTAGCTATTGCATATTCACGACTACACTCTAAACAACTCTCCTGTTACAATGTGTAGTTTCAAAGCTGCATCATACTTAACTTTTGGTCATGAACGTTTTCAAGATTGCTTCAAGCTAAGTTAAAATGACTCTATTTTGGAGACTTTTTGAACTACAGTTTCTGATAGAGGGAAACTACTGCTAGCAACAGTTGCCAGCAAAATCACATTCAACAATAGTTACCCACGACACAAAAGGAGAATGTGTTTCAAGTAAGTTCCCGACAATACACAGTGACTTCTAATGTTGCCATCAACATTCTAACTTGTCATATCTTCTTCCTAATCAGTAGAATTCATTGCACAATATCAAATCTTTTTCCCCATCAGTAACAATACTTTTGTAATGTTAGAATTGCACAATCACACACTAGAGGAACATTTTCCTAAACCTCCTCTTGACAATCAGTCTTCTTGATTCATGCAGATAGAATATTCCATGTACATCAGCCACAAATTTACTACAATCTCTCTAAAACAATGAAAAATTCTTCCTCACCTTGCTATACAAAGCATAGACTATCCTTGTCTATATATCTTGATTTAATATCCATACATAATGAATATATTAGATAACATGTCCTGTATTTTTTTTGCTCAGAAATCTGTCTTTTCTCATATTAATTTGAAATAAGATTTTGAAGTACTTCTACTCTGTGGCAAGCAAAGGTGTTTCACCGATCTGTTGTAACATATCATAAAAAGCACATGGTAAATTTAATTAGGTTTACAGTACACGGACCACTAAAGGTAACACTATTAAAGTGTGTAATTTAAAGTAGCAAAATGAACCATGTTACTACAATGTGATGAAATGTACCATGATTATGATCTATTAGGTCCAAATTGTTTAGACCTCGGCTAAAAACATATACCTTGTATAGCATATCAAATAACAATAGTTATTGTCCTATATACAAAACTTACGTTGTGTATATAGGACACAACTTTACCATGACATAGAATTTGTAAGCAAAATCAGGAACTTTGAAATGGCAAGAAGACGTACATTTTTGCAGATGATACCATGTGCTCAGCCATATCTACACACATTATTCTGACATCACTGAAATACAAACAGTGAGTGCTATAAAATGCTACATAAATGACAAACTATGTTTGACCATAACCTTAGCTTTCCTACCATAGAATCATTCTTGCTGTGCAAGTAAGTGGCAAGAGCCAATACTCATTTGCATTATCTAATTGGACCTATCCTAAAATGGCTTTTTTCCCCAAAGATTGTATTTCCAGCTCCATTTTCACCTGTACATGCCTTTCCATCTCTAATTACTGTGCAAATGTCCCTCTACACACAAATATCACATACTCTTAGTCACAAAAAGGTGATGGTACAAGCTACATGTAAACTGAAGCCTGATTGGATAGCTCAGATCATCCATACCCTATCACACCACCTGAAACATTGTACCAACCAACCAATCACAATGATCGATCTGTAACAATATCTTCTACTGTGTCCTGAGTGCTCATTGGTTAAATGGTGCAAGTTGGAGACCACTCTGGTACAGAATGTTTCATCTACGTACATTGTATCTACTTTCAATTGTATGTGCTGACTATCCGCTGTGGCCACCCCTTTGTAGAAAGTGGACGTGGCCACTGTTAAACTTACTCCAAGATAAATCTGGGAAGAACCATTCTAACGGAGGGGTGGTTTGCTTATGAGATGACGTGTAACACCGCTGCATGCAGGATTTCCTTATACTTTTCTTAAGAAGGTGACGTTAAGAGCTTCTGGGAGCTGGATGGAGTCGAGCTGGAGTGATGAGGGGTTGAAAGGGAAAGTGACGGGGTAAGAAAACTTGGTGTCCAGGAGGAGGGTGCTCTGGGTGTCCTTGCGCTCCTTGAGCCGGGCCTGAATGATCCGTATGAAGGAGATGGACACTCGCTCTTCAAACTCGTTGACTGGAGTGTACAGGTTCAGGATTTTGATGATCTGAAACAGTGAAGTTGAACAGTTATAAATAAACAGTTGTCAGTTCTTTAGTCTTGCAGCTCAGAGAGTCAAGCTTGTCTTGGACCTGGCACCTCTGAGAAGAGATGCTGTTCTTGTCCTCACATCCTAATCATGTAACCTGTACCCAAGTGGCCTTTGACTTAAGTAGTAATGTCAAGTAGTAAACGTAAAGCAAGTCATTAAAAGTCATTCTTTCAATTGTTGTAAAAGTCGTCTGGTGATCATTGACCTTATACATGTGGAACAGAAGTAGAAGAAACAGAGAAAAAAACAGTATGTTTTCCTTCAAGGTAAACATAAACCTCCAGACCTGTTGGCTGCTGAGTTTCTTGTAGGTGTCACAGAATGCCTTAGCATCTTTCTCTGTCTTTTTGTTGACCTGTTAACCATCTTTTCCACTCATCTAACAACATTGTTCAGTCTGTACCTCAAGAACAGTTTTTACATATAGGATTTGATTTTTGTATATTTCGTTTGTCTTTAGGTTATGTTTCTGTAGTGTTGAATGTCTTTAGGTTATGTTTCTGTAGTGTTGAACTATGGACCAGAGAGTGCCTGAAACAAATAAAACAAATATAAAACCCAGACCTGTTGGCTGCTGAGTTTCTTGCAGGTGTCACAGATGGCCTTGGCGTCCTCCTCAGTCTTCTTGTTGACCTGCAGGAGCTGTGCGGCCTGGATGACCGGCTCCAGGGACTGGATGGCTCCGCTGTCCGACAGGTGGTGGTCACGGCACCACTCCTCCAGCTGGCTCACGTTGTATCTGGGGAAACGGACGGCGCGTTAAAACCACCCTTATCTCTACTCTAGTCCAAATACTAATACACTGTATACAACTGTTGGGATACTACAGGCAACCAGATTTCTCCACTCTTCTTCATTTTTTGTTCTTCCACCAAAAAAAATGTAAGTAGTGCATAAAAGTTCTGCCATTCTTGAGAAAGGCAAATTAAGTCGAAACCAGTTGAATTCAGTCCCAGCGCCATCATTGTCCCAAAGCTATGAATGGAGACTCAAAAGCATGTATGTATGCATGTTAGCTTCCTAACTAGTCCTTACCAGACTCACATGGAGGAATAAATAAAGGTTTAACAAGACAGCAGTACCCATATGAGTGGAGGTTAAAATAACATCTCTTATGCTTACGCAAACCTGTAAAATGGCTAAAATAGGGTGAAAGACCAAAGTAGCTGACTGGGCCATAACTTAAATTTCTGTACTGTAGGAGGGGTGGATCATGACTACCACAAATGTTTTGTCTCAATCTTGACAGGATGTCTCAAAGCCACTGATTGGTTCTCTACCTGATCTGCATGCCCTTTGACCAATGGCACATCTCCTTCCTGAGCAGCAGGTTGTTGAGGGTGCCGGCCCCGATGATGTAGAAGGTCTGGCGGAAGGTCTGTTTGACCAGCTCAGGGTCCATGCCGTGGGTCGTCATGATACTGTGGAACACCGACAGCTGCAACACAAAACAACAAAAACAGCTCAATCAACAGGCCTGATATTTGCTAGCAAATGCTTAATGTTTCTCTACCTTTTATACTGTGGTCCTAGGAGTTGGTGCTATCTGTTAGATGCTTTTGGGCACTACTAAGTTTTCATTCTATTCGAAGAAAATTATTTCTAACAATTTGTTAGAAATTCCAACTGTTCTAAGACAAATCAGTCAACGTTGGAAGACAAAACAGTCAACAAGCCTAATATTTCCTAGCAACGTATGCAGAGGTACTAGTGGGAAAATTTTTCATACTTTGGTATCTGATCTTTAACTTGAAGTTGAAGGTCATGTTAAGACCTTCAGAAATAAAAAAGATGGGTGCCGTCTGAAGGCTTCTCCAGCTTAACTTTTCAGTTGTAAGTTTTAATTGAACCTTTATTTTCACTGGATATCTGAACTGACCTGTTTGAGTATGGAGTTGAGAGTATACCTCCCGCCCATCTCGTCAGAGATACTCTGAGTGCGCTGCCTCATGCCTGAAGGTCGGGCTCCACCAGAAACCCCCGGAATAGCCTCGTGTTCCAACATCCCTGGCACTACAGGAACAAAACATACTCTTAAGTCTGTGATATGCATTATGATCCAATTCATGACACAAGCTTCAACTTTCACCCTGAGCAAAAGGGTAATGTTTACACTCTATGATGTTATCATGAAAGAAAAGGTATAACATGCACAATAAAAAAATGTGTTAATTTTCAATTCCATCTGCAAGAGATCATGATTTTTGCCTCCAAAATGTAATACATTGACAGAAGGTAGTCCCTCTCATAAATTAGATAGATCATAAATTCTATGATTGAATCATTATTTCAATCATTGACATTTACTAAAAAATTCATAATTTTAAGGTATTTTTTTTGCAAACAAATTACCACACAAGCAATGGTAAAAATCAATCTTTGCGTGTTAGCATTAAACAGACTCTGAGGTAAATATATGATTTAAACTTTTCCTTGTTAGAAGTCTGGCTTACCTATCATGGGCTGTAGTTTGCTCTCCATGATTTTAATCATCATCTGGTAGATGTGCACGGCCAGGTCACTCAGCACCTGTCTGTACTCCGTCAGGTCAAAGTTTCGCAGACAGTGTTCGTTCTGCTGTTTGTTGTTCTGGTTGGCAAAGGACTAGGGGGAAGGACAAGGCATGGTAGCATTCACTTGTACAGTTTCAAATAGTTTTAAACAGAGTAGTGTAACTTCTAGCTCTCCATAGCATATACATGTAAGGTAACACTGAGAATGTTCTCCATACCATATAAGGTAACACTGAGATTGTTCTCCACACCATATAAGGTAAGACTTCGAGTGTCACCTACACTCCTTACCATATAAGGTAAAACTGAGCATGTATACCCTCCGCTCCTTACCATATAAGGTAAAGCTAAGCACGTCTCCCCGCTACTCCATACCATAAGGTAAAACTGAGAATGTCTCCAATATGCTCCACACCATATAAGGTAAAGCTGAGCATGTCTCACCTTCGCTCCTTATCATATAAGGTAAAACTGAGAATGTTTCACCTTCGCTCCTTACCATATAAGGCAAATATTGAGCATGTCTCACCTCCTCTCCACTGTACTGCTTCAGGTTGTGCAGGAGTCTGCAGGTGTTGGCCAGCCAGAAAGACACCGTCTCAAAATCTTCATTCCGCTTCTGTTTCCAACAGAAAATACCACCCATTACCGATCACCATTAGAAAATATCCTCAATGTACATCCGGTAACATGGCAGTCAATAATTTCAAAGAATCATTCACTAACAGAAAGTAAATAGTTTGTTGTGAAACAGGTGGGCATGAAAAGTGTAGTGTCTTTTTGAATTGAGACACAACTGAAAGGCAAATATGGATCATACAAGAAGTCAAAACAAAAAATGTAGATGACAAAGGAACCTATAGAAAAGTATATCTTGTGTATACATTCCAAATATGAACTAAAAGTTTTGTGGTGTGCTTGCTAATCGTTAATGACTGTACTTTATTCTTAATAGAAGAAATGCCCAAGTATACAGTAGGAAAGCCATGATGTTTAAAACGCAATCATGATTTTAGAGTGGGATGTTAGTGTCTCTATTCTATGAAGCGAAGAGCAAGATTTCTTGGAACTATCACTTTGTAATACAAGGGAAGAACGTGCATTCATGACTAGAAAAATCACACTTAGTGGATTCACTCTATAATGACAATAAACCCGACTACTAAGTACATGAACAGGCACTTTCTTCCCTTGTCATTACAAAAGGATAGGTGTAGTTAGAAAAAGAGCAATGTTTTTGATATTGCCAAAAGAAGACACTTGAAGAATGGCAAAGAAGCCCTACTTGCAGATCCCACCACTGCCCACCGTAGCAAGCTTGCTATTGGGCGAAGCAGGAGAATTATCAGTTTGTACTTCAAATAGATCTCAATACGACAAAGCATTAAGCATCACATGATTCCAGAATGAGCTTTGATCAGACTCTAATGGGAGTAGGAATAGGAATTGCTCTGTAGTGATAGAGTTTGTCTATTCTATGTACATCTAATTTGACGTCTACATTCTAACCAGAGTTGTATATGGGACATGGGGTATGAAAGGAAATATTTCTACTTTAAGCCAACTCACTATGACTCAAGGTGGAAAAAGGAATACATTATGATTGTTAAACATGGATATGATAATGTTAGAATTTAAGGGTTTGATGTAAAAGAAAAGGGTCAGGTCTCTTAGACTAGTAGTAATATGTTACAGTTAACTACAGACCATATACAGTATAATGAATTACTCAAGTGTGGCCTGATGGACCAATCTCAACAACCAGCACTCATAGCCTGGTAGGCAATCTTTTTAGCTTTTTTTCTAACTTGTACTCTCCTTTTCAGCTGCTTCCTTGCCAAAAAGACTGGGTCTAACTGTCTGTAATTTGAATGTTTATTTAGAACATGTTCAGACGCCCTGATTGGCTAAAACTGAGTGGAGGTATCCAATCAGCACAGGCCCCATACAGCATGTAACGTCACTACCAGACAGATGTAATGGAATATTTGTAGACCCAGTATTGTTGACAGGTGAGTGACTTAAGCAGGACACTAATGCCCTTTTCCCCACTAGGATAAAATTGTCAGGATCGAGCCAAATAGATCTGGCTTCAATCTGGATCAAAGGCAATCTATTTGGCTCGATCCGGACAATTTTATCCTCGTGGGAAAAGGGCCTAAAGCTAAAAAGGCTGGTATCCAGGCTACAGCACTCTACCACCAGAGTTCAAACTGAATCACGTTTAATAAACAGTGCACGTGCGTCCTTACCTTCAGGACTCTCTTGATGCCGTTGATGGTTCCAGTGAGGAGAGACTTGACCTTGTTGTCGTCTCCGATGTAGTCAGCATGTCGGATGCACATGAACAGGATGTACGCTGGCAGGCCTGGCAGCATGTTTACAGCTGACTTGGGCTTCAGGTCTGCAGCGAGAAACAAAACAAGAGTTGGAAGAATCTACAGCAGTGACACCTGTGCTGCAGTACAATGTAAACCAGTCAGAATTGTCCTCAGGAAGGTGACAGACGGTCACTGAAACGTCGGCTGAATAAAAGACTTGGTTGTGTAAAAACAGTCACTTTACTCAAGAGTTGGAAGAGTACACACCCCTGTGAAGTATTTAGACTTGCTGTGAATTTCTTTCACTCATTATTGTGAATTTCTTGCCAATTCTGTGCATATTCCACTGTCACTTCCTCCCAGCCTGCAAGATGACCATTTTAATCTCCAATTTTCCCACCAACTTGTCAATCTATAGTCACACCACATTCCCCCTAACTTCCTGTGACTGTACTGTATTCAAATACATGTACACATAACTACAGATAAATTGTAGGTTCAGAAAACTGTTAGAGACTTGATGTGTTTAGTGTCTTTTGCAGTGTAGAGTGTTACATGTACATGTACATGGGGATGATGGGGAGGGGGCTATCCTACCTTGGCAACACTGTGGAAAGTATTAGCGAGATGCTTCAAACACGGGCACTCAGATCTTGAAGGTAGGACTGTAACTTCCAACACAAAAAATGGACTTGCCAAAATGTTTGACTGTCCAACTCTTTCCTCGAAAAAGACAGGACAGTGAAAAATTTAGGGAAGTCCAATTTTTGAGTTGGAAATTACAGTAACCTTGATTCAGAATGATCTCTGCCAACACAGATGAACTTTCAAGCTTAGGGCACTTACAGTGGACTTAGAAGAAAGAGAGGTGCCAGTAGATGGCAAGGAAAACAAGGAGAAGTAGGCCTATTGAGGAAAAGTATAGTATTGGTGTGATGATCTTTCAGAATCATCTACAAAATAGATCTACCTAACTCTACCAAACAGATTGAGTAATGAAGACTTGTGCCTTACAACATTATGGTATAACAAAAAGTTCCTTAAGGTAGCAGTAGGAACAACATACCTACCCAACAATCTTTCTGCAGTACCCAAATTCATGTTGTGTAACTACATGGTTTTTGCAAACAAGCCAACTTCATAACTTTTTCTATTAAAAAATGTATTTAAAAATCAATTCTTTCCCTGCCTTAACTTTTCTTAAATCTACACAACAGTTTTAGGGTCAGCTTTCTATACATCTAGTTTGCCTGAAACCCCCATACATGCCCACCTATCAATGACATACATTGTACTAATGTGCCTGAAAGCCCCCATACACACCTTCTGGTGATGATACTGACCTATGATGAGATTCTTGATGAGTTTCTGTTCATCCTCCTTCCTGTACTCCAACATGCCCATGAAGACTCTGTCGTCCTTAGTTTTCACATGAGGACCTCCCTCATCTTCCTTTGGTGACGGTTCTGATCCAGCATCCGGTGTTAGAGCAGCTGGAATTATATGTATACAGAAAATGGTTTATTTCATCAAAATGAAGCTCTTTACACAAACTTTGAATCAGTAAGATACTACTGGCTTCAACCCTGAAGGGTAAAAAAAATCACAAGAAAATTGTTTGCATGTAATGTATTCTATTGTGATAAAATACAGTGAAATCTTTTAAAAACTGTCTCTTAAAAATATGAAAACTTTTACTGAATACTACTGTTGGCTCAGGTGCCAAAAAAAATTACCCTACAATATTAGATGCACTGATGACACTTACACTGATCACCACCCTGCATGTTCTGTCTCTTCATCAGGATCTTGATCTGTTTCTTAAGTCTTCGGACCTGTTTGTCGTGGTTCTCTACTTCCTCACGCAGATCCTTCAAGACAACAGACAATTTCACAGTTGAACCACAAACAAAAACTTAAAACATCCAACTTAAACCAGAAGAAGAAGAAGGTCTCCCGTGCTCTTGCCCGAGCGTAGGGTGGTGCCCATTTCCATTTCGTAGCCCTTGGGCGACACACAATTGTGCAATGCACTACAGCAGGGGGCTGGTCCGCTGGTAGTGCTGTGTGTTTGACCTTCCCACACTCTTTCTCATATGTGCTGAGTGCTAAGCAGAGAAAGAAGTGTGTACCATTTTTAAAGTCTTGAACTCACGACCTCCCGGTTACAAAGCGAGCACTCTACCAATTGAGCTATTGCACCGGTGACTAGACCGGAAACTTAAACCAGCCATACAATTTTTTTGTAAGAAATTCAATGTAGAGAGAGGGAAGGTCTGTTACTGACCAGGTTGTCTGCTGTTAGTCTGGTGATCTCGTGTTGCAGGTTGGCCTCTATTCTGGCCTCCGGAGTCAGCTGCAAGTTCTACAGAAAAGTACATGGTGTATAGGACCTTAAACAAGACATTTTGCTGATGTGCTCTGCACAATATGTATTTTGTGCTGGCATAGTACATTCTGCCAACGAGTTAGGTACCCCCTACTAGGTGTTATAAGATTACAAGAAAACTAGAGAAGTAACATTTGCAAAGCAAATGCATAATGTTTACCTTCGGACATGGTCTGCCCTGTTAATTTTTACTCAAACATATTCTCATACATGTACTACGAGTATATGGTGACAGGAGCAGAGCAGACCATGAAGTTTGCAACATTATGTAACCCAACACCAGTCACCATGGTGACAGATGTCAACAAATCATGTCATTGGCCAGGTCAGAGGTTAGTGTTTGGAGAAGAGGAAATTGAGTAAAAACAATATGTTTTCCTTCGGTAAACATAAAAAAAAGAGACCTAGGCATGAATATGCACTTCAATGGTCAAATGGAAGAAAAGGCTACATTATGCATGGACGGTATAACATACCTTAGATTCTTACATTGAACACAGAACTATATCCAAGTAATATACATGATACAAAGTAACACATGGATTACAAAAAAGACTTTCACAATGCAAGAAAGTCCTTGGTCATTCCATAACAACAACAGTTCCAATGTCTCTTTCCCACATGCCGAATACGTGTTTCAGTTCTGCATGCCTGGGTTAGATTTGTTCTTGCAGTAAAAAAATAAAGGTTCTTACAGAATGGTCGACATCTGGAACATAGTGGACTGACCAAGCACTATCTCGCCTATCTGTCTGCTGTGTGGCCACACCATACCGTCAAACAAACACACAACAACAACCAAGAAGGAAGGAAACACAGCAAAAACAACTTCAGAAAACAACCAAAAAAAGAGAAACACAACTAGAACTTCTGTCAAAACAGCTGTGGCATAGAAGGCTTGTGTAATAAAAGCAAGTACAAATTGCTGAAAAATGTACCAGGAGAGGTTTTGAACAAACAGTAGAAGTCACAAGAAGGATGAAGAAAAAAATTCTGACATCAAAAGAAACATAAATTGCACAGAATGTTAAAGAAAAAGACTGCCACACAATCCTTTCTAGTCTGAGCCAAAAGAATCTTAAATCAATCATCTATTGTCCTCCCAAATCAAAATTAACATGTAATATACATTTTATCTTTTATCCTTAGCTATTTCTTCCTTGTATATTTTTGATACACAGTACTGATTCTAATTTGCAATGTTCCAGATCATACACGTACATGTATTTATTTGCTAGAGCTGTACATTTTGTACACTTGTGAAGTGTAGCAGCATGATGACTGATACAGAAGAATCTTCTTACCTGTCCCAGAAGCTTCTGTTGTCTGATGTTCTCTTCCTTCAGAGCAGCGATCTCATTTCTCAGCTCCTGTTCTTGGAACTCTGCGTTCTTTTTGGAAGCCTGCATCTGAGCCTCTAGTAATCTAGAAATTATTCCAAAACAAGAAATTTCATTGAGAAATTTGAGCTTAAGGTGTTAGACATTAAGACAAGGATGTGACAGTGAGAAAGTGCAGAGGGGTTTTAATCAAATTATCAAAAGGGAGCAAAAGATGGTAAAATGTCACAGATGTCCTATTGGAATTCCACAGAGAGATCGCCACAGAGCTACAATTGCAGGCATCTGGAATAATCTGTTAAGTTGGTGTGTGGCAGAAAAAATAATTTTGTGTCAAGTTATGAATTTTGTACAGAAAGATAGTACATTTTAAGCTTGATTTCCAATGGTTTCCAATTTTTAATAACAACAGCCAGGTTTTCAGCACCAAGGATGCAGACAAGAATTAGGAAAAAAATTCACGAAACCTGTTTCAGCATGACTTCTACCAACACAGATGTACTTTCAAGCTATGAATTTAGAGTGGTCAGAAGCAATGTTGTGGCCAGAAAGAATTTTTTCCCTTCAATTCAATTTTGTTTACACGTGCCAGGAAAAGGTTGAAATCTTGACCCTCTGAAATGCTGTTCCTTGCATTTTGAAGGGTACATTTTGCTGGTGGACTAAGCTTAATATAAAGGTATCTCTTTCCATATCTTTACACACCAATTTTTTTCCGTCATAGACAATGTATTAGGCAAAATTTTTGTCCATCATGAGTGTCAAATCCTGTCAAACGATGGGAAAACTGACACTGGCTAGAACACTGTTCTGAAGCCAGTTCAGGGCTGCCAGAGTATACAGTGCAATTTTACAGAATACAGTGCAATTTAACAGAATACATTGTAATTTCACGGAATACAGTACGATTGTATTTACAGTACAATTCTACGGAATTCAGTGCAAACGTATTTAGTATACAGTGCAATATTACGGAATACAGTGCAATTATATTTGTATACAGTACAATTTTACTAGTGAAATTGCACTGTATACTAGTAAAATTGCACTGTATACTAATAATACAATTGTACTGTACATGTAATCCGTAAAATTGCACTGTATACTCAGTCAGTAAAATTGCAGTGCACTGAGTGTATTCCATAAAATTGCACTGTATACTCAGTCAGTAAAATTGCAGTGCACTGAGTGTATTCCGTAAAATTGCACTGTATACTCTGGCACTCCTGCAGTTGCCCCACCTGTTGGTTTCCTTCTGTGTGAGATATGCCTGCATGAGCTCCCCATCTTCATTCAGTGACTCCAGGTACTCAGGTGGGTACAGGTACAGGTCCAGGTCTGTCATGGTCTCCTTATCCCACTGGTCGCTGTTCTCTATGTTCTGGTCCACCATGGACGTCTTCAGGGTCAGAACCTGTCAACAAACAAATAACCAAACAAAGAAACATCCTTCAGTAAAAAAAAAAAACTCCTCATTTTTCTGTCCTGTTATCCATTTTGCATAAAAGGAACGTACCTTATTTTGACAGGTAGGTGGCTGTGTTGAGCGTTCAAGTTGACTTTTTTCTCACAGAAAATACAGATGATTGTCATGAATTGTATAATGAAATGCCACCTTAAAAGTGTTCCAGAAAAGTACCAGAAAATCCACAGTGACTGCTTTTTACTGCAATCTCCCATCAGAAGACCTATCCCATGGACTTTCCACCAGACACAATAACTTTAGAAAAAACCTTGACTTACTGATTGAGATTCTAGCATTATAGTCCATGTACCTCATGATTCATAGCTTGAAGTATGGTGTTGTTTACAAGAAAATTGAACACAAAGACCAATATTTAAAAAGAAAACATCAAAATCACAATGAATTGTCTAATATATTGGTTCAGAATCTTATTTCTTTCCAGTTCCATATGTATTGTATAACACTGTGCTACTTGTATTTCAAACACGTGACACTTTGGTATCATGGTGGCAAGTTGTTGGGACTTGTTTCATTGTGGCTTTTGTGTTCTGGCCAAGAGAGTTTCACAGAGATCTAGTCAGCAAGTTAGTAAAGCACTGCAAAGAACAACTGGTGGGAAAAGATTAGAGACCTGGAGTAGCATGCACTGCATGCAAGTAAAGACAATATCAATAGATACTGAGCAACACGCCAAGATTAAAGGCTGTTACAGGGTTTTAACCTTTTAACCTTTTCTGTGCCAAGCCCTTATCCATGCACCAAGCTTGTAAGGTTAAAAGCAGTACTTGTAAGAAGTACATGTACTACAAGGCAGGTTTCACTGTTAGATGGAGACTTGTCCTTACTAAGGGTGCCCACATGCACCAAATCTGTACTGGTTAGGGTGGAAGTCGGCAGTAAAATGGTTAAACAGTCTTGAAGCAATGCTGTTGGGGCTGTTGAAAATAAGGCATGCAAACATTAGCAAATGACTTATGAGAGTTGTAAGGCAAGCAATGTGGCAAAGTAAGCAGGGGTCAAATCTAATTTGCTTTTCTATATTGCTATACTTTTGTCATTCTAATGTAAGATTTTGCATGAATTTATTTAATAACATTTAGTGATGATGATTCTAGAAAGTCCAAAATGATTTTAGTTTTTTGGTTGAACCATACTTTACATAATAAAGCTTACTCTTGTTCAACAACAATTTTAAAAGTTACTTGTCCAAAAATCAGATTTAATTTCGACCCCTGCTTAGTTTGCCTTGATGAAGTTGTGATTTTGCAAAAATCAGCCTTATGAAAAAGTTTAACACAAGAAAAAAAGAGATGATTCAGTACAATAACAGTTGCAGCAGTCATGCCTTTAGAGATAGAGAAGCTGTTAGAAATAACCAGGTTGTTAGGAAGCCATAGGAATGAGAAAAAGAAATGGTATAGCGGCAAACAAAATGGAAGGAACTTGTCCACGCACTTCCTCCCTTCGAACCATGAGCTCTTCCGTGAGCACGTCCAGCTGTTTGACTAACTCTTCCTCGGTATTACTGTCCGCGACCGCCTGCCGTAAGTTGCTGATATCGTTCTTCAGTTTTTTGTTCTCCTCTACCAGATCGCTCATCTAGGGGAGGGAAGGGGAGGGAGAGAGTGAGAAACAGGGTGCCATGCAAAACTATGGTGACAAAATCAACAACTAGTGCAACAGAGACACAACACACAGATACATTATACAGGAAAATTTTCATCTACTTCTAAAGCTTTTAAACATTAAAACAATGCTGATATCAAACACTCAATTCCTACAGATCAACTCTGTGAAAGAAATGTTGATTGTACAGTAACAAACATAATATGCATGCAAAGACACACACTACAATGACCATACTTTACAAATCAAAGAATGAAATCAAAGACGAAAACGAACATCCTGGAGGATGGAAGGAAGGTAAGAAGTATTTAAAGACGTGGGAAGATAGGGAGAAGTTAAGTTAAGGTTCAGATGAAGACAGTGTGTTCCAAGACGTAATGATGGTATTGTCAGCTGCAAGATGACTTGTTGGTGTTCTTGAAGAAATGGCCAGGTAAAACTGGGTAGAAAATAATCAGGCACTGGAAAGCTTCAACAGGAGACGCCAAAGGGGTCCTCAGCATGTGTATGAGTCACACAAGGCAGCAGTGCAGTGGTCACACATGAACACAGGCCATGGAACAGGGATAGACAACAACATTGTTACCCAGAGACAACTGTACCACCAATGTACAACAATGGAGCACAACATGAGAGGGAGACACCACCACCAAGAAGACAAGACCTCCACATATGGACACTTACATACAAGATATTTGATAAAACTATCACCTTGCTTACAAGAATATGTTCCCCCACTTAACCAGGCTTAAAAGAGTCACCATAACCCAAAATTGGAAGGGTACATGATATTACTACCCAGCAAAATTGGTTAGCATAGCAAAATGATTATATGGTGATTGGAGTTAACAAGTTATCACTGGTTAATTAGTAATGATTGATTGGTTAGTATTAAGAAAGGTGGTAGGAATACCTTGAATTTCAAGTACTCTTCCATTCTAACCATGCCCAATGTTTTCAGTTTAGGTTCAAGTTCTTGCATGAGTTGGAGCAGTTTTTCGCGCTCCTAAGGAAAATTCAGTGCACTTCAATGAAACAGTTACAAAGATTATACATATTAGCTAGTATCAATGGTAACATCTGATGTTGTTAGTAATGTGTGTGTTATCCATTTAGTAATGCAAGTCACCAATCCCAGATTGGGCAAGATCAGATATTGTTTAGAAAGCAGCACCAGGCATAGGAACAGCTGCAAAAAAAGGCTTCACCTCAGCTATATGTTGAAAAAAAAATGCATCAAGATAGAGAGTTGAAAATCTTGGAAGGACAGCGTGTATGCCAAGAAATTTTCCTCCAGGACTTGACTTAATCTTGGACTCGTAGTGACTGTACTTTCAAATTCCAGAAGTGATCTGAAGGCAGTAGTGTACAAAGATCTAACACATTCTGTATCTGTATAGCTGGTATAACCGCCCTTCTGCATAACACACCAGCTTCACAGGCATGTGGCGCGGCGGCAGCTGGCTACATTACACCAAATGGCATTGCATGTATGAATCAGTGATAGTACAGAACATGTCTTTTGTTTGTTTGGAAACAAAAATCTGACCACGTCTGAAAGGTGAAAGTACAGTGTGCTTAATAATAGATGTATTTTCCCCATTTTGTAACCAATATTGCACAGTAAGGCCACAGGCCGCGGTGTCTTAAGTTGTACCACCTCCTCAGGAAGGTTGGCAATATCGAATCTCTTCATCTTAGCGACATCCAGGGCTTCCTGAAGGTCCTTGTTCTCCTGTTCCAGTTTGGTGACGTGGTTTTGGAGGTTCAGTAAGTGCAGACGCTTCTTCTCCTTCTCTTCCTCAGTGTCCTAGAGGGTGGGGTGGTCAAGGGCGATGTTAGCGGGGCCGTAATTCTGGACGTTTGACCACTGGGATGCCCTGATCGTGAAACCCTACATCTACAATGTATACCTGGGTATTTGGTTGGTCTTTGATTTCACTGAATCTACACATACATGTACCTCATGTGTGCAACACAGAAAGAATGCCTCCACTCCTGAGGCGTCGCCAAAAATTATCCACAACAAAGGTATTTGACAATGTGTAGATTGATGATTAGTGTAGACTAATTTTTCATTATGACTAATCCTGAAAATTCAACTTCATTACAGAATAAAACTTGACAAACTTCTTAACAGTGCTATATGTAGGTACAACTCTCAAGGCATCCGTAAGAACAATCTTAGATGTTCCAAACACCTGGTCCCAGGTACACCAACCACCTTGACACCTTACCTATATGTTATGTTACAAGACACCAGATTCCATAAAAAGTATTACTCTATACCACAAATCCACTTCAGAATCTACTGACAAATTAGACTCACTCAGTACCCTCTAATATCCCGAACAGTACAGGGTTAGAAGCTGTATATGTTACTCCCACCACCAGCACGATCACCCCAGCACAAACCAAGTCTAACCATATGGGAAATAGCATCTTCGAGTGCCTGCACAGCATTGGACACCTCTTTTTCATTGGCTGCCTGAAGCTTATCCCTCACTCCAGTTATCTCATCCACTTTCCTCTGGAGTTCACTGATAACAGCCTGATCCTGGGTCTGTATTTTCTTCATACTCTGGGAGATTTCCTTTTCTTTCTGTACTATGACTTTCTGAAGCTTCTGTTTTTCCTGAATGATGCCGCTAAGCTGTCTTTTGAGTGTGCGAATGGCTGCCTGTTTTTCTGCGTTTAGCTGCTTCTTTGTTTTTGAGACCTCGCTGTTTTTTCTCTCTAGTGCTACCTGTAGTTTTTCCTTCTCTTCAGCTCTTTGGTCTAACTCTGTTTGGAGCCCACTAATCTCCTTTTCTTTCTCATCCTTTAGCTTATCTGAGGCGTCAGCCATCATCTGCTCTTTTTCTTGAATGGCTATCTTCAGTTTCATTCTCTCTGAGATGATGATTTTGAGGTCCTGTGAAACCCTTCTCACTGCCTGTGCCTTTTCTTCCTCTAGAGTTCTCTGAGTTTCCACCATTTCTGCATCTTTTTTCTCCATCTGTGCTTCTAGCATGTCCCTATCATCAACCAACTTCTCAACCTCCTTCTCATACTTTGTTGCCAGATTCTCCTTCTCTTCTTCTAATCTTGTTATTCTATTTGTCATGTCTCGTTCCTTCTTTTCTAGCGCTTTCTTCCATTTTTCCCGCTCTTTCTTCACAGCTTCTAGCTGTTCTTTTACCTCAGCGACAGCCGATTCCTTTTGGATGCCAAGCTTTTGAGAAGTTTCGGCCATACTCAGTTCTTTTTCATGGATAGCAGCTTGTAACATCTCCCTCTCTCTTGAAATATCATTCAGCTCTTGTTTTAGTTTGAACACAGTTCCTGACTTCTCTTCTTCTAACTTTTGTTTGGTTTCTACCATTTCTTGTTCTTTCTTCTCTAACAAGGCATCCAAGATGTCTTTCTCGTCTGAAAGTTTGTCCAACTGGTCCTGAAACTGTGATATCAAAGATCGCTTTTCTTCCTCCATCTTCCTGACTCTTTCTGACAACTCTGCTTCCTTCTTTCCTAACACGTTCTTAAGGCCTTCTTGTTCTTCTCTTGCTCTCCTTAACTGTTCCTTTACTTCATTTATGGCCTGTTCTTTCTCGTCTTCAAGCTTCCTAACCATATCTGCCATGTCAGCGTCTTTCTTTTTTATCGTTTGGCTGAGAGCTACTTTCTCTGCAAGCATGGTTTCTAGTCTTTCCTGAAGTTTTGCAACCATTCCCACATTTTCAGTCTTTATCTTCTCCTGAGCTTCTGTGATTTCTCGTTCTTTACTCTTTAGCAAACTCTCCATGGAGTCTTTTTGTCCTGACAGTTCTTTGAGTTGTGTTTCTAACTCGGTTACAGCTGACTGTTTTTCTCCCTCGAGTTTCTCAGTTTTCTCTTGGAACTCAAACTCCATGTCATCGATTTTGTCTTCCATGGAGGCGATTCTTTTAGTGAGGGTTTTGATTTGGTGCATAAGGACGTGCACGGTTGATTCTTGTGTAACCGCCTGGGCCTAGAGATCAAAAGTTACAAAGATATACTTCAGCGGGGTTGGAAGTGGAGTATTAAAAAAACATATGACAAAATTGTGAAACGTTTATCGCGAAACTTCATGAATGAAAACTATGTTTTCTAAATTTTGCACAAGAAAGACCAAGTGAAATTTGAACACAGAACACATATTATCGAGGTTAGTATTACCTTGTGACTGTCTATCGTTTCCTCTTTAGCTTTGACCTCATGTTCCTTTTGTTCCATGTCTTCGCGATACTTAGCTTCCATGTCCTGTACCTGTTTCCGAAGGGCGCTTATTTCGGAGAGCAATTTTGCCTCCCTTTCCTAGAGAAACGGTTCACACAGACAAAATTACTGGGCGAATTGGAGCCTACTCAAGCACTGAGTAGGGATCGGATGGCAGTTTATTTCCTGAACAGAAAAAAAAATACCATCTTAAGTTGTTTTTTTTGTCTCATTAACCAAGCAGTTTCTAGACTGACATTAGTTTAAGGAGCTCTTCTTGTTAGTGATTTAATTTCTACAGGGGGTTTTGATGTAGTAACCTTTCATTTGTGTAATTTATGGACTTTGATATGACTTATTTTTAAATTTTTTTCATGTATACACTCTGTTGACAAGAGACTGCCATGAGGCTTTGTTTAGGGACATGACACATATGAGGCACTGGTTGAGAATACCATGTTAGTTGTGCATTGTGCTGTAAAATGTCACAAACATTGAACTTTTCCCTTCCTGAGCTGAAGACCACACAGACGTTAACATCAGACTGATGCATATGCCTACAGCAGGCTATAGGTGTCCAATGCAGACAGGCAGCGAAGATGCTTATACTTATAACCATCACCAAATGTGTGTGTGAAAACCCTGTTGTGATACCCCTTGTAGGCCTGTTACAGAAACACCTATGTGATACCCCTGGCCAGCCTGTTACAAGTACCTCCTTCTCAGCTTTGAGCTTCTGCACGCTTTCCACAATTTCCTTCTCCTTTTCGCTCAGGCTCGTGGACAACTTTTCCTTCTCCCCTATTATCTCATTCATCTGTCGCTGCATCTCGGACAGAGCCGCTTCCTTTTCAGCACGGAGCTCTTCCTTCGTTTTCACTATCTCACTCTCCTTTTCTCCTACCGCTGCCTCAAACTTTTCCTTCTCCTTCTCTAACTCACTCACTACCTTCTTAAGGTCCCTGTCTTTCTCCTCCTGTAACTTAATAGCTGTTTGAGCCATGGCTACTTCTTTCTCGTCTAGAGCAGCTTTTAACTTTTCTCTTTGGAACTGAATAGCTTCTAGCTCTTCCTGTAGCTCTGACACTGCACTAGACTTTTCGGTTTTCAATTTGTTTTCAACGTCAACCATTTCTTGATTCTTTTTCTCGAGTAAAGCATCAAGAACGTCAGCATCATCTGTAAGACGTTCTAGCTCGTCTTGGTACTCTGCAACTAAGGCTTTCTTTTCTTCCTCTAGTTTCCACAACTTCTCCTTCATCACAATGTCTTTCTTAGCCATCTCCCTCCTTATGTTTTCCTTCTCTGTCTCGACTGCTTCGAGATGTTCCTGAACCCTGGCTAACTCTTCTTCCTTTTCTTCTTCTAACTTCTGGGCAGTTTCTGCCATCTCCTGCTCTTTATCCTCTATTTTCATTTTCAACTTCTGTTTCTCTGCTAGAATATTCTCTAGCTCCTCCTGCATTTCGGTCACAACGCTATCTTTTTCTTGTGCCATCTTTTGTCTCATTTCTTCTGCCTCTCTTTCCTTCTTCTCCATCACAGCATCTAAGGTGTCCTTCTCTAGTGCTAGTTCTTCCATCTGACTCTCTAACTCATTCACAGCTGCCCTCTTCTCTTCCTCTAACTTAGTCGTGGTTTCTTTAAACTCAAACTCCATGTCCTGGAGATACCCTGACATAACTTCTATCTTCCCTGTCAGAAGAGCTAGCTGTTCTTGGAGCAGTTTTATCGTTTCTTCGCGTTCTGCTTCCCGTGCCTACATGAGTGGACAAAAGACATCTTCTTTCAAAATCATCGCAGGCTTCCTGGACCGTTTCCTACCACCATTTACCACCATTTTGATTGGATAGAATTACTGCATGACTTACTGTTGATTCATCTGGATATCCAGAGCCATTGTTTCATATTAACAATTATCAAATTCAATTTTACAATACAATGATTGTACATGGAGTTGCCAATAGCAGGCAGATCATGAAACTTGTAATAACTATGATCAAAATCAGTTAAAATGGATGAATATCTTAGACCATACATGGATGATCATACTAATTAGGAAGTAACAAAATGGACTTATGCTACCAATCTTACGTAGCATTCTTAAAAGTTGCAAACTAAACCGTAAGATTAACACTTAGATCATGTACATGTATGAAAACCCCAAGGACGATTCTGCAATAGACACATCATCAACTTAAATCCCATCAAGGTCTGTCAATGGATCTTAGAAATGAGTTTTCTTCCTATTAGTGGACCCAAAAGGTTCTGAGTTTCTTCTTAAAGAATCAACTTTCTTCAAGAAACTTGACACTTCAAACTTTAAATCACAGACTATTGATGATACAAGGGCCCCTCCCTCTATGATGTGATTGGCGGATCTCTCTGTATTTTCTACGGCAGTGGAGTAAGCTATTGGGATGCTTTTGGTGCATATATATACTGGGGAGAGTAAGTGCTGAGCATGTAAAAGCTGTTGTGTGTATTGGAACAGAAGGCAGAACTTGGTTAGTCCCTCCACCTATAGTATAGAGTGCATAGCGAGACAGTACCACATATCTGTCAATAGTCTCCTGCTTGGAAATGAGCTGTTTGGATTTTTCCACGGCTTCTTCTTGGAACATTGTTCTCATTTCCCCCAGACTTTTCTGGAAGTCTTCCAGTTCATATTCCATACGTCCTCCCTCCTCCTAGGGACGGAATTCAGGAATTCCAAAATCACTTCTTTTGTTCTTTGTGAAGCAAGTATTGAGGACATGGAAATCTATTTCTTTAAGGATCATCACAAGGAAATGTTGTGGATTACAAAATAATGGGCAAAAGACTTTAAGATTACGACCTAGACTTGTTACAGTTTTAACGAAATGTATGGTACACTTTATAACTTTATACAGGGCATGCTTTAACTTCAGTTTATGGTTTCTGGTGTCCAAAAACAAGCAAGCATCGAGCCTTACCCCACACCATGCTTAGGATGTATAGAGAACTATGTACCACATATTGGTCTAAAGCTTCCTCCTTTTCAAGCAGGGATTGTTCCTTTGCTTTGATGTTTTCCAAAAGGTTTTTGTTATCGGCTTCGAGTGTGGTGATGTTTTTCTTGAGGGCTTCGTTCTCGAGTGCAATCTTTTCCTTGGACTTGAGGTCATCCAAGAGTGCTTCGTTATCTCCCTCAAGCACTTCTATCATCCTCTGAAGGATGGCAAATTCCCGCCTGACTTCTGGGCCACCATCCTAGGGACATTAGGCAAGACTTTTTTTCTCACTCTGTTTTAAACACTGGGTTAGCATTACTGCGGTTAGTATTCTGTTTCTGTATCATACAGACTTGCTACATATGATACTTTTTATCATTGGGTTAGGAATATGATTATAATTTTATGTTATGGTATATCTATGTTAGGGCAAGGCCGTTTATATGCTGTGAAGGCACTCTTATGTTGGTGATGCTACCATTAGTTTTTAATTTATCCAGGGAAACTGGTTGGCACCCATTGGTGGATATGTACCAGCCTTCACAACAACTCCCCCTACTGACTTTTATGAGTACTGCATGACTTGCTTTGAAAGATGATGTTACTGGTCACTACTGGCTGCATCTTTGTTACCACCTTACCCCAGAGTTGATAAGTTAAGAATATCCTCAAGTCGTAAGTCTTAAGTACCACTAAGTCCGCCTGTTGTTCTTTCACTTCCTTTTCTTTTTCCTCAAGGAGGTCTTCGAGTTTCTTTCGCTCGCTTTCCACCTCTTCCAGGCGTTTTTGAAGTCGTGCCATGACCTCAGCCTGGTTTTCCTCATCCTTGTCCTGGTGTGTGTACATGTGAGCAGTAATGCATGCATTAGTAACAACAGTGTCACCCTTAACAACACATTCAACTTAGCCCCATATTCTGCCATCAAAAAAATGTGGCCCCACAAAATGTTAGATAAAAACATAAATCTATATATTTAGAGCGAAAAAAAAGCTTAACGCAGTAGCAACAGCAAATCACAGGAATTTGTGTTGCAAGTAAAAGCATTTATGATCATAATTTTTACCAACTGCTGGCCAAATCCGTTTGTAAATCACTTCAAAACAACAAGACTGATGGAGTCATAAGTAACACTAACTTCTCTAAAGATTTAGATTAAAAATTGTTAATTTACAGTACCAGGGTTACTGAAAAATAATTAAGGACTTTACTCTTTATTACATACTACAGTCTCCCTACAAAGCTTGTTCTAACAAGCAGGCATTATTATAACTATAGACTATAAGGTTAGACTGACACCTTACCCACTTGAAAATTAGTATCAACAGTTTTGATGATTAGTGGTTGACTGTGATAATCAAGGATGTGTATTGAGCGTCATTTGCCGCTAACGTTAGCAAGCAAGCTGGCTGCCCAGCGAGTGAGTGGGACAAGGTTAACCTTGGGCAGCTCTTTCCCCTCCGCTAAAGCCGCCAGTTTCTGGTTTTCCCGCTGCAGGGCTTCCAACTTCTTCTGTAGGCCAACCAGGATGCCGACCTCTGACCCTGTCTCCGCCTCCAACATGGTTTCCATGCGAGCCTTCTCCTCGTCAAGAGCTTCCACCATGACTTTAAGTCTCTGGTTTTCACCCTCAAGTTCCTGCGCGTGTTTCTTAAGGCTTTTCACGCGGGGAGGCGCCTTTGGTGAGTCCTACATATATACGGGTATCAACTGGCTCTTAGTATACTACTTCTTTTTCTCTGCCTGAATTACTACTAAGCAAGGAGATTGTATTTAACCTCCTTGTACTCGTCGTAACCACATAGCATGATTGTAACCATGTACAATATTGTACGAGTGTTGTAGTGTTAGTGGAAATCATGACAGAAAGAACCAGAGAGAATTATACCATAAATTTCTCTCAATCAATACAACAGAGTGCAACATCTACAACCTTTTAGATTATTAGTACTTTGATTAATATGTTGTTATAATGTATGTTTTTGGTGTAATGTGCTATTGTTGCATTGGTGACTTTGACTTGTTTTATGACATATTCCCCTCCAATTGCATCACCAACAAATATACAGGTCTGAACATGTGCAATGTAAAAACCATCTTGATTATGATGATGATGATATATTACATAGAATGCCTCTCTATATATATACAACTGCAAGTAAACTACATGTATACACAGCAAAGCAAGATGAGTACACTAGTACTGTATATCGACAAGCCTTTTTTTTGTTAACCCAGGAGTTCCAAGGAAAATTTCTTGGCATGACTTTGTCCTTGTCCATCATCATAATGCCTCTTACATGTAGCTCCTATAAGAAGCACCGTGACTGTGTTTTACCCTTAGGCTACTGGTTTGAATGTAACCAGTGTTCAAAGCATCTCCCCACCAGCAGTAGCACAGCATTGTCACATAAGGTGTAATGCAAGAGGAAAGAAGAGCATGCAAGGTTACTGTGAACTTTGATACAAAGAAATCATCTTTAAAAAGAATTAGGTTACTCTTCAATGTTAAATGGAAAAATCGTTACCAGTAAAATTCCTGTACTCTAGCAGTCTTCAGAATCTGTCTTCAAAAGTGCCAGTATTTCTCAACAAGCAAACAAACAAACAAACAACCAAACGTCCTAATTATAAGCCCATACATTGTATCATCTTTCTTGACCATGTTGTGTTTTCAAAAGTGCCCCTCTGTGGCACCCTTGTATAGATCATTCAGTGACATGTTGACTTTTTAATTGCGTTTCCCTTTTACATGTACTTCCACTGATAATTTGGTCCTCCTATATTCAAACAATATTTTTCAGTAACCAACAGCACTTAGCTAAAAATGCAGTTGAAGAATGCAGGAGGTTTTAAAGTATCACATGACAACACCAAGCAGAAATAGAGTTGAAGCTGTGTAAACTAAAAGGAAGGCTGCAAGTAGAAACAAAATAAAGTATTCCACTATACCGGTACACAGAAGGGTGCATGTACAAGCAATGTGTAGCTGTTAGTTTGAAATTTCTATGAACAAGCAACATGATTTACTAAATAATAAAGTTGTAACAAACAATTGCATTGCAAATGTGTTGTACTTAAGTGTGAATAAATATTTTTGTTTAGTATCATTCTGTATGTATGTTTATGCAAAACGTAAATGTGCAGTGTTTCTTTAGCTCAATGTTTAATGGAGAAAATGCATTGGAAGCACAAAAAGAAAAAAATGATTTGATGTAACTAACTGTAACTGACTGTAACTATTTCTTTACGAAATGCAGATTTCTATATACCACAGCATTTCTGATGCTCTACAACCACATTTTCTACATTAAATTTCTAACCCATGGCGAAATCTCCACCATGAATAAGGGTCTCCAACAAACAGAATAGCCTTCCTATACAGACAACTTTGTGGGATCTTCTTGGGTTCAGGAACAAATCCTACAGCGCCCCCTTTTGGGATGTTATAGTACTGCAGCTCCTAAGCGTAACATCTTCCTGGCTGAGTGAGAATACAGAAAGGCCATACCTGTTCCTCGCCCTCGCCCTTCCCGATGGTTCCATAGCCTGACTCGGAGTTCAGGTCGACACTGCTGACGTCAGAGCCGGCGCGGCGGTGCATGCGGGGACTGGGCACGGCAGAGTCCATGTCACCAACTTTCCCCTGCTGCAGCAGAGTCATCTCATCCCGCAGGTTCTCATATCTCTGCTCCATACGCGCATAGTCCTAGGGGTAAAATGTAGAATCTTAATAAAAGCACTACAAGAAGAAATTTTGTACTGTAAGGAAGAACACTGACATAGTCCTGGGGAAGCAGTGTAGCATCTAAATAAAAACACCTCAAGAAAAATTGTTGTACTGTTATTGTTAGAATCTTCCCAAAAACACCGGCATAGTCCTGAAGAAAAAATATTATATTGTAAGAATCTTACTAAGAACAATGACATAGTCCTGAAGAAAAATTGTTGTACTATAAGAACACCAGGCATGCATAGTCCTGAAGACGTCATCAAGACTGGAATCTCTTACCTTGATCAACTGTTGATGCTGTGATCTTTCTTGAGCTAACTCTTCCTCCAGCTCCTGTTTCTCCAGTTCTAACTCTGGAACATGTGCAGCTGAGAGGGGGAGATAGAAATTATATGTTTGTTTATTTGTTTGAGTAAAAACCCTTTAATCCAAATTTGGATCACAATGTCATAAATGTAAAGAAATTGACCTCACATGCAGAAATCAATCTCACCTTGGAACTCCTCCTCTTGCAGTGCTACCTTCTCCATAAGTTCTTTATTCTCTGTGGCCAGTCTGTCTATTTCTGCCTTCAGTGCTGTGTTCAACTACAAAGGCATAAAGAAACAAACGTACATTGTAGGTCAGTTCAGTTGTATCCACTTGTATGTTTGTATGAATAGTTGTAGGTAGAATACATGTACATTACAAAAGTCACTGTACTTTTGTTGTGTCTGAGTCAATATAATTGTTGTATTAGCTGTAACCCAAAAGATAAATGTTCATGGAAGCTAACTTCACTTTTGTCAATTTCACAAGTTATGCTATTCACTAAAGAATCTGAAAGTGACTATTAGTAAGATAATTACCATTTCCTGCTCTTCTTTGTAAATTTCTCCCTCTTCTTCCAGCATCTGTTTCTCCTTCTTGGTGAGGTCCAGCTCGGCCTTAAGTTTGGTGATCTCATCTTCAAGTTCATGCACCTTGTTGGAGGAGACCTTTGCCACTTCTTCTGTCTTCTTAAGTTCCGTCACTTGTGTCTGCAAGTCTTGGATGACCTCCACCTTCTTATGGAGCTCTTTGGACTCCTTGTTCTGTTCATTTTCAGACAAAGGTAAGAAGGTGGTTAGGGATGTTGACTTGAAATCTAAAGGTTCTGGGTTCGAATCCCAAGCAGATCCTGATGTCATGCCCTTGTGAAAGGTAATTTTCACAAATTTCTTCAATCATTATGGACTAGTTTCAGATAGGGATGTCCTCTTGCATGGCACATGTTTGACAAAAACCACATACTTCATGAGCAAGTTAAATAACCCAAGACACTTATCGATAGGAGTAGGGGTCTTTCCTGGTGTGAGTGACTGGCTTTACGCAGCTTGTACTTTTACTTAAAAGTGCAAATCTGGCGTATTATGCCTTGAGGCATTTTGACAATCATGCTAACAGTAAAACAAAGGAGAATAGAATTATATTCCCCTGCTTTGATCACTAACCTGTTCGTTGAGTTTCCTTTGCAGATCAATGATCTTGTTCTCCATTCCTTTGTTAAGTTTCTTGTAGTGGTCCACAGATTTGGCCTGGATCTGTGTAATAAGAAAGAGTATTTAGACTAGAGGCCTCTGCAGAGCTGTATCATCTCAAAAGCTCAATTAACCATGAATAATCCTGTCTATTTCTTAAAGACAATCTCTTACCTTGAGTTTCTTGAGCTCCTTCTTGGCGAGCCAGCGTCGCCAGCAGCTCTGGATGAGGATGATGGACTGCATCTCATGCCAGTAGCGTTTCCGAGCCACGTATCCCCGCCACGCGCGCTGGATCAGTCGGGCCTTGACTTCGTATCGCAACTAGAACGACAAGAAATCCAAGAATTTAGACTTCCAGGAAGAATTGGAGGGTCACTGTGTCTGACCTTTTGATCTGTAATTCTGCCTGTCAATCCTCCCCCTACCCACGTGCCGTCAACCTACTCTGCCTGGACTTGCAGACCTAGACACACAAACCCACACATCGGCTAACCAAAACAATACTTCTGTCCCCAAAAGAAACAACAAAACAAAGGTTACACCCCTTGTCCTTAACAACTGTCCTTAACAACTGTTAGAAATTCATGGTCACATGTCAGTGAGTGGGTCATTTTTTCCTGAAGAAGGACAAAGGACAAGTTGGTGTATTTTGCTTGTGTTTAACTTTGAGCTAGTGATAGTAAAAATGTGATCAAGCATTTTTCCAGTTATTTTCAAATAAAAGAAATTCATACCTATACTAACATCACACCATATTGCTCTTTAGTAAACAGGAAGTGACCCCTGACCTGCAGGAAGCGAATCCTGGCGAACTTCCCTCGGCCCCATGCCTGAATACGCAGGATGGTCCAGCGCATCTTGAGGTAGCGGCTTCGTGCCAAATATCCACGGAAACGTTTCTGGATTGTAGTTGCAGCCTTGGTCTCACGCATCCACTTCAGGTATCTACAAGAAAACGAAAACAAGATGAAACTTTAAAACTCAACTTTGTAGTCTTCAAAGGTTGCTATATACTGTAATTCCTGACTTTTTCACTGTACTGTTATGTTCACTGTTTTCACTGTCACTTCTGTACCGTGAACTTATCATTACAGTTAACAAATAATTCCTGGACTTTCTTTTTCCTGCACCTGTCGCCGCCATGAACATATAGTTCTGTGAACATGTCCATTTTTCCCAAACTGAGAGCTTTGCTACCGTGAACATAAAGTGAATTACAGCTGTAATTCCTGATTTTTTCACCATACTGTTATGTTCACTGTTTTCACTGTCACTTCTGTACCATGAACTTATCATTACAGTTAAATAATTCTCTTGGACTTTCTCTTTCCTGCACCCGTCGCCACAGTGAATAAATAGTTCCGAGAACATGTCCATTTCTTTCAGACCGTGAACTTCTGCTACCGTGAACATAAATTATTACAGTATTAAAAAAAAAGGATTTCTTTCACTGTTTAGACTCCCCACCTTCTGGCCAGTATTCCCCGGGTGCGCTGTTGGAGCCACAGAGCAAGCTGCTTCAGCTTCTGATAGCGCCTCTTCATCAGCCAGCCCCGGATATGCTTCTGGATCATGATGCTGCATGCTCGAAGCTTATCGGACCGCAGCTTCTCCATGTACGCAACTTGTCCCGCGCGGAAGAAGATCTTCGTCTTACCGAACTGGAACTTGTCTGGGTCCTGGAAAAAAAAGTTGGACAGTGTGAGTAGTTTTGTTTCTGGTCACAAAAAAACTTAAGACCAATGTAACTGAAGTTTCATCAGGTGGCAAAAAATAACTGTTACAGCAAAATGGATGATAAATACAACTTCTACATTAGGCAACTTTTGAACAGGGCAATAAAATCTCTTATGAGATAAAATTAAATTTATGAGTCTAAGAAAAACATCTGAGTTTCTCTGAGTAAAGTGTAAAATGCTATCAATGTACATTTGTTCATTTGGTCACTTCAAATTTGGAAAGTTGGTCAGTTTTGAAATGCTTTCTCACAGCTTTGTAAAAAGCATGTCATAAAAAGATTTGTTAGGGACTCCAAATCTAAATGGACTTGCATGTATGTTTCCTTAACTTCTCAGGACTTAAAATTCATGTTTTGGAATAGGTGAACTGGTGCAACCAATCCTAAAAATCTAGGTACACAGATTATGCACTGGGGTATGTTCTACACTAATGATGCTTCTTCCCCTTCACCTTGATGAGTCGTGAGACGACAGTAGCACAGGTGTTCTTCATGTCTTCTCGGTTGATCTCTGTGGACACCATCAGGACACGGTAACGCTGGAAGAACTCAGGGTACGTCCATCTACAAAACAAATCGCAACATAGTAAACATACACTACAGTGAACTATGCTCTTTACTACTATCAAGATCCACTTCATTTTCATATTTACAATACAACAATATTGTGATAGTCTCATGTTAATGTGGTGTAAAAACTGGCTGACTGCTACCCACCCCTGTGTATGGATCCCCCATAGCATTGCAATGTTTACATTGTACCTAGACCTTAGGTCCTCCATAGCATGTTACATGTATCCTCAAATACTACGTACTACTAGATAGTACTACTAAGAATGGTACAGACCTGGATGGGTAACCTGCAGAGCTGATACGGATGGTCTCCAGTACACCACAGGCCCTCAGCTGCTGCATCGCTCGCTTGGGCTCAAACCTGCACACAAACAAAAATATGGGGGCATCTTTTAGAACAAGAAGTGTCTGGCATTGCCAAAAAATCAAGCAAGGTGTCCTGTCTGCATACATAGTCAACCATGCTTCTGGTTCTAAAGAAGATCAAACAACAGATGCAGAACTGTCCCTAATCGTCTTGAGGTACTCACGTGAAAGCCCTCTTCTCATCGTTGGGTTTGATGCATCTGACGTAGTGTGGAGTGGTGGAGTTGAGGGTTTCCATGAGCAAGCATAGCGATTCCTTGAACTGTGTACAAACAGCAAGCATTAGTCCTCACCTTTTCTATGCTACCTAACACCATAGTCAACAGAAATTTGGTAGACACATGCTACTTCAGTGTGAAAGTTTTTGAACCCTGCACAAGTAAATCTCATTAGTCATTCTTTTAAATTAATTTCAACACTGTCCAGGCCTCGAAATTAACTTTTCTTTCTATTGTCCCAGCACTGTCCCAAAAATAAATTTCAATTGTCCCAAAGTGAGGATGAACCGTCCCAACCTGTTTTTTGGGAAGTATTGTATGACTTCAACTTGAAGTGAACTTTATTTTGCTTAATATGTTCACTCCCAGGCGCACTATAATTACAGTGTAGATAGTAAATTTGGAGGGACTTTTCTGGATCCAAAAGCCGGGATGTGTGCCTAATACACAAAAGATGGGCTGACATTCTAATTATTATTTTTCTATTGTCCCAAAATGTCCCAAAGTGTCTTTTTAGTTGTCCCAGCCTAAATTTTAGTGGTCAGTGGCCATTGGACCACCTTTAAATTCCTGCCCTGACTGTCTTCTACCCATATGTAGGAAGGATTGGTTTCTCACCTGTAAGCCGACAGTCTTTCTCATCTCTTTGCTGGGCTGCTTGTGTTTCTGAGGGAGATGTTTCATGGTGATCTTCCCTTTCTTGGCAGGGGGCGGCGCTGGAAGTCCGCCTTTCGTGGATACCAGGTCGGCAACTAGTTGGAACTGAAGAACCACAATATTGTAAGTTTATAGAATATACACATCACTTACTATAATTCATTAATTCAAGATATTCAATTTTGTTCTCCAAAATTATTTTTGTTGAAACACTGTTAAAGAAAATTTTCACAGATTTACAACCCCAAATATTGCTCTCGTGTTTTTCCTTTTATGAGGGAAACCTTATGAAAATTTAGATGCCATTGCTAAATGTTAATACAGTGCTGCACTGATTAAAATGATACAGGAGAACACTGCAATATTAGCCATACATTATAAGGAAGGTTGATTAAACTGCAAAGAGGGTATCATTTGTCTCACAATGAAGCATTGCATGAACTGTCATGTATTATTATATATTATCCATGTATGAAAAGGGCAAAATTCTAGTTTTGCCTAAACCTCAACCATGGTACATGTATATTTCAATATATAAAATATATTTCAATTCCAAAACAAACTTAGCAGGGGCTCTGAAATGTGAAGACAGACACTTGAGGAAAAAGAATAAATTGACTTATATACATGTTTACAATAATTATTCACAAGTCAAACTGAAATATTCTACCAGTATAAAGTTAGTTGTAAAATTATACCAAAATGGCACAAGAGGCAAAATTCCTAATAGAGCTTATATGTGTAACAGCTCTAAAACATTTTCCCAATAGTGAGTAAATAGCCATAATCATGAACAGCTTTCATCCCTTTTTGGGTATGAAAAAAAAGCAGATATAACAGAAACCTTGCCTCTTGACACTATGGTGTTACTAGTATATGGGTTCACATGCTCTTAGTAGTCAGTATCCATTACACATGCAATAGCATATTATTGGTATCTGTATCATTTATTACAAAAACAAACGTTACTTTTTAAGATACAAGACAATGTATAATGCATGCATTAAATAACAATAACCAGAACTGTGTGTTATTTTGTGAGAAAACATGCTAAAGCATGCTTTAGAAATTAGAGGGATTCCACAACATTTGAGTACATCAAGGTCTTTAGTATGACTTCAAGCAAAAACTTTCTAAACTACTCTTTATAAAAAAAAATGGTATTTAAGATGGAGTGTTGCCTATCATATAACAAAAATAGTTACTGCATAATGAGAAAGAACTTAAACATTAGCCATTACAGTTACAAACATTACAATTACTCACTTGTATAAGCTACTTGTATCTAACTAAACTCTATATTGTATACTTTTTTCAACTCAAGAACATTGATGATAAACAAATGTTGAGGAATCACTTGGAAGAAAGAAGTAAGAAAGTTCATGCAGTCTAAATCATTTTACCTTCTACCGGGAGAACCACACCAAACCAACCAAAGACCAAACCAACCAGAACATACGGGTATAATAGAAAGAATATAGAAAGGTTTGTAAGCAAATAACATGTTCATCAGTCCAGCCAATGAAAACATGGCATTCATAATTGTTTCATGTGGTAGGGCACAAAATACTTTATTTTCTGTTACCAAGTACAAATTTACAGGCTACTAGAATTTTTACCTGTGATTTTGGTTAAATTGCTTACAAGTGCCCCAAAATATATTTAGAATACAAAGTCATGTATTTTGTGCCCTCCATATATTCAACTAAATCAGTGACAGGCAAGTTAGTGTTAGTTTAGCAGATGACATGACTGTGAGTTTTATATAGAACAAAAAGAAAATGTACAGTAGTGGACAGGCTAGCAGCACAGAAATATGTGTATCAATATAGTGAAAGGTGATATTAAACAAAATGATAATCATATTGTGATTTCCAATGGTACATATTTATCTAAGACTTACTTTTTGTAATATTGGAGTTTAATTTGGTTAGTTTTGCAGTATGTCATGGTAAGGTAAATATTGTAATATCGGCTGTCATGTACATAATTAACAGCTGTATAGTTAGCTGTTATAATGATTATAACATAATATGTTATATTTTTACTAACCAGCATTAGTTATGGGGGGATTAGAAATAGTATACATTCAAACAATGTAAGCAAGTTGTGAACAATGATTTTTGCACTCTTAGTTAGCTACAATCAAAGTTAGTTACACCATGCCAAAGACATGAACATCATTCAAGTAAAACAAACTTGATTAATACAATTTTTTTAAACGGCATGCAGTGTATAATAAAATGCAACACCACTTAGTACACAATCACAATACAATCTTGTCAAAAACAATTATTAGTAAAATCAATCAAGTTTTCAAAGGTAATAGATCTGTTAATTACATGTGCAAAAATACTCAGCTTCTCATTATAGCATAATATCCTGAGCAAATATCAAGTTTAATATGATTTAATAATCAAAAAAAGCCAGTGCCATACTGTTTAGCTATCATAAGACAACATCATGATACTAGTTCTCTTGCTACGATTGAATTTGTTAAAGATGCTTTTCCACTTTTTAACAAATCTAGTCTAAATGGTGTCTTAAGTTTTGAAGAACAAGTAGACGTACCTCGCTCGCTCGGAGTATATTGATATGTTCCTCGTTGACCAAGTCTCTGTTTTTCTCAAGGAAACCTTCAGCTTGGTATTCCACCTTGTCAGCAAAGTGATAGATGATGAAGGCAGAGTTGGACATGCGGGGCTTGTCGAAGTGCTTGGCTTTCTTCAGGTGCTTGTCGTAAAGCTTCTGGCACCAGTTCTGGTCCGAGCCTTTAGGAAGCTGGAGAGGATTTGGGAGTTTAGTAGACATTTTTAGCCTCTGTACACTTGGAGAAGCCACACAGACGAAACCGGTCGTGTGACAGGCTGAATAAAAGTTCTAAACGGGAACTATGCAGTTCCAGATGTCTTACTGAGGGACGACCGTGTGTGCGAGATGTCGGTTAGCTTGAGGAATGAATCCCCTCTACTATATACTGGGAGTTTAGTAGACAAGTTCTTGCTTAAAAGCTCAATGTAAACAGTAGAAATTCAGATGTGACACTGAGATTGTAAGAAATTCAATGGACTGTCATGAGTTTTTCTTTAGCAAAATGAAAAAGCTATCAAATTTTAGAGTAGAGGTTTTCCTTCAAAATGATGATTAGAAATGACACTAAGACAATAGTGGAAAATCTTCAGTCTGCTTTGGTAAAGATTTCTGTTTTCTTGGAGCTTTTTTGGCAATGCCTCAGGAGTAGAGCCTATTGATGAAGGATGACATTTCCAATGGTAAGCTCTAACATTAAAAAAAGGTGCAATGGCATAATGGGCAGAGTATAGACTAGCCACTTGCTGTTACCCAGTAGTGATTGCAAGAAGTTACATTACCCAGTGCTCAAGAAATGGAGATGGGTGCTGCCCAATACACTATGAACGGTATGGTTAAAACTTTGCCTTTTTTTTAAAGCACCCACCTTGCACTCCTCATCAAGTAAATCCAGCAGACCAAGTTTCGCCTCGATCAGGTCGATGCAGGGTTGGTTGTCGTAGTAGTCGATAAACGACCAGGTGATCTCTTCCCGCACGTATTCTTCCTGCTCCAGCTTAAACACATGCTGTAGAGAAAAAAACACAAAGAACCTGCTGTAAGAATGGATAGTTGGGGACCAAGAAGTTGTGAGTTTGAATCCCTGCTATTGTCGCTCACACAACATATACAAATGTATGCTGCTGGAAAGGATTGCAGTCTGTTAAATCGTGGTTCACTGTTCATTGTACTTGTACTTGGTACCATGAACCAGTACCTAGCATCTGTCTCTAAACAAGTGATCATTTCGTACTGTGATAAATTTAGACTCTGGAAAAAGGTGGAGTAAACATTGCATTTGCTGTAATCCAATGGTTTGGTGCTTACCTGAGTGAACTGCTGTTGAAGCTTCTCGTTGGCATAGTTGATACAGAACTGCTCAAAGCTGTTCACTTCGAACACTTCAAACCTGTGGTGGGGAGACAGAAGGGAGTTTGATCAATGTCAGATTGTGATGCAACTTGAAGAGAGCAAAGGACTCCACAACATGAAATATCCCATTGTAAAAAGCTTTTATAATTTCATTTTCTTCACATTTAGAGTCTCAGTATCAAGGTTATTAATTAACTAGTACACATATGCCTAAAACTGTTGTGTTTCCTGTTTCAGGACACTCGGTTGTCAGATCATGGAGCTTAGAAAAGGTTGATCAGCTTGAAGAATTCATGATCCTTGCAGGGATCCACAAAAAAAGTCTAGGGTCTGCAATTTTTTCTAGGGTCAGTCGGGAAACAGGAAACACAACATTTTTTTTTCTTAACCCTCAGCTGAGGCAAGAAAACCCACCCATAGATGTCCAGCACCCCGATGAAGGAGTTCTCCTTGGCCTGAGGGGTCAGCACGGTGTTGATCTTTGACACGATCCAGTCAAACAGCTGGCCGTACAGGAACTTAGCTAGGGCATCTCGGCCATGCATGGCCTGGGGAACAGAGGATATGTCATGTCAATCAAAGGTAGACATCCAGGTTACATGATACATGTACCACAATAACAGTTATTTTGGTAGGAGATATATCACTTCAATTATTCTAGAATTCATTTCATCTTGTCATGTCGATTGATTGAGTAGTACAGTAACTACATCTGTGCATGCTGATTTCTAAGGGATTGGGGGCAACAGTTAATACACAAAACCTTAAGCTTCAAATTGAAACAAGAAAGGATTCAGGAAACTAGACTGGAAGTAGCTATTGAAATGGACTGATATGATGACATTAGTAGTTAAGCATGTTGTTTTAAGATTAGATTTATTGTCTTTTTACTATTAGGAACTAAATACATCCTTTATGTGTTTGTAATATTCTATGGTGTGGGTCACAACACCAGCAACAGCTGCCTTTGTCCCACGTGTATTGTATCATTGCAATTTCAATAAATCTAATCAAATCAAACCACAAGCACTTCCAGGTCTGATCAGTTAACCTAGCGCTATGAGACACATAAGGTACTGGTCAGAATTTAAAAAACCCACTGACCTCTGATGACCTGAGAGGTTTCTCGATGACTTGGTGCACAGCTGTGATCTTCCTGTTACACATCCACTTCCTGAACTGGTTCATGTCCACTCCCAGCAGCTCTGCTACTGCGTACAGGTGGGGGTTCTCAGGCTGGGGGAACATGTACAGGCAAGTTTCAGTCAACTGTTACTGTTGTTATAGCACAGCTCAGACAATTTAACATACCTGGACAATAACTGTCAAATATGCATATAGGTGGGAGTTCTCAGACTATTAGGGAAGAGTAACAGTTAATTTTGAATCAACTGTTGTTACAGCATAACTCAGATAATTAAACATACTTGGATGATGACTGTGAATTGTACTTTAAAAAAGAAACATTTTGGATTTTTCAGATGTCCAATTGTCAATCAAATTCAGTGTGAACCTGAGGTTACAATGATCGTAAACCAATGAAAAAACTTCAATTCAGTCTGTCTTACAATTGTTTATAACAAGAGGGATAGACACTACTATTATACATGTACATCGCATGTACAGGCACTAAACAACGTACATGTACAAATGTATGTTCAGGCACAACAGCACAACAGTATTATAGCTAACTTGGCAACAGGACCCTTAAGGTATACATGTACAAGACAACAACTGTTACACAATGTAACAATGTCAGACTTATACTTACGTCTATATAACACTTCTCGGAGTCCTTAAAGTTCTCGTCCACTTCAATGTTACCCAAGTGCAGCAGAGCAGCCAGTATTCTGAAGATTTCCTGCTGAATCTTGTCCGAGAATCCTTAAGGAAAAACAAAAGTCATATGTCACAATATCAGCACCTAAATTTGAACTAGTAACCTGGACAGGAAAGGAGTCTTTGCAGAGCAATCCTAAATATCAGGTAGATTTGAAGTTGAATGGGAATAAACCAAAATACTCAACAGAATTGTTATTCGGTAAATTAGGCTTAGCCTAAACACCAAGACCATGTACCTAGCAATGACATAGCCTGTTTGGTGTTGTGGAACTCTTCCAAGTCATCCAGGTCCTTAATAACTGGGTCTCCACCTTGGTTGGTGTAGTTGAAGTTCATGGGGTCACCTAGAATTGAAGAGAGTCAGTTAAATTCAGGATTTTGATAGCAGTTTTCACAAAACAAAGAGCTTTGGGAAAAGTACACCAACACGAACTTCCATGATTTATGCATTAACCTCTTTAGGAAAAGATTTGTTTCTAGATCCCTTGCAGATTTCCTACAAACTGCACCTTCCTTTAAAACTGCAGACAACAGCATTCAAATTTTGTGGAGGCAAATTTGCTGCCATGGCAGATAGATACTTGTGCTCCCCATGTACTATGTATACAGTTGCAATGTGTGTCACATATACTAACAAGTTACATGTGTTTTTCCAAAAGAAGAATATACAGTACTATCATACAGTACAGTACTCTCAACCTCTCCAGTCTACACATAATTTGTAGATGGCAAAAAAGTACCACAGCTTTATAAAAAAAATGGCTACACACTAAGACAGAAGTCCTCGAACTCTGGCAGGTCTGCGGCGGCACACAGCTGGTAGAAGATGTGGTAGGTTCTCTCGTTCTCCGCCTGGAACACGATACGCGACTTTTCCAGCAGGTACGTGCGCATGTTGGCGCCGATGATGGTGTAGTTCTTGTTGAAGCCGATCTGGATGTACTTGCCGAAACGACTGCTGTTGTCATTTCTGATGGTCTTGGCATTACCAATGGCCTGGAAGAAGACACATGGTACAGGGTTTATAAGGGTTCAAGTACATGTGTATTCTTATTCTATTTAAAGTATGTCCTGTCAATGTCATGCAATACTGCAGCTAGAGGCTTTGATTTTTTGTGCCGTGTGTGACATTTCTTTTTTTGATGCATGTGACTTTTTGTTTACATATTTAGGTAGGTCACGCAATAATGATATTATCAATGACATTCACCATTATTTTTGATCTTTTTTTACACAAAAAAAGTCAAATTTTGCTTTAAGCAAAGTCTTTGTAAGAGACAACTTTATTTTACAACCTTGGAAAAATGAGAAAATATATTGCCATCAAACAGACAAAAAAATGAGTTGTAATATCATGTCAATGCCACAAAAGAATGCTGATTTGCGGTATGGTATCCATACAATCATGTAGGATGTCATTCATAAATTCAAATTCATGTGGCTTTTTCACATCTTGGGGCAGGCAGTAAACAAAATCAATTCATAGTTCTTCAGTGCTGGAAAACTTGTTTTCAAGTGACTTGACTTGCAGAAAGGTGTAGCATTAGTATATACAATATACATTCATTTTGATTATCAACATTAGATGTTATAATAAGGTGTGTTGTTTCTTCTACAGGACCTGTTGAAAGTGATGTTTAACTGTTAGGAATTTGTTAGTAGTTGACCGACAATAATATAATATGCATTTGGACTCTGGTTTGTTGGTGGTGCCTGACATCTACTCTAACATCTCCATGCATCTTTGTTGCTGTTTCAAACCTGGAAGATTTCTTTGAGCAACTACATGTAGTTTCCCAGTCTCAATAACCACCTGACATAGCCCTGAAATTGAGAATTAGTATGTACATCAGGTTCACATTATTACAATCTATAGTACTTGCACTGCAATATACAAATGCCTGCCCAGCTTCAAAAATAGAAGCATATTGAAAAAGTTTTTGTTCCAGTTTGCTGATAACTACCAGGCAAAAGTACCAAGATCAGCACATGCAGTGGAGAAAGAAACACTACTTTTGCTGGCCGAACATTGCTCAGAATCCACACAGGCCAAAGCAAGTATTAAACTAAGATGACTCAAACATTTCTGAGTGCTTCCTTAGGTTGACAAGCTTCTCTTGGCAGGCTCAGAGGCACACGCAAAACCGCCATTCTCCGTAAAGCAGTGCGTTCTATTCCTGCTGCATCTTACCTCCATAACGGGATTTGACGCCAGCACTTTTCTCTCGATGGCGGTTTCCGCCGTGTACTCCCCTACACTAAGGAACTGGCTCCAGTTGGTCTACCCCGTCATACAGTGACACATATTTAAAGGGGGAGAAACCACACAGAGAGAGGGGGGAGAACAAGAGAAATAAGGGCAAAGCAAAGAAAGCACCATGCAGACACAGTGAAACGTTAATGTCAGCGAATAATAACTTTTGATTCAACCAAACTTTTGGGGCTGAATGAAAAATTTTATGATAAATCAACCAGCTGTACATTTGTAGGTCAACCAAACAGATCTTGTTTTTTATTCATCCTGGAAAGTATGGCGATAATTAGAATTACTTGCAAAAAATGGACAGATGCTTTAAGCAGAGGTGCATACAGCATAGACATTTTCACAGACCCCTTTGCATGTTGGGAAAAACACAGAACTCTGGGTAACACATTGCCATGACAACAGACAATACACAGGAGCCACAAATGTGTTGCCCTGCATTACCCATAATTCTGCTATCCGCAAAAAGGTCTATGTACAAATGACAAACAAAGTGGACACAAAACGTGTGCAAGGAAAAAGGAGAGGTGCTAGTAACAAGGCAGTGTACCACGCCCCAGGTCTGCATGTGTTACAGAAGTCACAGGAAAAAACAGAAAGAAGAAAAGATAAAGAAATGGAAAAAAGACCCCCACACTTAAGAGCCATAATTACCTATAATCTAACACTTCAGATTTAAACAGTCAAATAAAATAATAGTGATTGACTGAATATTCTTCATCTATACAAATAACCCTATCTGTATCATCTGTTTTGTACAGGTCTTTTGAGAGATTAAGGGTCAATTCGATGAGAAGTACAGTACATCTATTATAATTTAGTTCTTGCAAACTAAGATCGAAAAATGCATCATATTTCTTGTTGACTAAGATATTACGACAAGTCGACTGTGTTCAGTATCACATTTTTACAGGCTCCATGTACAAGGTAATGTGTAAAAATACAGTAACCAAACCACAGATACATATTTTTGATATCATAATAATTGCTAAGGTTTTTAATTTTCCATCCATTCTGGATTTTGATATTCCATCCCCAGGTAGCTTCAATTTGAATACAAAGCATGTGAACATAACTATGCAACATTAGCAAAGATTTACATTTGTATTTTCCAATGGCAAGTATGAAATTATGACTAACCTCCATGATAGGATTGGAGGCGAGCACTCTCTGTTCGATGCTGGCTTCCATGTCGTCTGACGACCCTCCCACCGTAGCGAAGTATCTCATGGCGTACTTTGCCGACACCGTCTTTCCCGCGCCCGATTCCCCACTCACAATGATGGACTGGTTTCTCTCATCTCTGTAAGGTAGAGGTAAAAGTACTTCAAGGTATTGACTTCTCACTGCCCAAAAACAGACCAGGCCTTAAAACACAGTGTTAAAACACAACAAGAATTAAAAAATTTAAAGCACAATTATTCTAATGATGGTTCACCTTTGCATCTGCCTGAAGGCTTCCTCGGCCACAGCGTAGATGTGTGGGTCCATGGCGCCCATGTCCTGTCCCGTGTACGCCATCACCATCTCATTACCGTACAACGGAAGCTGCTCGTACGGATTGATGGCCACCAGCACGATACCTTAAAGAACGACACAAAATATTACAACGGAACAAAAATACATTATGTAGGTCCAAAGATATTTCTTGTCTAATGGGTATTTCATCTCATCTATTCCTTAGTCTAATTATTTGACTGTGGTGAGCTCACTGTCCTATTTGTGTGTATGTTTGTCGGTGAGAGAGTAAAAAAACAAGAAAGTTGTCCTTACCACAGTATGTATAGATGGCATTGTTCTGCAGGAAGCGGACCTGTAGGTTGTACAGGACGGCCGGCTCGTGCAGGTAGCTGAGAGACGTCAGGTCGTTCTGACCCACCAGGATGTCCGGGTTTCTCAACGGTGGAAGGTCTTCGTCTGACTTCATTTTCTTCACAATTGTCTGAAACAGGGTACCAAACAATATTGCTTTTCTGAAAGAATAAATTGCAAGCTTTTGCTTGCTTTTCTCACAAGTATAACCTTAAACCTTTCAAGACAATGGGGAACAGACATCTGTGTTCAAGGCTGAGCTTTATCCAACTTCATTTTCTTCACAATTGCCTGTAACAACGAGTACAAAACAAGCTTTCTTGTGATTGCTTTTCTGATGAGTATAACCTTAAACTTTTGAAGACAGCAGTGAACAAACATTTGTCATCATGTTCAAGTCAAACCCAAACTCAGATTTTTCATCATTTTCTTTGGATGTTTGGTCAACGTTGCATCAAAATTTCACCTGTTGTAGATATAAAGATATCTTTTCCAACAACCTTAAGAGACAACCTTAAACAAGATGCTCCACCAATTATGCACAACACATTACAGGTTTTGAAGTCATTGGTCATTAATTGTCTTGATGAAGGCCACAGTGGTCATTGAAAATTTGGTCTCTGTGTAATCCTTGTGTTGGAATAAAGTTCAAAATTTTACTGATAACTCAACCAACGCAGATGAACTTTCATGATAACATTACAGATTTTGCACAGGCGTAGCACGTTCTACCAAGGTGCTGGGTTTAAGAGCCCTCCCCTCCCCTGTATATTGCCTGCCCTGTGAGTCTGACCTCCCTCTCCTCCTCTGTCTCCAGGTGCATCTCCTTGTCCCCAGGTTTGTAGTCCTTGGTGAGCTCCGCCCCCTGCCATACCAGCTCAGGGTGGGGCACCCACACCTGGGCTCCCTGCAACACAACAACACACACTGTGGTCAGACTAGGTTCCTCACAATGCTACAAAATGTACATTCATGTAGGATCATCATGCTGGCCTGAATGCCCTTTTTTGGAAGGCAAAATCATGCCTTTGAAGTCTTCATAATCCATAGGCAGTCACCCAAAATCAACGTAATTCGTAATCAGTACATCAGCTGTAACACATAATTGGTCCTTTTCATTCCACGTAAAACGTAATTCATACCCCATGATTTAACGCAATTTACGTAATTTGTAATTGGCGGTGAAGATTTTTAGTAATTCATAATCACTACCCCCCCCCCCATGCAGACCCTCCCTCATCATGCTAAATTCAGGAATTCAGTTTAAGCAAAACGTGGCCATCTCTCTACAAATTACGGCGACACAATTAGCTTTACCAATGAAAAGACAGTGTAAATCAGAATAGCTTGTCTATGCCTCATAAAAAGGGGCACTGATCGGAGACCTAAGTGTACGTGGTGTGCAAGTGGTAAAATGTATACCATTGTCTATACCTGTACTTAATGACAAAGGTTGTTTCTTCAAATGGCTATAACCTGAGGTTTGTAAAGTATAGAGCTTATTCACCATACGTCACCATGACGTCATCACTCCTCGTGTACCCGTGCGACGCCATTTTGGGGCTCATCTCCGCTGCGAGTTTTCAAGAGTTTTCAAGAGTTGAAATGGCCAGCAAAAGTGAGGTAAACTGCCCTTTGTCCGAATACACGAAGAGTTTACCGCCTCTTGTACTAGAGCGTTATCGGAACAAGGTAAAATCTGTAGGGATTGACCCGTTTCTGCTGAGTTTTGACCAGTTCGATCCGGACCGTCTACCGCCAGTGGAGTCGATTGACCTAGCTTCGTACTTGGTTCTGGACACAAGCTTCTACACGCAGGAACGGTTCAAAGCATTCAAGAGTCTGGAAGCGTACAACTACGTCGTTTCAGGATGTGTAGAAAGTGTCGGGGGACAGTTGCGCGGGGATAAGTACGTTGTGGTTGGGAAGGTTAAAAGGTCACAAAGTTGGAACAGCCCGGGGGTCAACGTCTGGATAATCACAACAAAGGGCGGGACCATCCTCAGCGCGCACTGCCGGGACTGTGTCGCTGGACAAGGTGAGTGTTGCTCACACGTTGCCAGCATCCTCTTCTATGTTGAAATCTACCACAGAGTCAAGGGACAGACAGCGCCGACAGATTTGCCATGCTCATGGCTACCGACGGTGCCATCTTCAGCTCCCTATGCCAGGATCAGAGACATTGACTTTCGGTCTGCAAAAAAGCTGAAAGCCAACCTTGACAGCATGAGACCTGTGCCAGTTGTGAACACGGAGCCAGATCAGCCCCAAGGAGAAGATTTTCCTGACATTTCACCCAATGACGCTGAGCTTGAGGCATTGTATCAAAACCTGGACAAGGTGAAGTACAGACCGGTTGTGCTAAGCCTGGTAAATCCATATTCGGACTCCTTCCTTCCCAAAAGCATTGATGTCCCAACAATCACAGACCTGTCTGACAACAAGTACTTGAACATGAATTACCATGACCTCATGCAAGCATGTGAGAAAGTGGACATACAGTTGTCAGAGATTGAAAGAGATGCAATCGAGGAGGACACAAGAAACCAGGCAAAAGATGGCTCCTTTTTTCGACACAGAGCCGGAAGGATAGGGGCGTCTGTCAGCAAGCAGGCATGTTGTACGAATCCTGCCCAGCCCTCCAAGTCCCTGGTGACATCCATCTGCTACCCCAAACTGGTCCGATTTACAACTGCAGCCACCGAACATGGGTGCAAACACGAGAGAACTGCAATTTCTGAGTACGAAACAGAGATGAAAAGTAAACATACAAATTTCAAAATCGAGCCATGTGGACTCACAGTACATCCCGACTACCCATGGCTCCATGCTACACCAGACTTTGTCTGTAGCTGTGACTGTTGTGGTCAGGGTTGTGGTGAAGTGAAATGCCCCTTCTGTTTGAAGGACATAGACTTTCACCAGTATGCACAGAGACGTACTGCATGTTTGCACCTGGATGATGATAAACTCCGCCTCAAGAAGGACCACCAGTATTTCTACCAGGTACAGCAGCAGCTGTTTTCAACAGGGAGAAAGTACTGTGATTTTGTTGTTTGTTCTGTGGGTGACAAGAAACAAGCCAAGATAACAATGGAGAGGATCTATCCAGACTTGGACCATTGGAATCGTGTTGTACCTAAGCTAACCCACTTCTGGCGATACTGCATCTTACCTGAGATACTTGGCAGATGGTACACACAGAAGAGGGACATTCTTGTAGAGCCTGCTACCACTACCAGTACCAACAGTGTGTGTTTCTGTAGGACCACATCAGACTCACCTGAAGTCAAGTGCTCAAACAGCACATGTCCAATCTCTACCTTTCACAAGTCCTGCTTGAAAATCAGTAGTGAAGTGCCTGCTAAGTGGCTATGTCCCCTTTGCCATGTCTCTGTCTCATCAAAACCACAGAAGCAAACTAGAACAAGATCTACTGCTCCTCAGAAAGCACTCAGCCTCCAGTCAGTTTGTGTATGCCAGAAAACCCCACTTCAGACAGACAAACTCCTGGAATGCCACAACAACGGCTGCGAAAGTGGCAAGTTCTTTCACCTGACATGTATCAACTACAAAAGGATGCCAAACAACGCGTCTACAACATGGGTGTGTTCGGACTGCAAAAGAAAACTGCGCTCAAACAACATGTCATCAACTTGCTCAAGTACGGACAATATTCCCAGTGTCTTTGAGGAGGAAGAAGTGACTGTCACAGGTGTCAGTGTTAACAAGAATGTGGACCGCTTCGGACAAATGTGCAATATGACAGACCACCATTACGACCTTATCATGGACCCTGTCGGGTGGCTGGACTGCGATATCATACATAATGCACATATCCTACTCAAAAAAATTGACCCGTCAATGGAAGGCTTACAGAGGCCCACTCTCGGACCATGTCGCAACTTCCAAACAGTCAGGCATCCCTTCATTCAGATACTCCATACCGGCAACAGCCACTGGGTTTGCACAAGTACCGTCCGAGGCAATGATGGAGTAGTAGACCTGTATGACAGTCTTTACCACAATGTTGTTCAGAGAGAAGTGGAGGAGCAGGTGAAATGCTTGGTAGGTGACAACTATGCTGGCCTGAGGGTTGTCGCTGTGCAGCAGCAGGAAAATGGAAGTGACTGTGGGGTATTTGCCATTGCCTACGCCACCTGCCTCATTCATGGCATTCTTCCCCAGACAGTACAATTTATCCATGACAGGATGAGAGGACACCTGGCTAACTGTTTGAAAAATGGACAGCTAGAAATGTTTCCAACATATTAGGTCCCGGAAAACCCCCTTGTTCCTCCCTCTTGTTCCTGAACCTTGGTTGGACAGCCCGTCACGAAACAGACTGATGGATTTGTCAAGACACCATTGGACAAGCATCTAAAGTCTGAGGTATGAAATATCCTTTCCTTTCTTTTTCTGGTTTTGATTTCTATTTACTTGATGACAGTATCTTGGTCTCAAGGAACGGTTCTCTCCATTGATGTTGTTCTTCCTCTCCCCACAGTGCAAGACTAGTATGGAAGTTCCAACAGTGCTCTGCCCCCCTCCCACGTAGCAGGGATGAAGGTGTGTAGGCCAAGGGACATGGAACAGAAACACAGTCTGAGGTAAGAATGGCTTTTCTTTTCTTTTCTTCCTTTTCTCTTACAATTCTTAGTTTACAGGGGACATTCATGTTGTCTCTGTCTGGTCTGTCCTAACCTTCTTTCTTCATCCTACAGTGTAACCACAGGTTCCAACAGTGCTGCCCCCCTCCCACGTAGCAGGGATGAAGGTGTGTAGGCCAAGGGACATGGAACAGGAACACAGTCTGAGGTAAGAATGGCCTTTCTTTTTTCTCTTATCTTTAATTTTTAGTTAAGGCCACACCAATTTAATTTCTTGGTTAACAGATTTTTTTTTTAAATAATGGAGCGGGCGGGCGGGTGAAAAAAAAAAAACTGGCCTAGGCATCCTATTATGGCCCAAAATGGTACGATAGGAGCCATGAAGTCAACACCAGGCTGGTTCAAAATTTAAACTATGAATTTTGAACTTTTAATGATACTACTGCATTGAAAGATGGAATGACTGTAACAAGTAGTAAGAAAAGGACTGTTTTCAACTGTTCAAGGCAAAGGATGGTCATTTTGCAGTTGATTCTGAATTTTTATTTTTATTTGCAAACCAGAAAAAATGAAGCGGCGAATCCATTAACCAAGAAATTAAATTGGTGTGGCCTAAGAGGGAGACTTTATTGTTGTCTGTCTCTTCTAATGTTCACTTCTCTCTTCTTCCTACAGTGCAACTAGTCGCATGTTCCAACAGTGCTGCAAGTGTCCCAACAGTCCTCCCTCCCCACATAGCAGGGATGAAGGTGTAAGATTGTAAGGAAACATCTGTACAGAGAAGGATCAACATGTTACCTAGCTATTACAAACTGTTACTTTCAGTACCATTTAGTGAATGGTCTGGATAGACATGTAAATAAATTCACAATGAATTGTGCATGACTCAACTTCTTTATTGTATGTAGAACAAAGAAGTACTCAATTGTTTAGCCACTGTTGGACATTTTTGACAACAAAGGTCCGAACAGAATGGAACATCTAGTGCTGTGCTTTCATCAGTTCAAAGCATACATTTCTATCATTGCTCAATTTAAAGATATGTACAAAGAATCAATGTTATTTCACTACAGTCGAACATTTGACATTAAAAATCCTAACAGAATGGAACATTTAGTGCTGTGCTTTCATAAGTTCAAAGCATACATTTCTATCATTGCTCAATTTAAAGATATGTACAAAGAATCAATGTTATTTCACTACAGTCGAATATTTGACATTAAACATCCTAACAGAATGGAACATTTTATGCTGTGCTTTCATCAATAAAAGCATACACTACATATTTGGACCCTTGTGAGTCGAGATGATGATCGAGATACCTAAGTAAAGGGTACGATTGGTGGACACAGGTTGCATAATGCACAACACACCCTTATCATCTTGTCTGCCATTGGTTTTGTGACTCCCTCTGCAGAACTCACATAATGGATTTGTAGTGTTTCCTGCAGAATCTTGTATTTCTGCTTAACCTGGCCAATCACACGTTCAACGTGGATTCTCACATTTGCGATTTCTCGTGTGCGTTCAATGTCAACAGGGTTTAGCTGCTTCCCTCCACGTGTGAATGCCGGCATTGCCAGCTGAACCTGATGTATTGCAAGTGAGTCTTGAATAGTGAATCCACGGTCGGCCATGACAAAGTCACCAGGGCTTAGTTTGTCCAACAGACCGCTTTGTTCGGTAAGGTGTTTGTCAGAAGTGCGCCCTCCCCATGCACAAGAAACAAAACAGATTGATCCCTGTGGCACAATGCCTACGAGCACTTTAACAGTGTTATGATGCTTGTAGTTGCTAAAGGTCTGACCTCTTGCACGAATGTTCGAAGACCTTTCAACGAATACTTCAAAACAGTCAATGATTATGGTAACCTTACTACCAAATGTGGCCTTAAAACAAGCTGGCATGGTATGCATGATATCTTCTCGTGCAGGCCACCTGAGAAGTGGTGACAGTCTTATGTCCATAACTGTCATCCACGACAGAAAAATCCTCGACACAGTGGGCTGACTGATATCAAACCGATATGCAAGATCTTGCTGGGGCACATTTAATCTCAGTTTCATCAGAACCATGACAAACTCTTGAAATGGTGTCAAGGTTTGGGTCCTCCTTGACACATGAGGCGCAACAAAGTCGAAAACTGTCTTCAGTGTATCGAAGCTTGGCAAGCCGGTGTAAAACCTTACCCTGTCATCACTGTCACGACAGTTTGTAAAGTACTCCTCAGTGAATGGCTGTACCTTGGTTTCCTTAAACAGATAGTCAAATTCAGATGTTTGAGTACAATTGTCAGTAGTGCTTGAGGGTTCCTTGGTACTGGAACTTGTGGAAGAAGTCTGCGTTACAACTAGGGGTGGGTACCTGTTCGGCTCTTTCAGGTCCAGGTCCAGGTCCAGGTCCAGAGGATCAGGTCCAGGTCCGGACCTGTACCTGTACCTGATTCTGGATACCGGAGTATCAGTACCAAATAATTTTTGCTAAATGATCATTGCTAAATGCTCAATGCATAAGTAACCACTACAATTTTTTTTAAATTTATTTTTTAATTTTTTAAAATTTACAATTTTTTTAAATTTATTTTTATTTTATTTTATCCCATTTTAATTTTATTTCATCCGTTCTATATACATTATCAAGCTTCTCCTCTACTCCTATGGCTACTAACACCTCAGAACAGAATATATTAATATATTAAACTTCCCAACCAATCACATCGCAGGATTTCAATGTGCAGTCGCCCCCTCTAGCGGTTTGGGCCATATTGCAGGTTTAAGGAATCCAAGATGGCCGCCACTCGGCTCAGTTTAGAGCCGATTCCCGAACTTTTCTTGTATTTTCCTTGGTATTTTACGCGATTCAAGCAAAGAAAACAAATTGACCACAAGAACAAAAGAGTAATACAGCCTTGGGAACATAATGGTCCGTTTTGTTTGGTACTAATTTCTCATTTCGAGTGAAAATTTATGTGCTGCACAGTGTGACCATGCCATGTGGTGTAAAATCAGTGATTTTTCGGCTTGATCCGAAGCAAACGCAGCCTGTTAAGTTCTCTTTTATGATTTCTAGATGACTATCGGTAATGAAAATATGGAGAATATTGTTGCAAAAGGAGGGATACGGAAACTAAGGTAAATTTCTTTATTTGATGCTGGATTTTCCTGGCTGGACTTCTTGTATCTAGTGATCATCAGTAACTACAAGTTTAGATTGTTCCGGTCCAAAAAAACCGGTCCACTGACGTTTCGGTTTTTCGGACCGGACCGATAAAATTTTTACGGTCCGAACCGGTCCACCTGGACCGGTACCCACCCCTAGTTACAACATGATGCGAAGTGATACAAGTCTGATCATCTTTGGTAGCTTGGCCTTCACATTGTTGTAAGTCAGTTGGGGTCCCTTCTACCTCCATGGTTGAGGCTGGTGCATACACGTCAAAACAATCTTCAAGTTCAGGTTCACAGGCCTCAGACTCAGAGAAGCAATTGTCATGTACAGGATCATTGCTAGCAACAGATGTGGATGTAGCATTCTCAAGTTCAAGAAATGTTTCGCTGACACATTGTCCAGGCTCTTTCACCCTTTTTACTTTACTCACGGTAGCTTCAGCTTTGGCACTTTCTTCCCGACGTTTCCGCCGCTGGGCTGTTCGTTCGGCTCGTTCAGCACCTTTCCCACTCTCTTGTTTTATCTTACTGTGTCCCAGGTTCAGTGTTGGTACCCAATCTACGTTAAACCTTTCCCAATGCTTGCTCGGCTGGCCAGAGACAAAATGTTTGTTGCACACTCGTTCGCATTCCAACTTCATCTCGGTCAGGTCTGCTCGACTTATCGCAGAAATCCATTTTCTTCGACGGGTTGATGTTAATTCTTGTACATATTCCCCCTGATTTGTGATCACACGAGGAACACGGAACAGTCTTACCGCTTCCTGGCCTTTCCCCGTCCTTGTCCCACATCCGACCACGATGCAAGTCGGCATAATGCTGTCACAAAACGTAGATTTTGGCCAAAAACTACACAACTATCGCATAGCGACAATGGCGCGCGCGGCGCCACGTAGCCCCAAAATGGCGGACAATGCTCGTTGCTATGGGGCGCGATTGGTCGCTGGGGGGGGGGAGTCACGTGACGACCTGTGGTGAATAAGCCCTATATACAAATGTACATGTACATTGAAGCAAATGGTACAAACAAAAAAGTGTGACTAATCAGTTTAAAGCATATCTTATGCACAAAGATAAGAGTCACTGGATCATTGCCAGCTACATGAACAGCATGTAGTCATGCATGCATAGATAACCTGCCAGTATGTCCATAAACATTTCTGTTTGCAGCAAGCAAGGGGTAGGAATCTGCGTCACAATAGAAGAACAGTCAGCTTAAATCATACATGTAAAATAGATATAATTATGGCTTGAAATGCAGTCGTTTTCTTCTGTTATATTTAGATGCATTTACTCCATCCTTGTGTTACAGATGCATGTATAAATCATTCTTCGTCTTATTAAACCTGACCATAAAATTATTACCAAAATGCTTTTACAATGTATCTTCACGTAGCTTCATCAATAATTTGAAATGAAAGGCTATTTGCAAGTATGTAGACTTATACCAAGGAGGTTATACATTGTAATTGTATGCTATAACCTCCTTGCTTATACATATGAAAACCTGTGGTTGTAATCAAATATTTCTACAGATACGTTAATATTAATTTGATTATCATTATTTCTATGCTTAAAATGAGTTGATATTATTATGGTTATAATCGAATGTCTCTACAGATACGTTAATATTCATTTGATTATAATTTCTATGTTTGAAATGATATCATTATGATTATAATCAAATGTCTCTACAGATAGAAATGAAAAAAAATCTTTTACAGAAAATGAAAAAAAAAACTGTGGTTCAAAATTGTCACTTATAGTATTGGTTTCTCTTATTATACACAGTCACATCCATTGTCAAATACTGCAGTGCAAACAAAAAGATTTCCTTCTGTACCACACAGGTACCCTAGTGACCTTTGGTGCGCCATGTTAGATTAGCTCAGGCGCCAGGCATCAGCAGCTATTTCTGTGATGTGATACCAGAATGACCTATATGGGACCAGTTAAATCCTGCCGGTTTGACAGACCATGATAGATGACCACTACTGACCATCCGTTACCCGATATGAAATGGTTACAGATCTAGAATGGCTGGCTTATTTCATAGGATCGCCAGTTGCAAGTTGTGTCATTAGCATATTTGACAAAAATCTTGATGAAAAATCTTCCTTATTTCAATTTATACTTTATTTGGTAGAATTTGACAGGATGCATTATTGTAAATACATGCATTAAAAGCTGTGTATGCGTATTCCAATCTTCCCTGTGACATATACAGACTCAATGGTGATTTTTTACCTCTACCCAAATAAATAAATGATTCTACACTAGGATTGTTCATGCACTGGGCCAGATAACCCCTACTGTAAATGTAAAAATTACACCTGACACTTGGAAGTCTTAACTTTTCACTTCTCTCCCACAGGCCACAGAATTGACCATAATCTCCCCAGAACGTGGCAGGAAAAATTGATTTGTCTCTGAGTTATTATGTTACAGGCATGAAGTTAGGCTGTTAATCCAAAAATGCCACCTGCACTGAAATCCACTTGGCAGAAACAAATTAATTTCATGTATTCAGACCAATCATAAGAATATTTTTATTAGCAATATTACACAATTTGTCATGATGTATCCCTCAGCGCTAAAAACAAAACAAAGGCGAGCTTGTTTATTATGAAATTCATAAATTTCACATTGGTTGCCCAGGGAAGATATCAAATTTCACGACTACGCATCAGACAAAGCAGTGCACGAACAGAATATAAAAACAGTATCTCTCATAAACCCCTGGAGGGACCATATACATACAAATGTACACAACACTGCAAAGGTCACAGTCACAATTAGGTTAGTGGTACATCACTGACAACAACTCATCAATAATGGAATCTGTCTCAACATCATATCAATTTTAAGACTCAGATTATTTGCATACAAAAAGTCATGTTTTAAATTAACTTGCCTACATTGGAAACTAACAGGAAATTTTCCCAGAACTTAGCCACTAAGCTATTAACCTAGAATTCTCCACTTTCTGCCAGCCTGATCTGCATACATGTTTTAAATTAACTTGTCCACATTACTGGAAACTAACAGGAAATTCTCCTAGAACTTAACCAAGCTAACATGCTAGAATTCTCCACTTTCTGCCAGCCTGATCTGCATACATGTTTTAAATTAATTTGTCTACACTGGAAACTAACAGGAAATTTTCCCAGAACTTATCCAAGCTAACAAGCTAGAATTCTCCATTTTCTGCCAGCCTGATCTGGCAGGATATCCCTTCAGGAAGGATGGCATGGGATCAACTACCGAGACAAGGTACTGGAACCCAGACAGTCTTGGTAGACCTCAAGGATATGAGAGCTTTCACCTCTATGGAAATCAGACTCTGGGATAAAACAGGCCTCTGTGGGCTCATTAAAAAAACACGACTTCATCAAAATACTATATATCATCTGTCTACCTGGTCCAACACTCATGGAACTACAGATCAAGAATTAAATCTTTAAAAGTCATCTGTTTTATCATAAAAGTTCTGTATACATGTTACATTGGAAACTAACATAATATATCTAGAGAAGGGCCAGTGGGATTGTGTCAATAACATCAAATTCTACATGTACATTTAGATTCTAGCAAGTTAAAATGTGTCCTCGGTGGTGACTTTGAATTCTACAAGGTGACTTTCCAAATAGAACTGCTTGCTTCTGATATTCAAACAATTTCTTGGCAGACATCTTGCCAGGAAATTTTGGCATAATGTTATGATATGTGTAAGGTTTTAATGTAAATTCAGATCTTAAAAGATCAAGCATAAACCATAATCAAAATTACCGTAAATTTTTTTTCAAAATGTCACCTTTTATAGGTAGATGCACAGTAAACTCAACATTGTTAAAAATTCAAGACTACACATGTACATATATATCAAGCACTTGACTGGCCATGGGAGATTAAAAAATATACATATATGTGTAACTGACAGGCACCTAGATTAAAAGTGCTTTTATCGGCTTATGCATATGTGTCTTCTGTGGCACGGTCCAAGTGTTGCACCATATACATATAAATAGACATGTAATGATACAGCTTTTTTTAATAAGGGATTGTCATAGCCAAGTCCAAAAAATTTTTATGCAAGTCACAAGTAAAAAAAATTGTCAATACCAGAAGTTTGGAAAACTGGTATATAATATAATACTAATAGACGAATTTGTTTCAAATTGGACGAATTTGTTTCAAATTGTAGTACATGTATTAGCATACTTTCAAAGACTAGTCTTTGACATTGCAGCATTGCTACATGCAGTCAAAACTCACCAACAAGACCACTACTCGGGACCGATAAAATCTGGTCTATATGGACAGGTGTACTTGTGTCAATGGGAAAAATTATCTAGATTCTAACTTAATATAAGGGACCATCAAAAATTGGTAAGGTGGTCCATATGTACTTGGGGGTTAATATGTAGCGGTGGTCACTTTTGTTTGACTGTACTTTCACCAAAATGGAAAGTGGTTTGTCCCTAAATACATGTAGTAAGCTGATCTTCCGACCCTATGATAGTCATATGACCAGCAGTACATGTAGAACTGAGGGTGTGACGTTCAATCAACTGGAACAATAACATCACTCAACATATACCCCGAGGGCTCAAATCCAGAAAGAGCAGAATAAGTCTTGCTTCAAGGTTGCTTAACTTCACGTTTACCTGCGTGCAAGATCTCAAGGAATTTGCATGCAAAACTGAACAGGTAGAATTTTCAAGCGGGATATTCTAGACTCTGCTACGATGGGCTAAGCTCTTTCTTAAAATTTGTTACAGACTTATAAGGATTTAAAATCCATTGCACAATAATCTTTCCATTTCAAAACTACTGTATATACACATGTATTAGTGTATTCAGAGACAAACATGTTGCAATAAAGCTATATGTAGGTGTTGCTCCTTTCTTCCAGAAAAGTCACTGGTATGCAGAGTGTACATAGTTTGTTTACTGTACATGTACATGTTCTTTTAAGTACACATTCTGACACATGCATGCACTTATACTGGCAAAATATTATGCTGCCTGAGCAAAGTTCAAGTACAAACAATATACACATGCAGCAAAGGCAGCATATTCTAAGCAACATTTCACACTGTATAGTACCAGCAGAAACATATATAGTTACTCAAATTCATGTAAAAAAAGCTACAATATTGCTAGCAACAGTATTAAATATGCACAATCACTGAAGGTTGTTTATACATTTGCCATTTCACCAGAACCTTTCAAACTGCATGTCATTGTGATGGTTGCTTGCTTTCCCATAAAAGACCTTTTCTCTGAAGCACAACTAAACATACAGGTATACCTCTTGGCCACCTGCATTTAGTGAATACTGTGCTCAACTATGTATGGCACATCTTCGATTCTTTATTTTCTCAATACGCAATTCAATGTTGTTTCTGTAAGCTAGTTTCCCTACCTGTGGGCCCCAAATTAAGGTAGCAAAATGCTCAGCACACCCTTTTACTTACCCTTCAGTGAAAGCCTTGGGCTCTGTATAATTACTTCAGCATACTTGTGCATCCAACCCTGCTCTTCAAGTCTTGTACAGTAAAGTGGCAACACAAGCATTGTCTATGCGTAAGCCTTAGATCAATATTAGTACTATTAAGTTTAATAGAGTTGACCACAGACCTTGTTTCTGAGTATACATCCAGAAGAAAAATTAGATTGATATTCAGCTAGGTTATAATATCAAGCGTTATACTTATAGGAGTAAACTTATAGGACTATCAACATATGATAATTTTTACATAAGATAGTAACTGTATTTATCCAACGATGTTTATTAAAACCTCCTTATTTTATCAATGTAGTAAATGCACTGCGTTTTTTTTAACGTGGACACAGGCAAATCAGACAGTACTAGTGTTTTGGCAAGGGGAATAAATGAAACAATTTGAGCACACAGCAAATGAATGTATCGCAAGTCATTCAACGTAATACATATAATCTGTGAGCATACAATTGCATTTATGTCACCTAAAGTAATGGGTGGTTATAGCAGCTGACTAACAATAGATGGCTTCAGAAACCTGTAACTCCAGACCTCAAAATTGTTTCACAGCTATCCCTGCATACCATTACCGTTACCTAATGATTTTACAATGTTCTCTCTGACCCACAATTTGACCCCTATCCTCCCAACATCCTGTCCAAAAGTCGGGTAAGTCACTGGGCTGTACTTATCTTCCTTTGGCATTCGTGCTTTGAGATATCTTAAATGCAGTCTGCCAATGTTGTTACGGTTGTCCGTTGTGGCTGTTTCCTTTCTGTCAGTATTTCAATTCTATACATGTATAGTTATACACTATTTATTTAAGAAATTTCTAGGGAATGACATATACACTTTCCTGAACTTAATCTTAAATTCACAGGCTGTTTATATATTAACCATTGTTTGAGCTCCTTTCTTTATAATAATAATAATATAAGCAACATTCCTTAGGTTAAAATATCGATATTTGTGTGTTATACTTATAGAGACATCTCAAGCTATTCATTATCTTATGAAGCAGATGCATTTCACTGTTGTGGTTGTTATATTGCTGTCGACATTTTTATGTGTCCCTCTTATCACAGCTTATCTATTGAGAAAGATAAAGCACATGTGTTTCTTCATAGTGAGCATACTAAACATGTGTGAGCTACATGTACTTTGTTAAGCATTTCAGTGTGTTGAAAGACATTATCATCATCATTAGTCGTAGCTGATCAACCCACAACACAGTTGAAAGACAGACAGATTCGATCTTTCCTGTCAAAAGTACAGGTACTATAATATAGACAAATGCATTTGGTTTTATTTGGTTCAGCCTGTATATTGGAAAAACTGCAACTAGTAAACTTAAGAGTAACCATTTGATTATTATTGTGATCATAACATTGTTACAGAATAAAAAGGGAAAGTGTGTTATCCATATTCAATATAAAACAGATGTGTGAATGCGTCACATACTGTAAATGCATTTACTTTCAATATGGCTTTATTTCGTAGTTCGCTGTGTTTCATATTCAAGATTGAAACAATTTTGTAGTACAACAGAACTCCAAAACACATAGCTGTGAAATAATTCAATGGGTTAAGAGGACACTACGAAAATAGTGAAATCAAAACCATGAAAAAAATTTCACGATTTAGAGTGTACAAAATGTAATGTGTATGCATTACTAACTCTCCCATGGGACAGGATTGCATTGACCGGTGACCTTCAAAAATTATAGTAAATACAGTGTAAATATAGTGTATATGAATATCCTAATAAAACCTGAAATTCATACTTCATATCGTTTACTTTCTATAGTATGTTTACACTGTTACTATCCACTATATACCAATAAAATACATGATTTCATAATTTTCTACTATGAGTCATGATTTCCTGTAAACTGCTTTCATAAGCATTCCTAAGCTTGCACTGAAAATGTTGTGATGCACGTATATGTTTTTTTATTCTATTATTAGACGTGACATATTGGTCTGGTGCAGGTGTCAACATAATTTGTCACGCCTCGATAAATATTGCTTTAATACAAATCGCTTGGGATTGTTGTTTGAAGATTACGTTATAAACCAATTAGAATATCGGTACATAGAATAAATAACCAGTAGGCTGTTCGGCAAACAAGATGTGTGCGCAAAGAAAATACCGTCGTAAAAACATTCCTGTACATAAAAGCGGATGACCTCAAACAATTTATTGTGAAGGGAAAAAATAGGATCTGCAACGAAATACGCCATAGGTTCCGACGGAAAAGCCGGAAATTCGCCGCAAATTTCTCTGAGTATTTCCTCAAAGTATGTTCTAGAAATACTGAAGATCATTTCTAAGGAGTAAGCAGAGTAGCTGAGGAGAGAAAGTACAATTTGAAGGGGGTATTTCTTGTGAAAATTAGGTGTTGACAGGCAGATGACATGACACTCGAATCAATGGAGGGCCGTCTTGCAGGACAACTTTTTGACGGGCGCCGGCGGACATTTTAAGCTCGAAACGTCCCAATCAACCGCCTTACCTTAGTATAAAGCTCCGCTGTCGTCATGTTGTTGTCCTAGGCGCCGGCGGGCCACGGAAGAAGATGTAAAATCCACCAGAATCGGTGAAATCGGGGAGAAACTTGTCTGCACAGACGATATCGTCAAACCGGAGCCGCCATATTTGATTTGTGAGGTGGAGTACGCATGCGCACGGTCAGGTGAGTTCTGCTCGTTCATCCATGACGTAAACGGAAAAATATGTCTCAGTCATAAATTTGAAGATCTTATCAAAGTTGGCAAGCAATTTTCGTCAGAAATGTCCTACTTTTCAAAGGTTTTGATATTTTTGCAGCGCCTAAAGTGATGACATCATATGCGATCATGCTGCATATGTTACAAACTGCGGACACGCCCCTTTTAGTCAGACAATACTACAGCCCAGTTCGAAAGACAATCCTAGCTTTTTCTGTATTTTTCTAAAGATTTTACGTTTTTCTTTGATCAACAACCCTTAACTTACCTTACCATATACATTATATCAGAGTTTATATTGTGACTCTGTGTTTTTATTCAAATTTTCTCAGGAAAAATACTGTGCTAGCTACTAGTATTGACAAGAACGCCTGGCGCTCAGACCAGAGAGGTTGCATGCCTAAACTGCACAAACGTCATTCATATAGTAAAAAAAGTATTTAATAAAACAAGCCATCCGTAGCCAATATATGTTGGCATGTGTTCCAAAGATGTAGCATGCATGAATGTGTTGACCTTAACTTTTTTTATTATATTGGGTTAAACCCAAACTGATTTGCAATGAGTATTGGTGATGATAGGTGGTGCGGCTGCATGTAACATGTAACTTCTTGTATTCTAGCTTGAGCTTGCTTTAAAACAAACGGTACGATCTAGCTTCTAATAACAAACTACCTAAATAAATGAATGTGAAGCGGTGGGCTTTAGATAATGGCGGTAAGTCTCTAAACGTTTTCCTCTATGAATTATCTTGTTGTTTGAATAAAATCAAACGCAGTGACAACATATAAATTCACAATTACAAGTACACATATGTACAATGACAATTGATTACGTATTGAACTGATACACATGAAATCGCTTTGTGCATATGAATACGGTGATACTAAATCATTAGTGCAGTATAACTTTTGTTCACGAGGTTTTTTCCCTCTGTTAAGCAGGAAAACTGTGAAGTTTCCGTTTTTCTAGATCGCGACATCCTCGGTCTTCTGTCCCGGCTCTTGTCCCTGCTCGGTGTCCTTTGACCCGTACAGGTAGTCAGCCGCCAGGACCCAGAGTGTGGCGGGCCACGTCAGGCCCAACAGTGTGTACATGGACAGGGCAACCTCGGAGGCAAACAGAAGAAAATTACACATCAAAACATCGCAATTTTAACAGCTCCCAGCTAAGTCTACCTGGAATATAAAACAATCACAGAAATTTAGAATACTGCACCTCACGGACATGTAATCATGAGACTGATACTGACTGTCGAAAAGTAACAGCAACAGCTCTCGGTCTTCCTAGAACATAAAACAATCACAGAATACTGCACCTCACAGATAGGTATTATGAAACTCATACTGACTTGTTTTGAATTACAAATCGACGGGTAACACATTACAAAAATTACGGTTGAACTTCCCTTTTGCCTGATATATTTATACTGTGGAAAAAGTACCTTGCCTTCGTAATGTTCCAGTACATGTTATTTTTTTGTCTGTATAGTACAGTATTGATAAGTGAAGTCCTTGCGTTGGCAGCAAAATTACGTACTATTTCAGTCTTCTACTTACAACCTTGGATTTCGAGGTAATGAAACGTTAAGCTTTTGTTCGGCTCGTCTGTGATTGTCCGACGGTAATATTACCCCTACCGTGCATTGTGGGCTACACAAAAGTAAACAAACCTAGTACACCACAGAAGGTTAAAAACAACAGAGTAGAATAACGCTTCAACTTGTGACCAGAAGACTTCCTTGTGGACATATTCACAGTTGACAAATGTTGTTTGGCCTACAAGGAAGCGTCATGGCGTCGACATTTGCCAGTCTCTTAACGTTCCTTGTGACGTTTGTGTTCCTGTGCTCTGCCCAGTCGGTCTGTAGACCACCGTCAGACGAGAAATGTGTGTGTAGTCCGGTGGTTAATTTGAATCCAGTGGTAAATTGTGGGAACGAGAACGCACTTAAGGCAGAGTTGGAGCAGATGAAAATCGCCATGGACCAACTCTCACAGAAGATAGCCGATTGGCCCAAAGGTAAGACAATTTACTATTTAGAGGTTTCATAATATGTCTTAAACACATCCGTACTTTACCTGTACCTAGAAGTGCTTAAATCTTTCATGGGTATAACAACACCATTCATGAATACTGTTCTATCCACCTCAGGTAACGCTAACGACACAGAAGCTGACAAGCCTCAGGACTGTCAGGATATACTTGACAACGACGAGACCACGCCCAGCGGCGTGTACATGGTTTATCCACGGGACAACCTGGGCGGCTTTCTGGTCTTCTGTGATATGGACACGGACGGAGGCGGCTGGACAGTACGTCTGGTCATTCCACTTATGTGAGATTCAGCTGCATCTGTGCATATTATATTGTCTTACTGTGTCGAGATACTAGTATTCGTTTCTTGACTATCAGCGTGTTGACTTTGTTTTCTTGTCCTTGAAGTTGTTCCAGAAACGCCAAGACGGAACCGTGGACTTCTACCGGGGCTGGAGGGACTACAAGATCGGCTTCCCTTCCAACCTGAACGGCGAGTTCTGGCTGGGGAATGACAACTTGTACCGCCTGGCTGTGCAGAAAGTCTACCAGCTCAGGGTGGATATGGAGGATGTGGAGGGGAACACGGCGTTCGCCGCTTACGACTCGTTTGCCATCTCACCCGAATCACAGAACTACAAGCTCCACATCGGGGTTTATACTGGTACTGCAGGTGAGGCTGCTAAGTGCTGTCGTCTCGTTATGTTATAAAGGTGGACCCACACATTGCTACGAGTTTTCACTCTACTTGTCCTAACTTCTTACACAATTCTGCTTACGATTTATTCTTTAACTGTTTGTCCCTTTGAGTGCTTTTATCCCTTGGCAATCCCAGGCAATATATTCTGATGACCAATTGATTTGTGGAGTTTTTCTCAGTACGTTTTCGTATTTTATGCAGGAGAATCAGACAGCCTGGCGCATCACGATGGGCGCCCGTTCAGTACCAAGGACAGAGACAACGATGACAACCCAGGCAGCTGTGCGCAGACTTACGTATACAATGGTGCGTGGTGGTACGGTAGTTGCCACGACTCCAACCTGAACGGCCTGTACCGCCTGGGTCCCTATGAGAACGGATACAATTACAACGGCGTCGTCTGGGCGCACTGGAAGGGTAACAACTATTCTCTGAAGCGCACGGAGATGAAAATCCGACCTGCTCCATAACTTTAACATTTAAATGTGTGTGTGTGTGTGTGTGTGTGTGTGTGTGTGTGTGTGTGTGTGTGTGTGTGTGTTTGTGTGCGCGTGTGTGTGATACAATATTAGCTGGTTACGATGTCCTTACTTTTCCTACTGACGTGGTGTGATTATCTTATGTTTTACATTAGCATGACGGCTGGGCTTACATGTCGCTTGGTCATTTTAAGGTGGTGACAGATGCAAAATTATACAGATAAGCATTTCTGTATGTCAGAAAAACAAAACGGAGTAGCCAGAATACTTCATCACCTTCCCTCGCAACATCTGCTTGTATATTTACGGTCCCAACTTACGATGTAGACGTGGTGTGATTATGTTGTGTTTTACATTAGCTGGTCTTACATAAAATGAAAGATAAGTATCTCTTTGACATTTTAAGGTTGGGTAGGAGATTAAAATTATGCAAATAATCATCGTCTGCTTGTCAGAAATATAAAACGGAGTGGCCAGAATACTTGATTACCTTCTCCCTCGCAACATCTGCTTGTATATTTACGGTCCCAACTTACGATGTAGACGTTGCTGGTAGCAGATCCGGGCGGGCCTACCACCATAGTCATCCCGGCCACCAAGTCACCGAACCCGACGGTACTGAGTGTGACGAACGCGTAGTAGAACCCGTCTGAAATTGAGACGGTACATGGTACACTGTGATACTATATGATATGTACGTTACTTTGCACCCTCCTGAATTCAAAATTCAGACAAAGGGCTGCCATAGATTCTTACAATGTAGAAATTACATTACTTATAAAGATATAAACAATGATTTTTGTGAACCATTGTTCATTTCTCATTGCTGATATAAATACATAGTAAGTTAGGTTCTATTTTGTCTTGAAAACCTATGTTCTCTATAAATTATCTTGTTATTTGAATAAAATCGAACATTGAATACAATCGGAATATAGTTGAATATAGTCGAATTTAAATATTATTGAACTAAAAATCGATGTCCTCTATAAATATATTGTTACTTGAATAAAATTTAATGTTAGGAATTGACTAAATTTACATGTATATCATATAGATTCTTAATTAGAAGATCTCTGTTAGTTTTATCTGTGGAATATATAGGTACTTATACATCGGTACATGAAATCACTTGAGTTCACGAGTTTGTTGGTTTTTCCCCTCTCAGTGAGTAGAACGACTGTGAAGTTTCCGTCTTTCTACATCGCCACATCCTCGGTCTTCTGTTCCTTCTCTTGTCCCTGCTCGGTGCCCTTTGAACCGTACAGGTAGTCAGCCGCCAGGACCCAGAGTGTGGCGGGCCACGTCAGGCCCAACAGTGTGTACATGGACAGGGCAACCTCGGGGGGAAACAGAAGAAAATTACACATCAAAACATTTCAATTTTAACAGATCTCGGTCTACCTCAAACATCAATCTCAGAATACTGCACTTCACGGATAGACTCATACTGACTTGTTTTAGATTTCAAATTAAACAGAACAACAGAGTACAAAAATTACGATAAACTTAACACCATGACCTTCCTTTTGCCTGATGTATACAAGCTATGGAAGAAAACACGATTCCTTGCCTTCGTAATGTTCCAGTACATTTTTGTCGGTATAATGCAGTATTGATAAGCGAACTCCTTGAGTTATCAGCAAAATGACGTACTATTTTATCCTTCTACTTATAGCCTTGGATTTCAAAACGTTATGCTTTTGTTTGGCTCGTCTATATAAATATCTGTGATTGTACATGTCCAACTGTAACTTTACCCATACCGTGCCTTGTGAGCTGCGCGAAAAGTAAACAAACCTTACAGGTGACCCCTCAGAAGACCCAAAACATCGGTGTAGTATTACACTTCAACTTGTGACCAGAATACTTCCTTGTCGACATATTCACAGTTGACAGTGTTGTTTGGCCTACAAGGAAGCATTTTAACGCCATGGCGTCGCCTTTTCCCTGTCTCTTAACGTTCCTCGTGACGTTTGTGTTTCTGTGCTCTGCCCAGTCGGTCTGTAGACCACCGTCCGACGAGAAAATTGTGTTTAGCCCGGTGGTGAGTTGTCATTGTGGGAACGAGAACGCACTCAAAGCAGAGTTAGAGCAGGTGAAAATCGCCATGGACCAACTCTCACAGAAGATAGCCGATTGGCCTAAAGGTAAGACACCGTAGTAGTTTCATAATATGTCTTTAACACATCCACGGTTTACCTATTGTTAGAAGTTCTCGCATCTAAAGACTACTAGTATGTCATGACCGTGAGGATATTTATGTGCACTGTACTATCCACCTCAGGTAACGCTAACGACACAGAAGCTGCCAAGCCCCAGGACTGTCAGGACATCCTTGACAACGACGAGACCACGCCCAGCGGCGTGTACATGGTTTATCCACGGGACAACCTTGGCGGCTTTCTGGTCTTCTGTGATATGGACACGGACGGAGGCGGCTGGACAGTATGTCATGTCATTCCACTTATGTGAGATTCAGCTGCATCTGTGCATATTATATAGTCTTACTGTGTCGAGATACTAGTATTCGTTTCTTGACTATCAGCGTGTTGACTTTGTTTTCTTGCCCTTGAAGTTGTTCCAGAAACGCCAAGACGGAACCGTGGACTTCTACCGAGGCTGGGCGGACTACAAGATCGGCTTCCCTTCCAACCTGAACGGCGAGTTCTGGCTGGGGAATGACAACTTGTACCGCCTGGCTGTGCAGAAAGTCTACCAGCTCAGGGTGGATTTGGAGGATGTAGAGGGAAACACGGCGTATGCTGCTTACGACACGTTTGCCATCTCACCTGAATCACAGAACTACAAGCTCCACATAGGGACTTATAGTGGTACTGCAGGTAAGGCTGTTGAGTGCTGTCGTCTCGTTATGTTTCAAGGTAGACACACACATTGCTACGAGTTTTCACTCTACTTGTCCTACCTTCTATATGTACTCTCGAAAAGAAGCTTACACAACACTAATTTTTCTTTAACTGTTTGCCCAGATGGCCATAGAGTCCCTTTATCCTATTGGATGAAAATAACAGACCTCTAGCCAAGCAGTTTGACCGATTTATGTTTGGAGTTGTTCTTGGTATGTTTTTGTCCCTTTTTCCACAGGAGACAGCCTGGCGTATCATAATGGGCATCAATTCAGTACCAAGGACAGGGGCAACGATGAGCACCCAGGCGCCTGTGCGCCGTTTATCAGAGGAGCGTGGTGGTACGGCTATTGTTACAACTCCAACCTGAACGGCCTGTACCACCTGGGTCCCTATGAGGAGCGCTCAGGCAATCAAGCAAGCGGCGTCGTCTGGAAGCACTGGAAGGGTACCGGCTATTCCCTGAAGCGCACGGAGATGAAAATCCGACCTGCTCCATAAAGTCACATACATTGTATTTAAATGTGTGTGTGTGTGTGTGTGTGTGTGTGTGTGTGTGTGTTGTGTGTGTGTGTGTGTGTTGTGTGTGTGTGTGTGTGTGTGTGTGTGTGTGTGTTTTGTGTGTGTGTGTTTTGTGTGTGTTGTGTGTGTGTGTGTGTGCGTGTGGGTGTGTTTTGTGTGTTTTGTGTGTGTGTTTTGTGTGTGTGTGCTGTGCTGTGATGTGATTAGTGTGTGTGTTACATCAGAATGACAACTGGGCGTACATAAAAAATGAGAGATAAGTGTCTCTTGGTCATTTTAAGGTTGAGTGACGAGTGACAGATGACAGATGCAAAATTATGCAAACAAGCACTGTTTGTATGTCAGAGAAACAAAACGGAGTAGCCAGAATACTTGACCGCATTTTCTCAGCATCTGCTTGTATATTTACGGTCCCAACTTACGATGTAGACGTTGCTGGAAGCAGATTCGTTCAGGCCCAACACCATCGTCATCCCGGCCACCAAGTCACCGAACCCGACGGTACTGAGTGTGACGAACGCGTAGTAGAAACCGTCTGCAATGCATTGAGACGGTATATGATACACTACTACGTTGTACGTAAACGTTACTTTGCAACCTCCTACTTTGATGCTCTAGAAAGTTTAAATGCATAAATTATATTACCTGTAAAGAGATAAATAATCATTATTGTGAACCATCGTTTATTTCTCATGGCTAATATAAGCAAGGAGTTTTTAATCAACTTTTAAACCTCCTTGATATAATGTAAGATTTTATTTTTGTCACGAAAATCTGTAAGTAGACACATGCATGTATGTACTATGCATTTAAACATTCTACATCCTCGGAATTAAACGATTTGTGAGTTTTGGAAGCGTTTCGATTTATACAATCCGAGTTTTTGAGCTGTTTCTTGTTTGTTTGTTTTTTAATTCAGAAACACAGTGATGAATACAAATAAAAGGACATGGACTAAGTGACTGCGAACTCAAGTAAGGTACAACTAATTTTTCTCGCAGCCACTTTTACAATGGAAAAAAAGGCGTTTACAAGACATTTGAAAAGCTATGGATAGCATCAGTCAAACCTCCCATCCCAGTAGAGAAGGAAGGCATAACAGGGCACATACAACTAGAAGCGTTTTTTTTGTTTCTTGTTTCATACAATTCGAGTTTTGGAGCTATTTCTGGTTTTGCACAATCTCATATAAGGGGAGAACTCACCCATGAATGTCCAGTACTCCTCCAGCGCGGTGAAGATGGCACCAGGGATGAGCAGGAACACGACAACACCGGACAGAAGTGTCACCGTCACGATCATCGTGAAGCGCAGATGTCGATTTTTCACCCGTCCCAGGACTTTAGCCTCTGCTAAGCTGGGGAGTAAAAATTAAACACACCAAATTACACCATTGTGGTGTGTTTTAAACTGGCACCTTGTCAGCATGGAGGCAGAACGTCCTGCTCATTCGTAGCCTCCTGTGCAGGCCTCCGGGCGGGCTGGAGTTTTGATACTGCGTTTTGTAGAATTTTTAACCCGTTCTTTTGCCGGCCATCCTACAACCAGCCGCACAGAAAAGATTTGTACCCGCCACATTTTAAAAGTACAGACGGTTATACCTTTAATACACGAACACGGCCTTAAACGAAACATTCTATAGAAGTGATGTGCATATTACGTTCTGAATTTTAGGTGAATGTTAAAAGATACGGCATAAGTCGAAAGAACCTTGAACGTAGCGTTTATGAAGTTACATAAAACATGTGAGAAGTATTTAATTACCCAATAAGGTTAGCCAGCTTCCTTCCGATGTCTGCCAGAGTGATGACCAGTAACGGGATGGTGACAAGGGCGTAAAACAGCGTGAAGAACTGGAACAAAAAAAGTTTTTCTTTCTTATATGTTTATAAGTTTATAAGTTATAAGCCTGCAAAGTACCAGGTGGGGCATTGGTTTGGAAATCATTGTGACATCAAAAGAAATCAAACATACGTAGAGTGGCACTCCACTATGGTACATCATCACTTAAACAAATGTGCAAATATTGGGTGTAACAGATCGTTCCGTGTAATATAGCTAGCTGCCGCCGCGCCGCGTGCCTGTGAAACTGATGTGCTTTGCTGAAGGGCAGTTATACCGGCTATACAGATGCAGAAGCTGGTGTGTTACGCCGAAGGGCGGTTATACCGGCAATACTGATACAGAAGCTGGTGTGTTACGGGCGATTATACCGGCATACAGAAGCTGGTGTGTTACGCCGAAGCAAATTTCCGTCTCGTAAACGGTCGTCGCCTTTACGAACGGTCGTCGCCTTTTCTCAGAACGGTCGTCGCCTTTCCGCACGGTCGTCGCCTTTTCTCAGAGACGGAAATTTGCTACGCCGAAGGGCGGTTATACCGGCTCTAAAGATACAGATACCTACCTTCCCACCTGTCGTAACAGGATAGACGTATCCATACCCGGTAGTAGTCGTCACTGTGACGCAGAAATAGTACGACTCGAAGTACAGAACCGGGCGATCGTCATCTGAAGAAAACGGAAACAAAGAAAAAAGGATGTCAAAGGAAACCGACGTACCTTTCCGCCTGTTGTGGTGGGAGTGACGTGCCCATAGCCTACAGTGGTCGTTACCGTGACGCAGTAGTAATAACAGTCAAAGAAGGAACTTGAACGTGAGTACTCCAAATTGCCTTGATAAAACAAACAAACAAACAAACAAACAAAATTAGAGGAAAGCTGCAAAAACTACTTAAAATAGTATGAAACCAATCTGAGTGACGGGCTGAATAAAGGTTCTACATGGGAACTGTGCGGTTTTTAAATATTATGCTTGGAATGATTCCACTCTACTATTATACTAACAAAGACATGTGACGTTAAATATAGTAGCTGGAGATACAAGCCCGGTAACACAGAAATGAAGGTTGGGTCGTTCTATATAGCCTAGACTGTTCCAAGGGCCAATGCACAGACCCAAGTTAGACCCTGAGTTGCTCAGTGGTGAATGCGTAATACGGTATGGTAAAATTTCCATGCACGGGGACATGCTGGCCTTCCCTTGGAGCCTAAGAGCTAGGCTGAACAGTCCTTGCCAACAGCCTGACACCCTGGCTAGCACGTTCTACCCCTGTATACCTGCTAATCAGTATCACATATGGATGCCAGGGTTCAAGGCCAAGAAAGACCTCTGGGCTGAAAGCGATGCCGTGTTCAGCTTTAACAGATGGATGTCAGAGTTCAAGAGGAAGACCGAGAAAGACCTCTGTGCCTCTGGGCTGAAAGCGACCACCCATGTATCCCTCAGGACGTTCTGGCTTGCCACTAGTGACACTAGTACTGATGACAGTCGGCTGTTTTCATAAAACTTCCGCCAGCCCCAGAGGATACCAGTACCAGAGTTTAATAGGACGGATCAGTAGAGCTTGAGTTCAAACAACAGTATCAAAGTATTAAAACCAGCGAAACAATCGGACAAAAGAAACATGTATGCGTTCCCCAATCACGGGCAACCAAGGAGGTTAGAATGATTGAAGCTCCTTCTGGCAACTGAAACAAATTAGTTAGTGTCTGATTACCACTCTCTCGTTAGGATTCTTGGTCTTTTCGAAGTTTTTGAAGGGCCTTCATTTTTTCTTTACCACAGTGCCATTGTTGATTCCATTTTCAATCCCGTTGAATATAAGACGGTTCTCCAAAAATTCAGGCTCTTTTCATAAATACATAATATATATACTCGGGTGTGTCAGCTTCAACAACACAAGCAGCTGCAGGCTTGTAAACTACTTTCTGTTCTGAATAAAAGACAACAAACATCACCACGTTACCCTCGATGCTTTGGAAGATGGCAGCTCCCACGAAGAACGATAGAAAAAGGCTGGCGACGAGCAGGGCGAGCTTCAGATGGGTGTTCATCTTGGTTCCCTTCTGTCTCCCGTTCTCGGACAACAACAACTGCTGGGGTGCGGCTACAGCCTTCAAACTGGGCCATAGCCTCGAGTCAAGCCTTGTTAGGGTCGAGTCAGCTCCCCGAGATTCGCTACCCCGCGGACTAACGCTAACAAGGCTGGACTCCAGGCTAACTGGGCGTGGCTTGCTAGGTCCTTGGGGCCTGGACCTGGGTATTTTGTAGGGCCACAGCTGCAGACTTGGCAAGGGTTCAAACATAGACTCGGTACAGGCCACCAGGTCTGGTTTTCATCATGCACATGTCTATAGGTCCTGCTATTAAAAACAAACAAGGATGGAAGAATCATTTGCCAGGCTAGATTTTTTTCATAAGCATTAAATTTAAACATAGAGGCCAGCTCTGGGTCTGACATAGCGATGGAGAAGTTATTGACACCTGTTATCTTATGACACAAAAGACAAGTATGGAGTGAGACAGAAAATGTATTCTCACCATCCGTACTGACAGTGAGTATTAAAGATCATACAAATATTTAGGAATGTTATGTTATATCATGTTATGATATATACTAGTAGTTTATGATGTAACTTATTCTGATACTACACCAAGGTTTACGTTTACATACACATTTCATCAACTATTTAAAACTAGCACTGCCCAAAACAATACTTTCGTCCCTGAACTCAGGCATCCTTCCATCTCAAATATACTACTACTACTACTACTACAAATACTGATTTCAATGTAATGTTATATACCCTCATTATATATGGTGGGTATATGTATATGCTATATGATATACATATACCAGTTTTTGACATACATGTAGTTATCCAAGAATAAGTTACCAAGAAAGTGTTACAAATTACTAAGTATATGTTGAAAATACATGTACCCTGTATATTAAAAATCACAAAGAGCAAAAATATAAAAGTAATCTTACTAGCTTAAGGTTTATTTCAGTATTAAAAACAGCTATTTAAATCCAAACCTTTTCTAAGCAAATGCAAAATGTACAAAAACACACTTTTTATCAATGTAAATCAGTGCCAAAACTGCTTCAACTGCATTATAACTTACCAGCATATGTTAAACCATAACAACACTTGTCAAAGATCCCAAATACCAAACTGCATAAACTGTTTAATATCTACCCTAGACTGCATCTTGTCTTGAGAAAAACAAACGTGGCTACTCAAAGGTAACATAATAATAGTCTAGTCAATCTAGTGTTATGTTCTGGTAGCAAGGTAGACTTGCAAAGATTTATCAGACTTGGTTATACAATAATGACTATGTTATATGAAAGAGCATTCTTCTTTTGTACTTGGTACGGCCACACAGTGTTGTATATCATGCATTGTCTGAACATTTTTCTTCTGTCTTGAGTGAGTCCACTGTAGGTTTGTTTGAATTTTCAGACACTAGCCCCTCTTTCATAGTTGTTCGTACAAAATCTTTCTGTACCCTTTCCAGTTTATCTTTGTCTTCCTTTGTATATGGATTCCATACTGTTGTGGTATATTGCTAGCCTTTTAACAGGCTTTGAGAGGCTGCTGGAAAGAGTAAAAATTGGTCATAGAGAGATAAAATGCCAGGGGAGTTGGTCAGCTAGAAAGTAGTCTGCCAACCAAAAAATATACTCTCTAGCAGACCACCTCCCCCAACATGTTATCTGTCTATTTGGCCAATTTCTACTCTTTCCAGCCACCTCCCGAAGCCTGGTAGAGTCTAGCGGCCTGCAGTGAGTTGTAATGACCTTTCTCTTAATAATCTCAAGCCTGATTGGACAGAAGGGTGCCCCTCGGGACCGGTTCTGGTTCCGGCTCTTCTGCCTTCTGGACCTGCTGACCTTCTGGTCGGACCGGAGGCAGAACGTCGGCGATCAGGAACCAGAGCGTCGCCACCCACGTCATTCCAACCAGGATGTAACAACACTTGCACAGCTGGAACAAGTTTAGTGAGACATTAATTTGGTAATCTTCATGCAATATTCTCCAAGCTAAGGGAGCTTGCGAAGCACAAGACATAAGATGAAGAATAAGATCAAGGAAGACTGAATGCAGCTGTAGGATGCAGGTGCAAAACAAAGTTTAAAAAAGAGATTCTCCCACAATAGTTTTGTCCACAGGATGCACATGTTGATTTTTACAATAAAGAAAATTGTACAGATTCTTTTGAGACATTCTTCAGAAATTTTGTTTACTGTAGTTGAAATGATTGGCATACCGGTCTTTGAAAGTATTGTGTACTATGAATTTGAAACATTGGTCCATTAGATATCAGTAACTTCTGGTATGGCACTTTTTGTGTCCGGTAAAAATTTTTGGACTTGGCCATGACAGTTACATAAAAGAGGTATTCAAATGATATGGTGCAAGTACCTAAATAAATTTTAGGTGCACATATCTTTAGGCCACACTAATTTAATTTGTTGGTTCTCGGATTTTTTCAGAAAAAATATGAAGCGACAGGGCGAAAAAAAATAAAAATAAAATCAGGTCTAGGCATCCTATTATAGGCTTAAATGCTACAAAATGAGCCATGAAGTCAACACAAAAGGCTGGGTTAGTATTTAAACAATGAATTTTGAACTTTTAATCAAACCACTGCAATGATAGATGGGAAAACTGTATCAACTAGGAAGAAAAGGACTTTCCTCAACTGTTGGGGAGCAAAACATGAGCATTTTTCAGTTGATTCAGGACCAGAATCAAATTTTTTTTTTTTGCAAATCAGAAAAAAACGAAGAGGCGAATCCGAGAACCAACAAATTAAATTGGTGTGGCCTTAGGCGTAAAGTGTTCAGGTCCATTGCAGACCTGTGCCTATACAGGTACATGTGCGGGTATTTAGATACATAGTTCCAATGGACCACACAACTGTTTAACTCACAATGTAGAAGTTGAAGAGGGGCAGGTTGGGGTCAGCCTCCACACCAGCGTACCTCTGACCAGACACGAGGTCCCCGAACCCGATGGTGGTCACACTCACAAACGCATACCACGTCCCATCTGAAACCAACAGTTACAGTTACTGACGGGGGGCGCCATAGACTTTCTGCAACTTTTGATCCATTGCTCAACAAGTCATGTATACTATCTAGTATAATCACAGAAGTGGTGGATTGCTCACTCCTTACCAGAGACACCTACAAACGCATACCACACCCTATCTGAAATCAACAGCTCAAATTACAGACAGGGGGTGCCACACTCGGAATTTCTTTTTTTTTTCAATACATTTATTGCACAATTACATCTTTTGATCCACTGCTCAACGAGACATGTGTTCTATCTACAAAACGTGACATCAGAGAAATGGTGGATTGCTCATTCCTAACAGAGCCATATTGCATCCCATCTAAAATCAACAGATATAAGTTTTAGATGTGCACGCCATAGACCGATTCTGCAACTTTTCACCAAGTCAGGTTTTCCATTTTCACAAAGTCATGAAATCATAGATTCTGAAGCAGTGGATCTCTCATTCATTGACATATTCTGTCAAAAATTTGGGTAAGCCCCACTTTCTCATTGTGTTCCATAGGAGGTACATCTTTTATATAGTTTCACTACAATAATTGTAAACATAAAGATTGCAAATTAAACATTAGTGCCATCCCTGACAGAGACAGTAGATGAAGCTTACCAGCAAAGTTCCAGCCCTCCAACCTTGCGAAGATGGAGCCGGGGACCATCAGGATGAAGAACAGCCCAAAGAGTTCCACCAGCATCACGGTGACCGTCCGACGGCCGTACGGGCCCGGTACGCGGCGGAGAAAACGGTCCTCTCCTTCCCTGTTACATGCAACGTATGTTGATAACACAGTAGTCTGTATTAGATTTGTTATACTGCAATGATAAAATAATCCTTACACGGCTTGAAATACATGTACCATCTGCATAATGCATGTATACTTTTAGTGCAGGTAAAAATTGGAGCTGTGCTTATATTTCTGATACATGTACCTGCACCTACACTGGGCCATGTCCTGGATTTATATAAAATGCAGATGCACGTGGATTTTATTCGCTGCATTGGCTGTTACCACTTATGAAATATAACGTTATATGTATAAAGGAAATTGTAACCTTATAGTTTCTGAGCAGTTTTTAGTATGATCCATAATTCCTACAAACTGGGTGTTGCAGGTAAAATTTGTCTGGTGCAGGTTATTTTCAATGTTAGCTGCACCAGTGCAGGTATGCAGAAAAAAAGGATTTTGAGCCCTGCCTTAACTGCACTGAAGTAGCCATTTGGCTATCAATTCTCAAATAGTCCAAAATGAATCTACAAACATGCACGTACAAGACAAGGTTGCTGACTTTACTGCCGAAGTGTGCCAAGATGTAGATGACTAGCGGGATCCCAAAGTTTGCACTGATAGCCGTGAAGAACTGGAAAGGCATTCATATCATAAATCATCAAGTGTGGACCAAACAATGTAGTAAAAAAAAAACAAGATGAAAAAAAACAAGATGACAGATTGCTAAGGACTAACTCCATGCAGTAGTCAGTCAGATACAAGCAATAAACCATAATCTAGGCTCCTTCAATTTCTGGTATGGCCACACCGATTTAATTTTATGGATGACATCCGCGCGCGCATTGATTTTCGCCCGATCTCAAAAAAAAAAAAAAAAAAGAATCACGTATTCCGAGGCTCTGGCCTGGCTTTAGGCCTGGGTAGTGCATGGTGGTGATAACTCTGGTTGACGGCAGCCAGGCTACCGAAGCTCCAAGACTCAAGAACTGACAGTACATACGTACAGCAGTGTCGATTCATATATTCCGCAAAAATCCAGCATGTGTCGGCCTGTCGTATACGTCACTATGTAATGTGCCAAATTCACAATACCAGGTTTGTATTCCTGTGGTTTTGTAGCATTTTTATATTTGGCAGGATTTTTATTTTTTTCGCCCGCGCACTAGTTTGGGGGTCTTCAGAGGATGTCATCCATAAAATTAAATCGGTGTGGCCTATACTCTTTGGCTGATGCCACTCACTTTTTTTTGTTGTTTTTTTTAGAACTATCATGAAGAGGAATCAAGTGGAACTTGCTGCCACCAAGTACAGAAGGGGCATCATCACTAGATAGCTCTACCAAGAATGTCTTAATTCCTTTTCAATCGAGCAGCAATAAGAAAGAATTTGCAATCAACATAATCATGTTCATACATTGATGATACCTACAAGTACAAGTCAAACATCCAAACAATAGCTACAAGAGAATCCACCCCAGAGGCATTGCCAAAAAAAACCCACCTTGGCGAAACCGTTGACTGGTACTATGTGCCCATAGCCAATGGTTGTGATGACTGACATCATGTAGAAAAACGACTCAAAATATGACCTGGGCACGAGCGGGAAGGGCGCTGTGGCATTTCTGTTTTCTGTGGGAATAAATAAAGGATTTTAACTGTTTAGTTGAAGGGAATTCTATCTCTATGCCATGCATATGACATAAAATCAATTACACTTTCAACTAAGATAGCCTTTCAAATGATGCGTCATGTGGTTAGAGATTTAGACAGTATTTCATTAACTTGAATGTTGTACATGTATTTTGAAGAGGCACTATAACTATAAGCTGCATCTTGGTGTTAGAACATCTTGCAACTATTAACATTATGTTCAACAGGGCCTAGGATATACATTATTGATGCATTAGGCCATGTTGATTTGATTATATGGATGACATCCTCCGGGAACCTCAAAACTGATGCGCGCGTGCGAATAAAAAAAAAGTTTGCAAAAAAAAAAAAGGTGTTTTCATTATGAATTTTTTGAAGGTTGAACAAATGGGACAGAATATGGTTTGGCGAATAATTTAGTCTTCAAGTTCATTTCTTTACAATTTCATCGTTTGGCGTTTGATTTTGGCATTCATAGTTTTTATTTATTATTTTTTTGTAACTTACGGTATATTTTTGCTCATTTTGCAACTGTTTTGTACGATTTACAGTATGGTTGAAAACTCTTTTTTTTTTGGAAACGGCCGAAAATTCATGCGCGCGCGGATGTCATCCATATAATCAAATCAACATGGCCTTAAGAGTGTTCAGGGCTAATGACATTTCACCTTTGACCTCACAGTCTTGGCAACACCAAGGAGGTTTGGCAAGACTACGAATTAGATCGGGGTACAGAAAAAACATTCAACGTTTTCAATACAATACCTTTTGAGGCTTCTAAAGCTAACGTTAATGACTACTTTGAAAAGTCTATACGCTTTGGGTGCTGCATCGCTAGATCTAACAGGTGTCAGGAATAATCCATACGATTAACGCCCCTCCCCTATGTAACGTTATATGTACAGGACAGCCCCCATGCCTAGCCGTGGCGAATTTTACGAATCTGTATGTACAGACTGGCTTCGGAAGCCGTATTACACATACAAATCGTCAAATCGGCTTCCTGAGTCGCCACGGCTAGCCCTGGCGTAATGTAATGAACCCTGAAAAACACTGGACCGTCCCCTTTGGCACAGAGCAAACAGCATGAAAACTCTGTACACGTGAATTCGTCTGGACAAAGGGGCCTCTGTCCTCAGGTATATCAGTCTAATCGGTCAAAACGACTACTACAGAGAGACAAAATAAAAATATAGAATGGTACATTTAAGCTCTTTGGCTGAACTACTGTACAACTTTGATAAACAATGCAAGATAACGCAACGCTTTGGGCGTGTGGCCAACAAGCAAGTCTGTAGCTTGATAAGAATATAAGGTTACATACATGTATACCACACCCTGGTTGTGTCCTATATTAAACATTTCAACGATCCCTGTTCAACAAACGTGACTCACCTGCTGTGGAGTTTCTCAAATCTTCTGGCGAGAATGAGAAGTTACTGTTCTTCAGCCAGGAAGCGTCTGTCCACGGCTCCAGGGCGTGGAACATACCAGCACATATGAACAGGTACACAAACAACAGGACGACCAACAAGGCTAGTCTCACGTTGTGGTCCATAGTCTTAGCTCTCTGTGTTCCTGTCTTCAACGAAGACAAGCTTAGACGCTATATAAGATCACATAACCAACTCTTGTGTACTGCCGTCTTGGGGTGCCCGCCTTCTTGTGGCTCAAAGGCGCAGACTCAGTGAGACGCTTGTTTGTTTTTGACACAGTTGACCTCACGAAACGACCTATAGGGCGTTGATCCATAGTAAAGGAGCTAGTATTGTTGTTTAACTTTGAACACCAAATGGGAATAATTGATTGCAAGAAATTCTGGTGGTTTATTCGGCGTTTTAGCATCAAAAAGTGTAGGTCAACTCTACAAGAGCAGTTTTATCATGTTTATTATGTTGATACATTGTTGGAGCTCTGTGCAACTTATAGGTAATATTGCCACATGCTAACCTCGATTAAGGCTCGCCATACTAGTATAGCGACAAAGACCTTCAAATCTTCAACGCAAGTAAAAGTTGATGTCGTCTACTATAAACACTTTCTACAGAAGAAAACACGGAATACACACCGCCAACCATATACTTCCCCGTATGAAACACCACTACACATGGACACAACTGCTAAAACATAACCTATACAAAAAAATAAAAATATAACACCCGCAAACTTATCGTTAACCCCGATATCACGGATCAAAATCCTTGAGGCATATTGGACTAAATATTCTATAGGTTGAAACATAACCTAGCTCTTTCAGATCTAGCTACTATGTTATTTTAGTTATATTGACACACAGTTGGATAAATATTTCTTTTTAAGATAATGATAAATGATATAAAAGTATGGAAAAGTGGTTGATATTCTTTAAAGAGATGAAATGTTATTAATATTGCTAATTTCAATACTTAATCTGGGAGACACGTGAACTACGTGACGTTGGTATCTAAGCCTGTGCCGGTATCATCTCAGGTCTGTCCTGGTCCTCCGTGTTGACCAGCTCTCCGGCTTCCGGTTTGGATTCCGTATCCGGCATGACGTCAGCCAGTAGGATCCACATGGTGGCCACCCAGCTCAGGGCGACGATGTAATACCAAAACTTGCAGAACTGTTGGAGATTAAGTTAAAGACAAGTTAGCCATTTATTACATCAGGGCATACCGACCTTCACTCAATCGGGACGGGGGGCGGCACAGACTTCCGACGACCTTTGACCCAGTGCGACGTCAAACGCGGGTAAAAGTCACGGGTCTACAGCACTCAGGTCAAAAAGGCGATGAAGACCGAGTGATTCAATTTTCTTGAGTTGGAGAACAGTTTAATTCTCGTTATGTAATTTACCAACTCAGATGAATTTGCATGCTGGTTAATAATTTGGGCGGAAAATTTGGGTAACTGTAATTTTTTGTGTGTGTTGGAAATAATTTACAGTTCAAACCTGTTTCAGAATGACTTCTACTGACACAGATGAGACTTTCAAGCTAATTAAGTTTAACCACCACTACACTGAGACGGCGGGCGGTACCAACTTCCTGGCACTTTTTTGACCAATTGTCCGTAGGGTCCGTTATCTATGGAATTGCTCATGAGTAATACTCCAGACATTTTGTTGGTGCTATCCTAAAACTGCCAAGAAAAGAATTTACATTGTAAGACCGCTCAACTTCTGATTGTATCTATCTATTTTTCTCACCACGTAGATGCCGAAAGCCGCGTCAAACGCGAAGAAGGACTCGGAGTACCCGCCGTACAGGTCTCCGAACCCGATGGTGGTCACGCTCACGAACAGGTACCAGGTAGCATCTGAAAATAAACACCAGATATTAGATATTAACAATTTATCTGATAGTTCTACTGTATTACTGAAAGGACCACCTCTACTGTCGTCTACTAGTTTCATGCGGTTTACGTTCTATGAATGTAAGTACTGTGTTATTAACTTTTGTGATCAATATACAGTATGTGATTTTAATTTAAGAATCCAGGAAGAATAGATTAGATTTCCATGTTTAATTAATTACTGGACTTCCAATAAAACATCAAGCATTCGTTTTGGGGGTCGTGTGGTGTAACGACAGAGTGCTCGGCTCGGAACCAAGAGGTCCCGAGTTCGACTTCTGCCATGCATGCCACCGATCTGTTGCCCTTGGAAAAGGCACTTTACAAGAATTTTCTCACTTTACTCAGGTGAAAATGACATGTCTGCTCATGCGTGTGTCTGCGTTGGTGGCGGTATAAGATAGTTGAAAAACTTGAGTGAGCCGTTGCCATGTCGTAACAAATGTTGGAATGAAAAAAAAAACGTACCTCCGTATGACCATCCCTCCACTTTGCTGACGATAGCTGCCGGGATGAGGATGAAGAAGAAAAGTCCGAACAGTTCCACCAGCAGCAGCGTCAGCGTCCGGCGGCCGTACGGGCCGGGAACCCGGCTGAACAACCGCGCCTCACCCGCTCTACAAACACAGACGAACCTTAAATATAACTCAGAACAGCAAACTGTAATGCTATATATATTATATAATGTCCAAGCAGATCATACGGTGGCAAGGCAGTATCTTCGTGCTTGGAGATTACAAATATGTTTAAATGGCTATCACCCCCAGTGTTCAGAGTTCGCACACGCACTGCCATGAAACAGCTCCTCAGTTTCGACCCTTACATGCTGGACACTCCAAAGGCAAACCTGGAAACATTCAAAGGGAGTTTGCAATATCAAGGGCCACTAGTGTGGAACAGACTAGCTGTTGACAAACGGCAAATAACAACAACGTCTGTGTTCAAAACCAGACTGTGAAGGGACCGGTTTACTGAATGTGACTGTAACTGTAGCAGTGCACACTGTGATTTATATGTAATTGATTGTGATGTAATGTAACGTCATTGTGATTTTTTTTCTCTGTGATATACTGTATTTGTACCTTGGCTTGAGTTCCCAGGAATAACTGAAAAGCAGATCGGTAGATCTGAGTTATATCCTGGTTAAATAAATAAACTTGAAAACTTGAAACTTGAAACTTTAGCGGACCAACTCCTCTGCCATGTATCTGTCTATTGGGCCAACTTCTACTCATATTTTATATTGCCCCTTTTATAGCTGGTTATTAATCTCATATATTCAGTTCAGAGAAGTATTTTATTCACTTTTTGAAGATTTTGTGCTAATACTGAGAGAATGATAGCCAAAGCTCCTTCTTTTAATCTCTTCGCGTTTTTACTTACTTGCTTTGCGTACTTACTCGACAAGGTTGGCGAATTTCCTGCCGATGATCGCCAGGATGTAGAAAAACGCCGGGATTCCAAAGTTCGCGAAGACGGCCGTGAAAAACTGCAGAGGAATCAAGTCCAATGTTCAATAGCAATATGGTAAATACGTAGAGATTGCATAGCCTCCTTTTATGACTCTGGCAGATTTTTTTCTTCGCACAATTTCCTAACTGCCCCGCCGCAAAAATGCGTATGTTTTCCGATTTTCATACCATACGCTTTGAATATACACTGTACAGTAGAGTCACCTTTTTATGTTACAAAATGACTTTGACCCAATGTCGACGTCACACTTCAGAGAAGTCACGTGACAAAGAAGTCACGTGACAAGTCTCAATGGGTCAGTCTATACTGAGGAAGACCAGAGTGACTGGCCGAAAGCTCTATAGGTGAGAACATTTTCCTTCTGTGTTTGGGAACAAAAGTTTTACCATTAAACATTAAGTACCAACACGGATAAAAATCGGTCAGCTTCTACAATACACAACCGATCAATGCAGCTACACAAACCCATGCATATACGATTTCTCGTTAACCTTTGCGAACCCCGTTACAGGGTAGATGTGCCCGTAGCCTATAGTAGTGATGACTGTGGCACAGAAGTAGAACGCCTCCATGTAGGATCTCGGCTCGAAATCATGCAGCGTGTGGTTGTACCAGCTGTGCATGTCTGGTACTGCGGGGGTGACGTTGGTGATGTTCCAAATTCCCAAATCTGCGATGGACAGAAATTAGGTTTTCGTCATCAACAAGGACATAATTCTGTTAACATACGTTCGTCTACAATTTTGGCAAGTTGTGGTAAAGATCAGATTGAGGCTCTACAGTCCCTGGGAAGATTAAAAGCAATTTTAGGAAATATGTCTGATATTGATACTTATTGCCAGTTCTCCAAGCCCATTTTCATCATCATTTCATATTTCAAGCGTTTGAAATGGTCCCCAAACAATCTACACGAGGATTGTTAGCCACCCAAAATATCTAGGACCAGCATACGATGAAACAAGCAGAATATTTCTGGTTTTGCCACCCTGAAATCACTTTGAGTGCCTCTATATGATTGACTTGATTTCCCTCAGGCGTTACGTTTGACCTGTTACCCTTTCCCCGTTCTTGGCAACATCAACAACGATATTTCTAGAGGCCTTAAAGACCGTGCCAAGTAGTCTGCCAAGTTTAAAGTCTGTGATCATTTATCGAGATCTGCATTTGACAGAACTTCAGGGGACGTGGTTTGTTTATAGATTAGGCCTCACAACTCTTGATCCAGGCCTTTGATTTTAGTATCCCTACTCCAACAGTCACGTCTAAATATCCTATACAACCTTCTACATGTATTAGGGGAGCATCTGACCCACGTGTCTGACCTCAGATCAGGAGGAAGCATTTTTGCCAGGGGGTTAGATTTGTCTAGCCTCTACCAGGCTCCGCGGAACGCTGGAAAAATAGTAGAAATTGGCCGAAATAAAGGGATAGTATACCAGAGAAGATCCAGGGCCATAGAAGCGACCAATTTGCGACCCACGGAGCTTCTATGGCCCTGGATCTTCTCTGGTATACTATCCCTTTATTTCGGCCAATTTCTACTATTTTTCCAGCGATCCACGGAGCCTGGTAGAGGCTAAGATTTGTCAGTGGACGCCCGTCGAGTGAATCTATTCAACAGGTGGGCTTTGTATTGAATGTAGTTGACGAATTATTTGGGCTAATACCAGCCCCACAACACCACACACTGGATAACGTTTGACCTAGTGTGCTATGGGTCTGGCATCCAGGCTAACGAATGTGTAGATATTTTCCTTACCTTTAACTGTGACTGTAATGTTTCCTTCGTAGTCGCCCCAGAACCAGCCCGGCTCCAGTGCGTGGAACAACCCGGCCCCGATAAACATGTAAGTAAACAGCCCGGCAAACAGGAGCATCAACCGCAAGTACTCGTTCATACTGTAGCTGTAGTCAGACCACGCCTCACGCAAAACTACCAAACACTCAAAGCTGTCAGGCACACAAAACTGTTTCCTTCGTGATCGGTAAGGTTTGGGGCGTGATTCCTAAGTCAGGTGCCACATGTATGCAGCCGACGCGAAACTAGTCAAACCAGTTTTCAACCCAAGTAAATGACATCTGACTGGCTGTCTAGAAACGTAAGTGGAGAGAAGAGGCCAAAGATCTTTTCTCAGAAAGTCTTCTGAGAAAACAGGGCTTCTGGAAAGCACTCTTGGCACAGTGAACTGTCACACTGCAGGCTAGAAGTAAGAAAAGGGGATTGTCAGAGAGTAGTTTACTGACCCGGAAGTTTGATACCGACCCAACCCACCACCGGAGTTCATCCACAAAGAGGTTATAACCTCCTTAGTTCATCTAAACAAAGACGGAACATACCATTATCAAAGGTTTCCAAAGTGCATGCAGATTATTATAAAACGTAGGGTAGGGAATTGTTCTAATCCAGTATGGATTAAAAAGTAAGAAAAGATCGACAGAAAGAACTATTGAAATGGACGTGACAAATAATGTTCACGAATCAATAATTTCGATATTATGTCCTCCCCTATTGACGTAATGGAATGCGCCATTGACATTTTAAGGTGACTGACTGTAGGTACTAGTATATATTTATGTACGAGGTAGATCTAAGAACATCAATGAATGAAAAATACACGTAAAAAAATTAATTGGCGAAGTTGCCTTCAAAATACACGGAGTACGGTAAGGCGAATAGTAGATAATTCATTTTTATCACATTTTCTCCGTTTCCTTTGGAATTTATTTGAAGAAAGCAACGTTAAGATGTTGCCAGAAAAAAACTGTACAACAAAAAGTCTACATGTTCAAGAAACTCTATTATTGAGATGTAGTGTAAACCTTGACAATTTTTCCTTCCCATGCCACACTAACAGAATTTTAGCTATGACATCCATACACTAGTATGCTATGATTTGGGCCAGGTCTGAAAAAATATACTTGAAAGACGAACTTGTACTTGTTCTTGTTATAGTCTTTTATAGATATTATCTATAAAATGCAATCTGCAAAGTAAAATGACACAGTCATCTTTGTATGTGCACAATTCTTCCATTTCTTCTCATCATTTGTTCACTGTACAAAGTGTATACACAGTATAGCAGTAGATGGCATAGCAATGTGCCTTACAACACTTTTCATACACAGAATAGCAATTGTTAGTCACTGTCTCTTTACAAGGTAGCTTCAGTACTTTTACAGCAGCTACGCACAATAACAGTCTTTCCTATTGGACATCATTCAAGCATACCTGCCTACCTAGCCAATCAACTTCAAGAATACACTTGAACTGCTGTTTTCTTCCTGCCATTCTTCAGAGAAACCTTCGCAAATGTACAAGCAGGAAGATAATGATTATTTTAATCTCATTGACTTCTTTATTTCTCACACAGCCAGTAAAACTTGACAATCTGTACATTTTCATGATGTTTTCAAGTTTGCAGTTTTCTACAGCAAAATCATCACACCAAGGATACAGATTATGTCAGTATTGCATACTAAGTGTCCACCAAGAACTTAAAACATTGGCAAACACCTCTTTCTCTGCTCCTCCTGCCAAATTAAGTGTGTAACTTATATGAATTTGAAGTATATTGTACATGTGTATCTTGTTTTTCCCTATATATCAAGCTGCAGGAAGGTACTGTTTTTGGTTGTGTTTTTGTGTTTGCTGCTATAGATCGCAGGTTTGACAGATTTCTTTGACTTTTGGTACATGACTAGTTATTAGGGTGCAGATAATGTGGTTTGTTGTTCCTCTTCTTTGTACCTGTATTTTCTAGTTTTGGAATAAAATAATTCCATCCTCTGTACAGTATTGTCTATCAACCAGGCTTTACCACACTTCTTTCACCCATCTTTCAAGTTATGTGGCATTGCTGGTAACATTCATGTTAATGCGATGTCTGAAATTTTCAGCGGTTGTTGTGAACATTTATACACTTCCCGGAGGTTTGAAATCTCAGATTTGTTTCTGATTTTTTTTTCTTCTCATTTATGGTTGACCTTTGAAGTGAAGAACATGACAACAGTTTCCCTGTGACTACTGTTTCTACTAGGGGTGGGTACCAGTTCAGCCGGACCGGTTTAAACTGGAACGACATTCAGGAACCGAGTCCAAAAAAACGAAACGCGAAAACTGGATCATCGGACCTGATGTACATTTATGTACATTGTACACACATCTTACCATGGCAGGTAAAGAAAATAACCCTGAATCAAACTAGATTGGCCTAAATCCATGTTTGTCTCTTTCTGTAACTGTGTTCAGCTTCAATATACATGGTACAGCTTGAACATAATATATAACACACTAGTGAGTGACCTGTACTTGTGTTTCGCACTCCAAAATATGATATAGTACTACTGTACAATAATCAGGTCCAGGTTTAGGTCCGGACATCTGGACCTGATCCGGACCTGAATTGTCTACACGGGTACCCACCCCTAGGTTCTACAGTTATCACAAAGTCTCGTCCTCCGTAGCCTCCAGTACAGACTGGCTGTGTGCGAGGTTCCAGTAGTGTTCCACGCCGTGCTTCCTGAAATGTTCCCGCGCCAGGCTCTCTGTCGGACACACCTTGAACTGGATCTGACCGAAGTTGTGATTCTTCACTGTGCCCTAGGACAACAACAAGTTGTTTCTAACACAGTGATTGACTTGCTAGTAAAAGACAGAGCAGCCTTATTCATGTGCATATAACAAGGAGGCACAACTTATAAAGACTGGAGTTAAACTAGCTGAAGTTATTATATATGTAGTAGTATTGTTGTTTGTGTCGTATCTGTAACAAGGAACATCCAACAAGTGCAATCCAGGATGACAAGGGGTAAGCACTCCCTTCAATGTACATCCAAAATAAACATTACTAATTGTATGTACAAAATAGTGTACTGGGGAATCAGGCAATGCTCCTTAGCAACTCTGTGATGAAAAAGATGTAATTTTTGTAATTTCAGATGTAATTTCAGAATTACAATCTACATGTAGTAGTAGACTCTGTAGAGAAAGTCTGGCATCTTTATTCTTACCTCCCACACCAGAGAACACTTGTTCCTCTTCTTGGACTCTTCCTCATCTGACTCATCATCATCTACAGAACAGCAATAAATACAATGTTTTAGAATTACGTTTTGAGTTTGTTCATTCTAACTGAAGCTAGGTACTCATTTTCACCCAAGTTGAGCAAGGAAATAGGTGTAACATGGCTTTCCAAAGGGCATAACACTGGGGTCTGCCAGAGGTTCGAACCCAAAACCTGCAGATTTTGAGTCGACCATCCCAAACACAAGACCACAATGTTTAGAACAGGAGTTTAGAAACATACCGTCGTCTCTAGACGGCTGGTCGTCGTCCCACTTTATTCTGTGCATCATTAGGCGACGGAACTTCTTCTGTGCCTTGGGACCTGACAGTGGGGAATGAACAAATCTTTCAATACATACAAAACTCGCTGCAACCAAGTACTGTAGGGCATCCTCACTAGTCTAGATAACTTTAAAATTGCAGCTAGAAGATGTGAATGTCACATGTCTGTAACCATAAATCTTGTGAGTTTACGTTCAGAAGTGATTGGTCATTAATTAATTGGATGAAGGCGACAGTGGTCGTTGAATATTTGATCTCTGTGTACATACTTTGTGTTGGAAGGAAGTTCAACATTTTACTAAAATCTGACAATTGTTCAAGCGATATTATGTAAGATTTTCACAATTTCAAACGTGTGTTTTAAACTTTTTTCTTCCGCTATAAGCCTACCTGGGTTCATAATGGCATTTGGGGAGTAAAAGATCAACGTCGTTGTGCTGCAAAATCATGTTGGAAAACTCCTCGGCGCTAGCTTGGATCGTGGCCATGTTGTTTGTTTACATTCTTTTTAGGAGCCTCCTAAAAATACAGCGGGCCTGGCGCAACTTATTCTCGCGCTGCGCTGAATTGCCAAAAAAGTGAAATGTCAACTCTAATATGTTGATTGAAAATTTATTGAAAATAACAATCTAGATTAGAAAATTTCAATTATTTACACTTTGGGCGCAAAAATCTTACATAATATCGCTTTAAATAATAATAATAGAAAGGTGGCGTACCCCCTTCTACCACCACCACGTTCACATCCTGGTACATGACCACCATTCCAGTCATGTACAGCTGGTTTGCGTTGGCTTCAACCTTGTACTTCTTCGCTGGATTCCTCAAGTCTCGTACTCTGGAAACAAACATGAAACGGTCTCAACATTATTCCGTTGTAAGATACACAGTGTAGTTCTGGTTTCAATATTCCCATTTGAATGCTATTCAACATCATCTCATACTACTAGTATTCTTGTAGAGACTCTTTTTTTTTTACAAAACTATGTCTTGTTTATGACAAAAAGGGCTAAATGTTCAGACCAACACTGAGTAAATTGGGACTTACCCAAATTTTCTGCTGACAATGGACCCATCTACTGCAGCTTCTGGGAAAATTTGGGTAAGTCCCAATTTACTCAGTGTTTGTCTGAAGGTTTAGCCCTTTTTGTCATAATGAAGTATACCAACACAGATGAACTTTCATGCTAAAACTACGTCTTTTATTCAGCCCACAATTTGGTGACCGTCTGTCACCTTCCTTAGGGCAATGGTTGTGGTTGTGTAAAAAGTCTCTTCATCCAGTGACTTACAAACCTGATGAAACTATTCATGGATACTAGTATAATGTATTCTTATGTGCTCAAGATTGGCAGAGAAGGGGTCCAGTCTGCTTTAAAGCAAGGACATTAGATGGGCCCAGGCTTAAAGAAAAAGGAGAAGTAACTAACACCTTAACTTTGGTAACAATATGACACATACCTGTAAACAGAGACATGAACACCTTGTGACGTGTCTTCTTTTAGCCTCTTGATTTTCTTCTCTTTCCTCTGTTCGGTGGTCAGCTTTCTGGCTGCGTTGGCTTCCTCGTGAGCTCTGGGTACAACACAGGTACATCATAGCACACTTACATTGCATGTACATGTGGCCATAATGTATTATCTGTGTGAGGTACTGTTAATTCATTTATGTTTGCTAGGATTTAATTTCATGGTAGAAGATGAAAGGAGGCATTCACTGTGTTTTTATGTTGGATTTTTATGTAAGGCTAAACTGTCTTTGGAAGACCTCAAATCAACTTACAGTGTATTTATACATGAGCCCCTACTGCTATAGCCTGTTACTGCAAAACATTGGAGCTTCCATATAATTTCGGAAGATACAGCATAGTTTTTCGATAAGTAATTAGACAATGAATGAGAACTGCTATTGTTTGAAATGTTGGAGTGTACCTACTTCTGTCTCTTGGCCATCTGTGCCCGTACATGAGCCTCCACCTTGGTGGGGTCCTGAACTGCCTCACTGCCAAGTACTCTCATCAGGTTCGAGATTTTAACTGGAAAAAAAAACACAAGTTCTTAATACATGTAAGTTTCCCTTCTCATGTTGCATGTTTTCACTGGCAACATAGATAAAATCCTAGAGATACTGGAAGTATGGAAGTAGCTATGACTTGACAAAGTAGTCAATTTAACATTGAGCTATACAAGGTTGATCAGCTTGTCTCTTGCAGGGGTCCACCCACCAAAAAAGTCTAGGGTTGGCAGGTTTTTCTAGGGTCGGTCGGGAAACAGGAAACACAACTTTTTTTTCCCTAGCCCTAAGCAGATGTACCTTTAGGTTCCGGAGGTGCTTCCAGCCCCAGACGGACTTTCTCCTGCATTTCCTTCTGGACCTCCCGTCGGTTCTGTCTGCGGATTTTCTTCCGTTCCTTCTTGGTGAGGTACACAGGCAGGACGCGGGTCTTGGTGGGGTCGCTGGGCGGTCTCATCTCGATGGGATGTTCCACCAGGTGGGTCACCCCCACAAACTGGTCCTCTTTCCTCCCCTTCTCATCCACCCCTGCAAAACAAATGGTATAGTCTCAGAACCAACAATGAAGAGTACATGTATGCAGGGATCTAGCCTGGTATTCATTTTAGCAGCTTGGAAATGGTTAGGCAGCAAAACAGGCAATCAAGGGATTGTGTAGATGTGTGTAGCTTTAAATGTAATTAGAAGCTCATATCAACATTTTTCCCATTTGATCTAACATACTGTTTTTGCTCTGTTTCTTCTTTCTCTTCTTCTTCTCCAAACAAATAAGGTCAATGACCTGAACCAGATGTCTGAGACCATGGTAACTAGTGTTGGGTTACATCATGTTGCAATTTTATAGCAGGAGGGATTTAGACTCCTGCCACCATATATGAATGTGTTTGAGTAATAATTAACGGAGCAGACCATGTGCGAAGGTTAACATCATGCACTTGTTTTGCAAATGTTACCTTTCTAGTTACTATTCATTCCTGTTGTTTTTTATGGTACTATAAACCCAGGATCGGGTGTTGTTACCCGTACCTGTGTCTATGTTATCGTACGACTCAGCGTGGAGGATGACAGAATCCCACCACTCCACATCAGGAACCTCCAGCTGTTCTGTGTCGTCCTTCTTCGGCGTGATGAGGGCGAGTTTGGCCGCAGACTGGATTCCCGTCTTCTTGGCAGCCTGCGCGATCTCAGCCTGCAACTTTTCTAGCTGGGACTGCAGTTAAACAGGACAATTTATCATTAAAATTACACAAATGATAACCAGAACTTGAATATCAGATATGCAAGACAACATCCAAAACATCATTGTTTTACACTTATATTTTTGAAGCTTTAAATAAGTTACAAAATAGCCAGAAAGAACTTCATTTTGATTTTGATCACTTGTTTTTACACTTATTACCTCTCCGTTTTGTAAAGTTGTAACTTATATAAATAAATTGTTTTCATAAACAAGCGTAGATATTCCCCTAAGCAGAAGCAACTGGCCTCAAGGAAGACTTTTTTTATCATCAGCAAGACTATCTGTAAATATCCTTATCTCTCTTCATCAATGAATACACCAATGTCATAGCTTGACAAGGTGGTCTTTTGGTTAAGATTGCTGACTTGAAGGTTTTCTGTTTTAACACTTAGCAGGCTAAAACATTGCGAAGACAAACAAAATTTCCTACAAACCTTTGCTCGCACTCTTTGTGCGATGGCCTCAAACTTGCCGGGGTCGTGGAACTTGAAAGGTCTCCTCTGTCTGGCAGCAGGCTTCAGGGCGACGCGGTCGTCGAAGAAGGGACTAGACTCGTCCAGTTCTGCTGCCTTGTCCTGAACCAGCTTAAACTCCTCACGTCTCTTGGCACGGATGTTGGCCTAGGAGGGAAACAAACCAGCATAGCATACATGATATTCTTGTAAAGACTGGTATAATAGCAATCTCTCTGCTTAGAATATAGCACTAACAGTGGACTAGCCCTGTGTTGTAAGGGAATTCTGAGTATGGGACTAACATTAGCATTACTAGTGGACTAGCTGGCTACTGTAGTCACCTGTGTGGCCAATAGAAACGGAGATGGGCACTACCGCTATACACCGAAGAGTGTTTCTCTCCAATAGCAGTTTGTGCCATACTGTGTTCTTGCATAGTGCATTAGGTACAGGATCTGTACCTCAACAAGTTTGGCCCACCACTTGTAAGTTAATATACAACATTTAGGATTTAAGGATTTGAAAAGTTTACCTTCAGTGTGGGGGTCCGTTGCACCAACTGCACCTCCCGACCCGAAGCATCGACAATCCGACCCTCCACAAGCTGTACTTTGTCTGGTTTGTCTGCGATCGCCAACCCTCCTTGTTTCCTAACAGCATAGAATCACACAACAGACAATTGTATTAGGACATGTGACAGTGGCATGACATTTGCTTGTCCTAGAAAGTCAGGTTAGTTATTCTGAAGACCAGGGTTAATTTCTAGAAAAAAAATTTCAGGACCGTGTTCCTATGATTACAATATATGAGAATTAACCGGATTTTGTAACATTTCACCATTGAAGACCTCAGATTACTTGAATTATTCAGGTCTGGACCTATAACTAAACCTCTGACAAAAGCAGGCATTCAAACTCTCTACCCTACCACTTAATCCAGAGTCTCTGAACACAGAACCAAGCATGCCATACTGTTGAATAGCGTGCTTGGTTCTGTATACCTGCGCACTTTTCGTTGAATGTTTGATCACCGTTGCATCAGAATTTTGCCAGTTACAGACGATATCTTTTCCAACACAACATTTGGAAACTACAGGCGAGATGTTGACCTCACATGCGAGAATACAACTTTATATGAAACTTTCTGCCTAAGTGCTAAACATAAAACATTACACTTTTACAGGTTTCGCGCAGGTGCAGTACGTTCTGCCGATGTGCTATTGAAAGATAACTATGACTCACATAGTTCCCAGTAGTCCAGGCTTGTTGGCCAGCTGTGCCTGGATCTTGGCCTGCAGCTCAGCGGCGCGCTTGGCTTTCTCAATGGCGTCGTTCATGTAGTTAGTGGCGGTCGGCGCGTTGAGCAGCAGGTTGGACGACACATTGGGTACGCTGCCCGATGTCGTGTTGGTAGAACCAGAAGTACCCGAGCCCACACCCTGGGACAGAGACACAGAAATGTTACAGATCCTTGTTTGAAGTTAAAACTTTAGACCCAACACAAAGATCTGTCACCTAAAGCTTTCGATCAGTCATGAGTGTTGGTAGTTAAATTGTTTAGAGTTAAAACTTTAGATCCAACACAAAAATTCTTCTTAGAATGTATTGGAAAATTTGCAATTCATTCAGAGGATCTAATGTATTGAAATCAGTTGGACAATCAGACAGAAAAGTGAACGGCAATAGGCACTTATCATTATACAGGGCTAATAGTACACAGAACTTGAAATACCCAGTGACAACCTATTTGTAGAAAACTTCCTTCCAGAAAGGAATACAGACATCTGAAATTTTCCCCCTGCAATTATAGCTTTTCCTGCAAATTGTAGTTAGGGTTTTCTTGCCAAGAAAAAAAAATATTTGTACAGAAATTCAGCGTGGCATAGCTTGAAACCAGCCCGTGCCTCATGCCTACATTCCTGTTAGTTTTTGTCGCACATTGCAGATGATCCTGTAGCCACCATGCAGACAGAGGATCAGACATAATGTGCAGGCTTCCACCCCCGTCTAGACATAGTTCAGTCCCAGCACCCATGCTTAAACAAAGACGGTTGATACTACTTCATAAAATATGGGGTATCATGCTTTGAATGGATACCAAGCTGTAATGTACATTGCAGTACAAGCAGATCTTTCTTGATGCAACCAATTTGCAACTTCCAATACAATTCAGGCCTGTGTGCACAACATGGCAATGCCAAATGAACAATTATTTTGTAGTCATAATATACACAAAGCAGAATTGCTCCACCACACAATTTAGAAGGCCATATTAAATTTCAAATCATGCAAGCTAATCATGAAGTCAAGTTTATGTCATTTTGTCTAGACGTATCGAGTTTTCAGAGCTTTTCATGACAAGTTTAACAAGGTTATGGATCGGAGACAGTTGTATCCTTTCAAATTACAGTAATTTGTACTCATTATTGTTTGAAGCAATGCATAGTTTCTTGAATAACATATGTTTACCATATAGCTTTAACTGTTTCCTACAGTACTGTACTTACCATGAGTTTCATTTGCTTCTTCCTTTCTTCAATCTGTTTGGTGGCATTCTCCATCATTTGCTGAATCTGAAAGGTAAAAAAAAATGTTAAACATCTACTGATCCAAGCACAACATCTGTTACACTTAAACAGAGATATGGAAACGGATGTCCCAATATTAAATGAAACAAATTTGAGTCTGCCCTTCAGATAAGTTGAGTTTCTGCCCCTCACCTGTTGTTTAGTGAGCATGCCCGGACTTTCTGCAGAGGCGGCAGGTATCACATCATCATCATCAAACGCTGGCGGCTTCTTCGCCTTCTTGGAGGCCGCCACGTCGTCTGTGTCCTCGTCTGCAAACACCTCCTGTGATAACGATAAAAAGCGTACAATTTATGGGCAAGTTTGTGTAGTATAGCCATGGAGTTAGAGGGAAACCTTTTCCATTGTATAGCCTATGATATCTGCTTTCTTGCTCTTTGATCATGATACTTCTATCCTGCAGGAGTCTATTTTAGTATTTACAACAAAAAAAAACTATTGATGCAATATCCTGCTAATTAATATTTGATATGATAATCTACTTCATACATGTAGTAGTGCGCCTAGATTTTTGCTGTTGCGCCCAAAACTTTTCTGTTCACCGTTGGGCTGGACTCATGATCCCTGTTGTAGGTCACTGGCCAGGTATTTAATTATATTACCGTAAATTAACTACAGGTGGCAGGTCATTAACCCTAATCATAACAATACATTACAGTTATTGCAATCAGCCTTGAGGCATTAACTTGAGAATGATGACCTTCCGATTGATAATCAATACAGTAGTATTAATTACGGCACACCTACCCTGAGATTTCTCTTGCGGTTGCGTGTGTCCTTCTCGCGCCCGTGTCGTGCTGAGCGGACCTCGTCCACCGCGCCCAGCAGTCTGTCCACAAACGTTTCCGTGCTGTCTTCAAGAAACGGACGCAGTTGGTCTGGAAAGACAGGATTAGTCAAAATTTTTCTGCAAACAACTTACATGAAAAACATACAAGTTATGTCTAAGAAAAATATGTTACTATAAACACATACACTAATATATTAATGGGGGCCTGCATGGGGGGTCCCAACAACGCTGTACGCTAAATTTCGTGAGCCGGCTACGTATTACCCTACAGTAGCGATTAGACTTAACAGTAAATTCCAAGTGGCTACTACGCATTATGTAGAATTAAAACACGAATAACGCTTGCCAATTACGCTCTATGTTGAATAATTTAGAAACGTCTGTCTACGCTCTACGTGGACTTAAAATGGCTGATTACGCTCCACTGAAAAGGGCATGCGGGCCCCCATTCATCTATTGCACTGCACTCTCGTCAGAAATAATTTATTTGATAGCATAATTTTCCCATGTTAACATGAAACTACAAAGACACATACCTATGGATTCAAGTGGTGGGGAGGGGGGCAAATTTTCTATAAATTATTTTACTTCCCTGACCAAACTTTACAGCAGCTCACCTTGCATCCTGTCTCTGTCCAGCCCCCTCGCCAGACAGTTGATAGCGGCCATGGTCAAGGTCGGCTCGGAGATTCCCAACACCTTCTCAACCGTCTTGTCGATGTAGGGTTTCAGTTCGTCTAGCTCTTTCTTGGGGAGGGGGGCAGCCATCATGATATCAGTGAGCTCCGATGACGCCAAAATAATACTGGGCTTCTTAAAAAACACGACGTGGTATCACAGCCTAACTTATTCTGGTGGCTTACTGGTGTATTCGATGACTTCTGGTGAGTTACTGGTTGGGAGGAAGGACGTGGGCCGATGCAAATCAACTTGAAAGTCCCAGAAAACTTCGTCGCATGATCACATCGTTACAACATGGCTGCCAAACGTGCTAGAGACGTCGAAATCTCGCGAGAACTCGTGGCGTGAACACGCGGGATTTCGTAGGAACATCCAAGCAGATACCAGGGGCCAAGAAAGGAGACCCGAAGGCGTGTGCAGACTTTATGTTTTAAAAAGAAGAAGAAAGAAACTGGCTGTTTTAAGGTTATCGTAGAAATCTTTGGACAAAGGAATGTCTATCATCGTTGCCAAGGAGACTATTTTATCTGTTCGTCGGTTTGATAACAAGGCAAGGAAAAGTATAAACAGACTTTTGGTATTTTCTAACGTTAACTAGTATCAGGTACGCCTTGGCATAAGAAACACGTTGTTTAATTCTAAGCAAATCTGAATTCGTGTCATTGCCAGAGGTATACATGTGAATTTGGCACACACAAAAAAAACAGAAAAGTTACATGTAAAAATTTAGAGAAATGTGAATCATGAAATGCATGATAGTTGGATACAGAACAGAAGCACTGGACCCTACCAAACCAGTCGAACCGCAGACCGCTATGCGCATCGGTTCTGCGCAGCTCTCTCTAAGATCTCGTTTAAATCTCGCGCTTCTTTTCCAAGGTAATGTGATCCGCGAGAATCCGCGAGAGTTTGCTACTGTTTACTGTTTCGCTTGTAACTCCGCTTTGCGTAAGTGTTTCCTTGTCATACGTTAATGTGAGATGTAAGAAGAGCCGGCGTCACGCTCAAGGTCGTAGATGTACATTACCGGTGCTGTTTGTTGGAGAAACGAGGTTTCAAAGTTGACCGTGCATGATGGAGATCATTCCACTCGAGATAGGTACCCTTTAGTTTTTTTGGGGGCAAACCCGTTTGCCCTATTTCATCGTCGATTTGGTGTATTGTTTAATAAAGTATAGACCCTCCCTCATCTATCGTGTGTTGTTTCTTTTGGGATCCTGTAGTTGTTACAATATAATAACCGATAGTAAGTTGGGCTCATTTAGTCGAATTCTCAACGATTTTTGTTCGAATCGCAAGCTTTTGCAACTAGTTCTAACCAATACACCTGGAATGTAAGATGTGGCTGAAATATAGTTATGTTGGCTTGACACCCGTGTACTTAGTTTTGAAGTTGCACAATGTGTATTGCAGCTCGACCTTGAGAAAAAGTGTAATTTCTTTACAGTTTCTTTGCCTTCAAAAATGTTCTGTTAAAAGTTATATAGAACAAAAATGAAAGTGAAAGAATATCAACCAAATAGTAAGCTTCAAAACGATACCCACTTTACGGGTGAAAACAGAAAAGAAGGAATTTGGGCATGAACAAATACAACAACAGGTTGATTTTTCATGACCTAATTTTTGAAGGAGAAATCGGACACTGTGACCTGTTACTGTAAATATACAAACATCGGGCATATGTACTGACATTTGTATAGTTGCACAAGAATCCCACTTTCTCTAGCGTCTTCATGATATAAGTCTTACTTGGAATGGGTTTCAGAAAGTCTGTTTGTGATGAAAAAACTTGATTCCTTCTTTTTATGAACTTTCGCAAACAGCGGTTGAAAGTTGCAACATTGTTGGCGGCGCGAAACATGGAACGCGCTGCCTTGGTTCCATGGATCGAACTCAGGAGTTCGAAACCGATTGACTTCAAATTTGACGATTTTTGAATGGTCAGAACCTTGTATTAAATTCCTCTTTTTGTATATAATTGAATGTTATCATATCACGTATTATATTGCATGTGGTAGCCACATTCAAACAGTTTCTCATACCAAGAAACGAATTTTATGACATTACGCGAAATGTATCAAAATGTAGCGGAAACTCAGGATGGTGTGTGTCAGTAGCTTACAACTGGGCTAAATTTGACCACCGCGATATGCGCATCGTCACAGTTTTTTTGGGGGCAAACCCGTTTGCCATAAAATTTACCAGGGGCCATTGGTATCAATGTAAAGGTTAAGAAGTGGGCTATCACAATGTGGTATTAGCCAACGGGATCCAGTTAAATAGTAAAAAAGACAAGCACAAACAAACTGACCAAAAATTGCTAATTTTTGGAAGGCCGTAGCGCTCGCTGTCATTTTGCAATACACGAAATATCTACATGGTTGTACTGGGCAGATCCTGTAGATATGAAAAAATGTAAACATTATGTAGGTCTGAGGTCTTTTTGCTGCACTATTGGCAGTTGTTTACACCCATGCAACGGGGTCAAATCGTGACCCGGCAAACGCCGTATCTTAGAGAATAACGCGTTCTACGGTGACCTGCGGTTCGACTGAAACGCTGTTATTTGGCATCTTTGTGACGTGCCCTTGCGCTATCTGCTCTCTGTCTGTCTGTCTGTCTGTCTGTCTGTCTCTCTCTCTCTGTCTCACTCACTCTCTCTCTCTCTCTGACTTGTATGACAAAGAACAAGACACAGTTGTATCGTTGTGTTTTCGATGAAAGACCAATTTATTCATAATTCTATTTTTCTTTTCTTTTCATCTGATCTAAAGAGAAAGTTACTTCTCCATCAAAATACAACCTCTTCACTGGGTATTTAATGATAATATTTACTCGCTATTCTGATATAATCATTGCAACATTTACATCACTTATCCCTGAAATGTTCCTCCCTCAGTTCTTAGCAGCTAGTCAGCTATTGCATATTCGACACACAGTCTTCATGCAACGTCAAGCATTTGTACCGTGCAGTGATATATTGTGTTTATTGGCCACTATAAATAGTATTACGGAACATCGCCTCCTAGCGGCTTGATTAGGCAGTTGCAGAATTACGTATTTGGAAATACTGCATGGCACGAGAGTGCGTGGTACACATTTTCCAATGCTGAATTGATCTGTATTGGAATGGCAGAATTGCGGAAGTTCGTGTTGTGCCTTTTTTTGATGTCTTTAAGATCTCGTGACGACATAGACCCCGTGACTCCGGACCAATGAGAACGCCGTCCACTGATGACGTAGGCGCCACGCCCATCTACCACCTGCTCCCCTCCCATCCACCTGTCATGCGCGGGAATTTTATATCCAACAAACGTCGACGTCATCATGATACTAGTATGTTTAATCACCAATAATTGTCACATAATCGTCATCATTATGTTCACTTGTTGTCTAGATCTAGCGTTTCTGTTTTCACGTGTCTTAAAACTAGCGTGGCTACAGTTAAGGTTGCGGCATTAACGGGGAACGCACGTATCAGTGTTGAGTTGAGTCCTCGAGTGAAAAACTTCAGTCCTTCCGACTTGTAACTCACGACAAAGCAGTCTGACGTCCCCTTGTACACGCTCTTTCCTCCCACCCCGTCTGCTTGTATACGCGACTTCATCACATCGACTGGGTAGGTTATAAGCCACGCAGAAACCCCTGCCATACCCCCAGCAAACAACAACGTACCCACACCGGTATTATTGTCGCTCCCGTCTGGAGCAAGCATTTGGCACACCGTGTCGTAAGTGACAAAATACGCTCCAAACGACGGCGCATCTCTCCATAGTGTTAGAAACATACCCCTATAACACCCTCTCAAGCCCTCTGCTCGGTAGATTTTCAATAGGCAGTGGAGAGAGTTCTTGATTTCTTTCCTTTTCTTCTTCTTTTCTCCTAGCCCCATGAGTTGCATACGTGTCTTGGCTAACTCCATAGGCGAGCAGACGACGCTTTGAACGGCCCCGGCTGCCGCTCCCGCCAAAAACGTGTTCAGCAGGCGCCCCTCTCCCAGTGTGCGGAGCAAGTTACCGTGTACCCCGAACACAATGGCGTTAATGAACGTGAGTCCGATCAACGGCGATGTCATGCCCTTGAACAGACCAAACGCCGTCTCTTTTCTGACGATCTCTGCGAAGCAGTGGAGGGTTCCTCTGTAGAGTGGTTTGTTGGTGGACTGTGTTTGCAGACGGACTTTGACCGTGTCGAACGGGTGACCGACCACCACCCCCGCCGCGCCCCCGAAACACCCCGCCACAAAGTCCAGAGCCATTCCTGTTCCTCCAATGACGACGGCCCTTGTATCCTGCACGACAAAAAAGGTCGGTGAGTAAACAAAACTACTGTGGGTCAAGGTCAGTCAGGTCACCATGTACACCTACAGAACTATAGTCATGTCCTAACCATAGGCTGAACGTATATTAATGGCCTATATGCATGCATAATCAGTACAATACATACAGTCAAGACGAAGTTAAAGTTTAAAGAAGAAAAACCGGTTTAAAAATCACTACATCAGTCACGCTACGATAGCGACTAGACTGAAACATTGAATGTATCAAATCTCCCTGCGGTATAGGTGTGGAGCAGACAACTTGTCCATTCATTGTATGTAAATTGTAAAACTAGGCCACAGGACAAATACAGGCGTGATGCGAGCAACGATGTTTGAATTAGATATAAATGCTGTATTTTTAAAACTCCTTAATATGGGTGGGTTTGAATTTTTTTCACAATTGGCGTAATAGTTAGTTTTGTTCTGTCAAATTTCTTGCGAGTTTTGTTACACCGCTACTTTCCAAAACAGGCTTCGTGGGCTTGACCCCCTTTCTGTTTTTTATGTGCTGTTTTCTGATTGTATATCATTAGCCGGGGTCACGTCACAGTGTAGTGGATCTATTTTCAGTAAAAACCAACATAATCGAGAACTGTCCACAATCAGAGAACAGAAGCCTAGTAGAAGCTCCTTGATGTAAACAAAAAGGGCTATATCCACGAAGCCAGGCATGTGAAGGTCACCCCTCTCCTCTTCAGTAGCTCCGCCCCCTCCTTATGTTTCATTCCTTGTCCTAATGCTCTGACAAAACAGGTGCGTGACCAGGATACAGCATGGGCTGCCCCGTCACTGTTCGTCTGTCCTGTTAGTGAACATACACCGTGTACTCAACGTGTGACCCATCAACTCACCTGAAGGGTGAACCTCCTCCCAAGACGCCGTGTTGGCCACCTGAAGACGTGGAATACCTGCGTTGCGGAGGTTTCGTTTGTTGTTTGCGTCAATGCGGGTGCGAGTCGTCTGCGTCATGCATCACGTGGGTCCTTCCTTTTGGGGCTCGACTTACCGAACAGCGCCCCACTTGTGTAGCGGTCCGCTTAAGTACTGCAGCTATATTTACACGGCAGGGTATTTCTGTTTATGCTATAGATTAAAAAAGCATCCAGGAATCTCCAATGAAATATATTTCTATCAAATCAGACAGTAAAACACAACAAAGATAATTGGTATCCAACCACATTCTGTATTAGAGCAATCATGTTTTAATAAAGTAACAAGGTTTACATGATTTAAAGATATCACAACAAGATTTCAAGATAAACAAAGGCTCAAACGAACAATAGATAGTGTGTATGTCAGTCTAGCGAACTAACGTGTGTCCAATGTGCAAAAGAGCATATATAACAGCCACTGTACATTTTTGTGCCTTGCGCGCTCAAATATTCCTTGGCCAGTAGCCAGTAAAATTTTTAAACTTAATTTATTTGAATACCATTAGCGGTGGGCCCAGGGGCTAGTCTTCCTGGTATTCACATATACATGTACATGTATAAACCACTACTCAGCACAACGCAATATCAATATACGTACAACATACCAAATACAATACAGTTATTTCAAAAAGGCACAAGTTGTACTGATGGAAATGTTCGTAAAGTCCGTTCTTTAAGTAGATGTTTGCTAGGGTGGTCATCGAAGATTTGACATACGCGATTTGTCAACTGCAGCCCATTTGGGATCTCCGATGGCCAGTTGCCGTACGGTCTGCGACTGTACATGATTAGTAGAGATATCCCATGGCCAGTTGCGGCAACTGTACATGAATTACTAGTACATGTAGTAGGGATACCCCATGGCCAGTTGCGGCAGTACTTAATTAGTAGGGATATCCCATGGCCAGTAAGTGTCTGGATGTGTGCGGCTTTTGTTCGCTTCATTTTGAGCTGGTGTCTCACACATCGATGGTCGTAGCGAAGGGAGGGACGCCCACCGAACTATACTCCGTTTCCTTCCACCCGCGTTTGAGACTGTGCGGATCTCTTCACTCAGTCCTGAAACCTCAGCTGAGTCTGTGAGGAGTACGGGTAGGGAAGATTTTTGTCTATTGTGTATTTTGTCTTCTACTATTTGCCTTGGCCAGTTGGTGTTATGTAAGGGCGCTTCACTCTGTGAGATCTCACCTATGTTTGGGAGCGCGGGTTGGGAACACGATCGATTTATGTTGAGACCACCGTCCCCTACGACTTGCCATGACCAGTAGGTGTTTCGCCGTGAGTTACATGTACATTGCGGTATGTCCTCCATAGAGTAGGAGTGTGCATGTGACATAAACCCGTCTGTAGTTGGTGTTACGCCATGACTTGCGCGTGAATACGTTTCTGTTACACGTCTTGCGTTCATGTATGTTCTCACGCCTTGGTCTTCGCGCGAGGACAACAAAGCCGTGCCCCTTCTTGTTCCAAGAGCTCTCCTAGCGCCAATCTGGTCGTGAGAGGCTCCCTCCACATTCCCATAGAACGTTACGCCATGGGATTTGCCAGCAATGCCTAAGCCATACACACCGACATGCCCGCTGGGTGTAGACTTGTGAGGGAGTAGATTTGTGGCCACACCGTCGTGGTAAACGCAGGCGGTGCCCCGACGCTTCTTCTGCCTCACAGCACCGTCGTGGTATACACAGGGGCCGCTACTCTCCCCATTTTGCCCTAAAACTGTCAAGTCAGTGGCAGCAGCATAGAACACCAACCGGTCATCATCGTCTTCATCTGGTATGTTGCCATAGGTTGGCTCAATGTCACGCAATATTGATGATCTACAACAAGAGTCGCCATGTTCAAGGACTTTTCCGTCGTCGGGAATGTCCCAGTACGTGTGCGGGAGTTCAGGGAGGGGCCGCTGGGCAGCTGAGACGGCCTCGTCATCCGTGATCTCGCAGTAAACGGTTTCGATCGTACCTAGGGAAATTGGCAGCGACCTACGAGAGAGCTGACGGTCTGAAACGTGGGAAACGACGGGTAGAGAGGTCGGCCTCGCCCGCCTGGGTACATTAACAGGTGGCTGGTTGACCCGAATGTCCAAGTGGTTGATTAAAGAGCATTTCTTTACCAGTAGCGCAACAATGATTGCCAACACCGGTAACAGCGCTAGCACACTTCCCAGTACGAGCAAAATAAGCAGGTGGGTTGAATTCAGTTCATCTTGTGTAGAACTAACTAGCTTGGTCGGTGAAGATGTCGTTAACGGCAACGTGGTCTGTTGTTGTCCTGGCATGAGCGTCGTGGTTTGCTGTCCTGGCAACGTGGTCTGTTGCCATGCCAACGTGGTCCGTTGCCCTGGCGACGTCGTCTGTTGTCCTGGCAACACAGTCGTTCGTCCAGGTGGTCTTTGGGACGTCAGACCGCCGCCTTGGTCTCTACAGACCCGGTGTGGATCTGAGTACCTTTTGTTGAGCATATGGGCTCCATGGACTTCAAACACAAGCCGATTGCTGATGTTCTTCTTGAGTAGAAAACATGTGACTCTCTTTAAGTTTTCGCTTCCGGCGTTTGCCGAATGTGCCCGATGAAATGTAATCGCGAGAGTTTCTTTCTTCGCGTTTCTTTCCCAAAAGGAGACCAATCGGAGGTTCAAGTCCTCAAGTAAAGCCAGAGTGAGGCCGACCACGCCCCACACCTGCCTGCATCGGTCTGCGTCGTCAATATGTGGGTCTAGCGATCCTTGTTGGATCATGACAACAAAAGGCGCCTGACTTGTGATCTGTTGAGAATAAATGTCCCAGCTGCTGCAGGATTGGGTGTGGTACTGAGTGGTGTGGTAGTCATCGGTCCTGGATGGATCAAAAGTCCACCTGAATGTCTGTTTATTGGTGTAGTGATTGTTTCTAACACAGAGTAGGCGATTGGCTACCTTAACAGACATCTCCTGCATTGGATGGAAACCGCCGAAATCTGGGGACAATCCGAAGCCAAGGCTCCACGACGCCATGTTGTGTTCTATCGCATCAGGAAAGACAGTGTCTGGCCTTGCTCCGATGTTACCGAGGACAACGAGAGAATTTAGCGCCCAGAACGCGCGTCCGTCCAGCTGTGACAGACCGTTTCCACTCAGACCCAGTCTATGGAGCTCGGGCAGGTGTTCGAACGTCCCCGCGGCTATAACTTGAATGCAGTTCGACTCCAAGTTGAGCTGGTTCAGCTTGTTTAGCCCAGTAAACCAGCCCGGCTCTACCTTCTCTATATAATTGCCGTTCAGGTACAGATAGTGAAGGTTAGATAGACCCTTGAAGCACCCTGGATCCACCCTAACTATCTGGTTACTGGACAGGTCCAGCGAATTAAGGTTTGCCAGACCAGAGAACCAGCTTTGTTTCACACGAACCAGCCTGTTAAAGGCTAGATCCAACCTTTTCATGGTACTAAGACCAGCAAGGGCATTGTCCTCAATATCCGCGATTTCGCCTTTTAACAGAGCCAGAGTGGTGATTTTCCGATAGCTTGCTAGTGTCCCTGCCCGCAAAACTCCGAACGGATACCCGATCACTGCCACTTTTGATTTGGACGCACCCATGCAAGGTATGGACGTAGGGGTAGAATTAGTTCCTTCTAGACCAATGAAAATATTGCAGACGAGCCATGAATTGAGAGGGATATCTCCCATAGGTTGGTTAAGCCTGATGTCGGTGGGTAGGTCCTCCAGCCGGCTTGCTACCCTACACTGAGGCGGACAGGGGGTTTCTGAAGCTACACAAGTGCACACCAAGGCCAGGAGAAACAACATGACGGGTAGCCTCATCTTTCGAAATTTCAGTAACGACGTTTTTTTTAGCAGAAAGCCGCCAGAATATGTGACTCAAACTTTAAACTGTTGAAAAGTCAGTATCTTCTCTACTTGAACGGTACCGGTGTCAGCTTTTAGATATTGGATAGACAAGAGGACAGGATTGGTAGCCGAACCTGCAAAATACATCAATGAACACTAAGTACATGTATGATTGCGGTACGGTAATATATATAATACCGTTACCGGAAGATACAACGTCGCACTTTGTCGTTTTTTTTTCTCCGAAAAGATCTAGAGCTTTTACTTTCATCTTTTAGGAGCAAGGTACAGACATTTCAAACTGACTGGACAATTTTCTTAGTTATACCGGGGGAAGTTACTAACATATTCTAAGTAACAGAAGTACCAAAGAACGATAACTGAGGTTACAGTCATTACGGTAAAACAAAGTTTGTTCAGTAAGGGTGGCTATAACTGACAGTGAACACTCATTTCTTCTTCCCTGATAAACTCCAGAAAACCCAACGCAGATGAACTTTCAAGATATAGTAATAATAGTTTAACAGTCACTGACCTTTTTGTTATTCGTTGTTGGTCGTCTGCGCTATCCGTAGCGTCCACCTACCGGTGGCGGTGTTTAGAAAACCGCGCGCCCGCCCAGGTTAGCTCGAGCGCTGCGGAGCGAAAATCCGGGTGGTACCCAGCCTAGCCTAGCCTGGTATCCAGTCTGATTCGTGGTCGGGGCCGCAAGAGCTCTGGCCCGCCCGCCTCACATAAGCGTCCCGGTGTGTATTTCACGAGAGATTAATTAGCCCTCCACGAACCAAATCCCCGAGCATACTGTCTCTAATTAGCGTAACACTCCTACCGGGACGGTCTGTTGCACTGGGCGGGGGAAGGTCTTAGAGGCCCCGAAGACACAACCTGCCTTAACACCCCAATACCCCCAATCACGATCAGACTGGATACCAGGCTAAGCCTAGCCCAGGTCTCTTCAGTGATTAGACTGGCCAAATGAAGACCAACTGCCAGAGAAGTGCCGAAAAGTTGGCCGTAGAGATTGTTCACCTCTTCAACAAGTCTGAAGACCGCTCTCAAAACACCGATTCACTCTCCCAACTCAGTCGGAAAAGTGTACTCTCTTCTTGCACCACCGCTTTTAAGAAATTGGGACCACAAAAAATTCATTCAACGGACGTCACGACTCTCTGGTAGACGCAGAACATTATGCAAGCGTGCGAAATATGCATTCATTGGGGTTGTTTTTCAAGGATAGGGCTGTTTACGAAACTTGTGACCTGTGGCCTACTTGTTACAGATTCGTGAAACTTTTGTTTTACGATTTCTGGATTCACAACTTGAAATCAGGGTTGTAGCAACACCACTTTTCGTTACACACTTTGCATATGAAATTTATTTCTAAACAGTAAAAAGTAAATCCGGCAAGATAAAGCAAAATTATATTTGTCGCGTGTTAAATCGGCTGATCGATATCCAAGAACCAGGGCAAACAGACAAATTCGTCTGCGTAATACAGATAGCTCGAATTTATCGTGCAACAGACCAATTACTTTTCGTAGACAAATCAATGTAATATCCACCCACTACCACTACCATCGGTTTAGTTGACCCAGTTTCAGATGAGTTTAATTTTTCTAAAGTTAAAACTGCAGTTTTCTAGGGTATTTGTACAAGTGTGGATTTCTAGAATGTTTTACAGGTGTTTTTTTGTGTTGCTGCTTCGACAAATCTGCCAGCCCAAACCAGTTGCAAAACACATAGTCATGCAACCAACCCACCGGCATTCCACTTGAGTAATAAATTTGACTGTAAAATCTCCGATATCGTATTGCTTGTAATCTCCAGCATAGTTACCTCCATGAAATGTGTCATGGAGGTTATATTTACCTCCATGAAATGTGTCATGGAGGTTATATTTTCAGTTGCGTTTATCTGTCCGTCTGTCCGTCTGTCCTTCTGTCCGTCTGTTGGTCAACAAGATAACTCAAGAACGCCTGGATGGATTGGTTTCATACTTGGTGTGTTGGTAGGGTGTGACGAAAACTGGAAATGATTAGATTTTAAATTTGGTCCCCCTAGTGGCTTCCCTTGGTACTGCAGCTTCCGGTTTTGATATCTCGCGATCTGGACATGCTAGGGTCATGAAATTTGGATGATAGGTAGCTCTCGTGCTTGGGAAGAAGTCACATGAGTTTGGGCCCCCTAGCGGCTTGTTCTGGAACTGCAGGGCACTTTCTGGCGAAATGTTTAAAAGCCAATAAGTCCAGACAGGAACAACATATTTTCATTATTTTTGGTGTGTAGGTAGCTGAGAGAGAGATGTACATAATTAAATGCAAATTATGCAAATGAGGACTTAATTTGCATAATTAATGAGGAAATTCTATAATTACAGTGTTTTACATTATACTACTTACATACATGTAATGTATGTAACCTATGGCAGGTGGAACTTCAACAGATACTAATTATGCAAATGATGACCTAATTTGAATAATTAATGCGAAACTTCTATGATTTCGTAATGGTGAATGATGAGAAGGTCATACTTGGGACATCTGTAAGTTAATCAAAAGTTAACATACATTCACGATGCATATATCATGTTAATGCAGAGGTCATTTGCACAATTAAAGAAGAAATTTACATTTACATATCAAGATCATATTTCATGGAGGTATGAAATCTCGGAATTCTAGTTTCAGTTGCGTTTATCTGTCCGTCCGTCTGTCTGTCCGTCTGTCCGTCTGTTGGTCAACAAGATAACTCAAGAACGCCTGGATGGATTGGTTTCATACTTGGTGTGTTGGTAGGGTGTGACGAAAACTGGAAATGATTAGATTTTG